AACTGGCGCAACTATTTGTAATTTTACATTTGAATTAAAGTCTGTATTCCAGAAGAGCAGTATTTTAGTATTTTGATGAAACGGTCTCATTGAAATATCTGGTTAATTTGTATGCGTGCCTCCACTGTTTACTTTTTGATACATTCATTTAAAAGCAGATATGTCCGAAGATAATTCTCATAGCAGGGAATATGTCTTGGAAGCAGACTCCGAGCTACGTTTTGAAAGATGCCAAGGTTCTTGTTACGGTATGCTGTAATAGTTTTGTACTCGGCGTGGGTAACATTTCTAAATCGTATTTCAGCTCGTCACAGGTTTTGCAGAGCTTTTTGGCACCGAACTGGTGAAAAAAAAGAAATATGAGTTCGGTGTTGGCGCCAAAGTGGCTTACCTACCAAGGCTGCGTGCTGCACGTGTCAGGCAAAATGGATGTGTGCTATATCTCAAAAGAGACACCAATGGTACAATATATAAACTGCCATGCAGCATTGGAGCAGTTTCGCATCGAAGCCGAAGAACGGGACAAGCGCGGCCCTGTTGTATTGATCGTAGGGCCTATGGACGTTGGAAAGAGCACACTGTGCCGCATTCTGTTAAACTATGCAGTACGCGTAGGCAGGCGACCACTTTACGCAGATCTTGATGTGGGCCAAGGTGCCATCTCCATTTCCGGCAATGTTGCCACTATCCTTATTGAACGACCAGCCAGCGTTGAGGAAGGATTTACAAAGACAGCGCCACTAGTTTATCATTTTGGTCACAAGTCCCCTGGTGCTAATAACGTGCTTTACAATGCTGTCGTCTCGAAAATGGCTGAAGTAACACTGCAGAGTCTGGATGCCAATAAACGAAGTATGTTTAACCGCATTTACTCTAGAAATTTGAAATATATGACCATATTTTTGTGTATATTCGTATTGGAGCGTTTGTATAATGATTTACTGCGCGATGTGCCTTCAAACGTCCATGTTGTCCTCTTGCCAAAAAGTGGCGGCGTAGTGGAACGCAGTAAAGAATTGCGCCACGAATCCCGCGAGCAGCGAGTCAAGGAATATTTTTATGATAATACACGTACACCATTTTTATTCTAAAGCACCGAGGTGGACATGGATCGACAATCTGTTATGCTGTTATCGCCACAGCCACGGCCGTTGCCTCCAAATGCATTGCTTTTGTGGTCAGAGATACAGTTTATGGATAATCATGCCTAATATTCACCTTGACAAGATTAGTAGTATTATGTTTGTAAATAAAACAATGAAAATTATGGCCGTGATTCCATATCAACTATATTTGTGGCGCTTTCGGCGTGCATATCCTGTCAACTGGGTCACTATCCAAACTGGCTATTCTTTCAGGTAAGTCGCTTAACTTGAATTACTTAATGGATTTTTTAATTCGATATGTGTTATTTTCAGTGCTTTTGTGCCATTGCGTTGTTTTATTGCGCACACTGGCAGACGTATGTGTCTGGAACGATGCGCTTCGGCCGCATCGATGTAACTGAGGCTCAATTCTCCATCATTGCTATACATTTGGTTTCGGCCGTGCTGGGGCCCGAGATTTGGCTGACGAAGGTAAGCCATCTGGGTGGATTGCCATGTTGCTCATATTTCCATATTTATATAAATAGTCCCCTTATAATATTGATTTCGTTTTAAATTGAGATTTTCAGAAGTTATATTTTAAATTTTAATTGCCTATTTTAGACTATAGAAACGCCTTTTATATTATTGCAAGTGTAATTTTTCAATTATTATAATTATTTCGTCATTTACTTATGTTCTAATAAGATAAATGCAAATAGCATTAATAACTTGGCTTAAGTTCACAATGCATTAAGTTTACTAAATGCTTATTATATAAAAATCTAATATGTTTGAGACGTTAAGATAGAATGTTTATTTGTTGTTTTGCGTTGTAAGCTCTTCGGTTCGATTTATTAAGTTTAGTATCATTGGGTTGCACACTCAAACAAAATTAAAATTGAATTTTCTAATCGTACTAAAAGCATATGTTGGATTAACCCATTAGTTTATTTCCCACACATTGACATACGGACACGGCTCTAACATTTAATTCACTTGCAAATGTTAATATGGTTTACTAATTTTATTTCGTTCTATTGTAAAAAGTTTAATTTTATTATATCTCTGGCAGCATGAACTTTTGAGTAATTTAACTTGCTTTATTCTTCCGATGGAATATGTGTTTATTGTTAATAGAAAGTATTTAAAAATAAATTTTGTAATTATTCATATTAGCCACATTGAAATAATATTGAAATATTTTCTAGTTATGCTTTCTTACTATTATTCTAAGGTTTATTGGTAGCTTTAATTTTAATCAGCAATAATAGACTGCTTTTAAAACGTATATTATTTGTGGCTATTTATTAGATAAAAATTTGGTATTAATATTTTTTTCATTAATATTTATTTTATTACTCTCCATCGAAATCTATATCAAATTAAATGTTTTAATATTCCTATTAATGCATTTTTTTTCTTCTTTTAAACTTTTAAAATAGTTGACAACAATTAAAAAAATTTTGAATTTTATCAGATGCCTTATCTTGAGTGTGAAACACGCTGCTTGCCGTTTTATATGGCCAGTGGAGTTGACTTCAGTTTATCCATTTTAAACGAGGGCTGTGGGAAGAATGGATCATCTGTTGCAGTAAGATTTTGTATTTTTGTATGGCACAACCACACGAAGGCATTCTAATTAGCTTGGTCGCTAGACAAGTAGCTAAAATATCGATTGTGTTTGTCATTATTTCTCGATTTATATAAATGGTCATGTAATTTATGCTCTTGTACAGGGTATAATAATGAAGTCGCAAAATGTGTTATGCATTGTTGGTGGTGGTATTGTCAGAAACTTATTAAGTCCCGGTTAGGAATTGTCTGTTCATCAATTACTTTGGATGGTTATCTGTGTTCACGCAATTTTATATAATTGGTGTAGGTTGGTTAAACGACAAAAACTATTGTAACCACCCATTTACATGAAAATTCCAAAAGAAATATATCATGCATTTTTGCAAGTTTTTGTTAGTTACTACGTTAATTTGAAAATCATTTTTTTGTATATTACAAAGCGCTCATACTCGAACTCAGTTATTTGCCACAGATTAATTACAATATTTGCGCATACGACTACAAGGGTATATAAACTTCGGCACTCCGAAGCTAAATGTTGCATACTTTTAAGTTTCTTGTTGTATTGTTTTTATACCTAATGATGCACGTTTAATATGCATATGTTATTTTAACTGTTTGCCATTTGGGGTTTCAGACTTGCTTTCTTTATTTTTATATAAATACTGTTACTTTATTGTTGGCTTGGCTTCTACAGCAAAAGACCCGCTCACATTTACTAACAAACATTCACACCCACAAATTAGCGCTAGACCATGTTATTAAAATGTTATTATTAAAATGACCATTAAATAACGTAAATCCCAACAAACAAAAAGCCCAAAATAAATGTTGCTTTTGGTCAACCTAATGCTGTGAATTTGCAAAATGTGCCCCCTGGAACGCTAGCCCATGCACACATATATAAGGCAGCAGCTCGTACAAAGCGGTCACAATTTGCAATCTCACAATCGTTAAGAATTCACCAAATTTGTATAAAACAATATATTTTTTATATTTATCATCTATACAAAGGGAACCAGTGTTCTATCGCCTAGTATACCGCTGACACTTGTAGTGCTGCCCGCGCTGATGATAGCGCAAAAGTCGCCGGAAAATATTTTTACGGAGCACGCTTCAGTTTTTATTCTGGCTTTTGGAATGGTGGCTGCCAAAATTACCAACAAGCTGGTGGTAAATTTATCTTAATCTAAAAACAATCATTTTTTATATTTTATATTATGTTATGAAATGTGTAATCTATAGATGAAGACATCTTCAACCCCATATTGTATACATATTTATAAGTAGCCAAATATGGTAGCCATTTATGTCTGTCTGTCCGTCAATTTTGAAGCTATTTCTTATCGTTTTGCAACGGCAGTTGCAGGCAGTCCATACGTTCGAATCGGGCGGATCGAACCACTTATCATATAGCTGCCATAGGAACTGCAAATTGTATATCTGCAAATGCGTAATCTTTATGTCGCGTGCCGAAGACATAGATATTGTAACGATGTTTATTGTGTAATGATAAAAGGCTATATATACATTCTAGATGGACAGGCTAGCCGTTTCAATATTCTGTGTGTCTCTTTAAAATCATAGAGACTATAAGATATATATATATACTATATAAATATATATGCTATTTCGTTTAATTAACTTTTGCTCAATATCTAATTAGCACATTAGCCAAAAATCACATTTTTGGCGTACTCAAAGCTCAATTTAAGGCTAACTCCAAGTCAATGAAAATTCATTGTAAGGATTTCCTTTATTTAATGATTTGAATTTTATTGAGCGTGCGCCTGATTCTGCATAATATATTTATGTTATTTGCGTACTATAAAATGTTATGTAGAAATATTAGCGCTTAATTTCTTACTCACTGAGTAATTAGGTATAATTACATTGTATGTATGTATGTATGTATGCAAGGATGTCAACTCTGAAGTATGTAACATATGTAAAGAATGTAAATTGCCTATATACATTCTAAATGGTAACTCATTTCAAAAAGCAAAATTGTTTATTATTTAGCGATTGGTTTTGACCTAAAGTGTACACCTAAATTTGCACCGATTTAAAATAATAGAGTTGACTATTATCTTATGTTTGAACAGATAAACAATGCGTAAAATGCCAAAATAAAACGACTAAAATGAGTTTATGTATATTCGAATGGAATTAGTGAAATACTATTTGAACTGTTTATTAAAACTGGATTTTTTGATTTATTAAATCTGAGAACCGGAGCTGCAAATTGGTCGGTGACATCCTGCCGTGAGATTCGGTTCGTGATTCAGCCTTTCACATGCTTCATATTGATGTTGGCTAACTTTCTACCCACCTCGTGAGTATTGTTCGGTTCAGAGGTAATGTTCGATTCACATTAAAAATGAATTGGAAATCCAAATCGGGTAAAAACCTGTTTACAGCCTGAACAACAGAACAACACGTCAAATTAGAACCTCAACACAAAAGTAGTGACTTTTTAAAAGTTCGCATATTTTATTTACTTATTACCTATGATTATGATTATGATTGTTACACATATGTGAAATTATAAACGATGTATCTCAAAGATTACCATAGGATTTGCAGAAATATGCCACCAACGCCATGTCGCGCACCTCTAACGTGACACGGCCGCGATACTGGGTCAGTAAGTAGGCATCCTGGAAGCGCTGGGTTATGTACATTTCTGTCGCGGTGTGTATAGCCTCCAGGGCACCCATAGTTATCATAAAGGGCGTTAAAGTATATTTCATCATAATTTCGCGCACCAAACGCGCGAAAGGTAAACGCGGTATCATAAAGCCTGGATGCTTTTGTAACCGTTCAATTTCGCGGTTCAATTTTTGTATACGACGCTCCGGTTTATTTTGTTTGCGCCTCGAGCCAGGTCTTGATGTTAGTGGCGGCTGATGTTTCTTACTCATACTCGCTGCGGGTGTTTTTAGCGGCAGCTTTCGGGGTGTTTGTCGTACTGCCGGTGGCTGATTCTCTGAATCACTGTCGCCTTCGGATGTGTCTAGATCACGACGATGGTCTTTTGGAACGTTTTTGCGTAGCGTAGAGCACCGACGTGGAGATGTGTTCATTTCAGCCAAACGGCTTGTAGTAAACTCCAATCCGTAGTCGGTTTCGTTTTCACGATCTGGTGTTCGAAATGCAGTTTCCTCATATGAATCCTCATCATTATCTAAATGCGATTCCGATTTCTTCTTTTTCTGAGTTGAACTCTTTACAGTGCGTGGTCGCATTATGAATTCAAATTACAAATTGCCTACACTTAAGAACTTATAGCCTTTGGTTCGCTGTAATATACACAAAAATCTAATTCCCGCCTTTTTGAGCATAGTTCAGCAAAACTCTAACATATGAAAACATTCATTTTACAACACTAATTACTATGAAATTAAAAATTGGTATATAGACACTTATTAATAAACATCTATATACAAATTTAATAGTATATTAATATTTAATTATATAGCATGTACATAAATGCACAAAACTGGCGCAACTATTTGTAATTTTACATTTGAATTAAAGTCTGTATTCCAGAAGAGCAGTATTTTAGTATTTTGATGAAACGGTCTCATTGAAATATCTGGTTAATTTGTATGCGTGCCTCCACTGTTTACTTTTTGATACATTCACTTAAAAGCAGATATGTCCGAAGATAATTCTCATAGCAGGGAATATGTCTTGGAAGCAGACTCCGAGCTACGTTTTGAAATCGAGCAAAAAGATGCCAAGGTTCTTGTTACGGTATGCTGTAATAGTTTTGTACTCGGCGTGGGTAACATTTCTAAATCGTATTTCAGCTCGTCACAGGTTTTGCAGAGCTTTTTGGCACCGAACTGGTGAAAAAAAAGAAATATGAGTTCGGTGTTGGCGCCAAAGTGGCTTACCTACCAAGGCTGCGTGCTGCACGTGTCAGGCAAAATGGATGTGTGCTATATCTCAAAAGAGACACCAATGGTACAATATATAAACTGCCATGCAGCATTGGAGCAGTTTCGCATCGAAGCCGAAGAACGGGACAAGCGCGGCCCTGTTGTATTGATCGTAGGGCCTATGGACGTTGGAAAGAGCACACTGTGCCGCATTCTGTTAAACTATGCAGTACGCGTAGGCAGGCGACCACTTTACGCAGATCTTGATGTGGGCCAAGGTGCCATCTCCATTTCCGGCAATGTTGCCACTATCCTTATTGAACGACCAGCCAGCGTTGAGGAAGGATTTACAAAGACAGCGCCACTAGTTTATCATTTTGGTCACAAGTCCCCTGGTGCTAATAACGTGCTTTACAATGCTGTCGTCTCGAAAATGGCTGAAGTAACACTGCAGAGTCTGGATGCCAATAAACGAAGTATGTTTAACCGCATTTACTCTAGAAATTTGAAATATATGACCATATTTTTGTGTATATTCGTATTGGAGCGTTTGTATAATGATTTACTGCGCGATGTGCCTTCAAACGTCCATGTTGTCCTCTTGCCAAAAAGTGGCGGCGTAGTGGAACGCAGTAAAGAATTGCGCCACGAATCCCGCGAGCAGCGAGTCAAGGAATATTTTTATGATAATACACGTACACCATTTTTATTCTAAAGCACCGAGGTGGACATGGATCGACAATCTGTTATGCTGTTATCGCCACAGCCACGGCCGTTGCCTCCAAATGCATTGCTTTTGTGGTCAGAGATACAGTTTATGGATAATCATGCCTAATATTCACCTTGACAAGATTAGTAGTATTATGTTTGTAAATAAAACAATGAAAATTATGGCCGTGATTCCATATCAACTATATTTGTGGCGCTTTCGGCGTGCATATCCTGTCAACTGGGTCACTATCCAAACTGGCTATTCTTTCAGGTAAGTCGCTTAACTTGAATTACTTAATGGATTTTTTAATTCGATATGTGTTATTTTCAGTGCTTTTGTGCCATTGCGTTGTTTTATTGCGCACACTGGCAGACGTATGTGTCTGGAACGATGCGCTTCGGCCGCATCGATGTAACTGAGGCTCAATTCTCCATCATTGCTATACATTTGGTTTCGGCCGTGCTGGGGCCCGAGATTTGGCTGACGAAGGTAAGCCATCTGGGTGGATTGCCATGTTGCTCATATTTCCATATTTATATAAATAGTCCCCTTATAATATTGATTTCGTTTTAAATTGAGATTTTCAGAAGTTATATTTTAAATTTTAATTGCCTATTTTAGACTATAGAAACGCCTTTTATATTATTGCAAGTGTAATTTTTCAATTATTATAATTATTTCGTCATTTACTTATGTTCTAATAAGATAAATGCAAATAGCATTAATAACTTGGCTTAAGTTCACAATGCATTAAGTTTACTAAATGCTTATTATATAAAAATCTAATATGTTTGAGACGTTAAGATAGAATGTTTATTTGTTGTTTTGCGTTGTAAGCTCTTCGGTTCGATTTATTAAGTTTAGTATCATTGGGTTGCACACTCAAACAAAATTAAAATTGAATTTTCTAATCGTACTAAAAGCATATGTTGGATTAACCCATTAGTTTATTTCCCACACATTGACATACGGACACGGCTCTAACATTTAATTCACTTGCAAATGTTAATATGGTTTACTAATTTTATTTCGTTCTATTGTAAAAAGTTTAATTTTATTATATCTCTGGCAGCATGAACTTTTGAGTAATTTAACTTGCTTTATTCTTCCGATGGAATATGTGTTTATTGTTAATAGAAAGTATTTAAAAATAAATTTTGTAATTATTCATATTAGCCACATTGAAATAATATTGAAATATTTTCTAGTTATGCTTTCTTACTATTATTCTAAGGTTTATTGGTAGCTTTAATTTTAATCAGCAATAATAGACTGCTTTTAAAACGTATATTATTTGTGGCTATTTATTAGATAAAAATTTGGTATTAATATTTTTTTCATTAATATTTATTTTATTACTCTCCATCGAAATCTATATCAAATTAAATGTTTTAATATTCCTATTAATGCATTTTTTTTCTTCTTTTAAACTTTTAAAATAGTTGACAACAATTAAAAAAATTTTGAATTTTATCAGATGCCTTATCTTGAGTGTGAAACACGCTGCTTGCCGTTTTATATGGCCAGTGGAGTTGACTTCAGTTTATCCATTTTAAACGAGGGCTGTGGGAAGAATGGATCATCTGTTGCAGTAAGATTTTGTATTTTTGTATGGCACAACCACACGAAGGCATTCTAATTAGCTTGGTCGCTAGACAAGTAGCTAAAATATCGATTGTGTTTGTCATTATTTCTCGATTTATATAAATGGTCATGTAATTTATGCTCTTGTACAGGGTATAATAATGAAGTCGCAAAATGTGTTATGCATTGTTGGTGGTGGTATTGTCAGAAACTTATTAAGTCCCGGTTAGGAATTGTCTGTTCATCAATTACTTTGGATGGTTATCTGTGTTCACGCAATTTTATATAATTGGTGTAGGTTGGTTAAACGACAAAAACTATTGTAACCACCCATTTACATGAAAATTCCAAAAGAAATATATCATGCATTTTTGCAAGTTTTTGTTAGTTACTACGTTAATTTGAAAATCATTTTTTTGTATATTACAAAGCGCTCATACTCGAACTCAGTTATTTGCCACAGATTAATTACAATATTTGCGCATACGACTACAAGGGTATATAAACTTCGGCACTCCGAAGCTAAATGTTGCATACTTTTAAGTTTCTTGTTGTATTGTTTTTATACCTAATGATGCACGTTTAATATGCATATGTTATTTTAACTGTTTGCCATTTGGGGTTTCAGACTTGCTTTCTTTATTTTTATATAAATACTGTTACTTTATTGTTGGCTTGGCTTCTACAGCAAAAGACCCGCTCACATTTACTAACAAACATTCACACCCACAAATTAGCGCTAGACCATGTTATTAAAATGTTATTATTAAAATGACCATTAAATAACGTAAATCCCAACAAACAAAAAGCCCAAAATAAATGTTGCTTTTGGTCAACCTAATGCTGTGAATTTGCAAAATGTGCCCCCTGGAACGCTAGCCCATGCACACATATATAAGGCAGCAGCTCGTACAAAGCGGTCACAATTTGCAATCTCACAATCGTTAAGAATTCACCAAATTTGTATAAAACAATATATTTTTTATATTTATCATCTATACAAAGGGAACCAGTGTTCTATCGCCTAGTATACCGCTGACACTTGTAGTGCTGCCCGCGCTGATGATAGCGCAAAAGTCGCCGGAAAATATTTTTACGGAGCACGCTTCAGTTTTTATTCTGGCTTTTGGCATGGTGGCTGCCAAAATTACCAACAAGCTGGTGGTAAATTTATCTTAATCTAAAAACAATCATTTTTTATATTTTATTTTATGTTATGAAATGTGTAATCTATAGATGAAGACATCTTCAACCCCATAGTATATATATATTTATAAGTAGCCAAATATGGTAGCCATTTATGTCTATCTGTAACTACTAAAACAAGTAAGGGGTTCTAGTCGGGAGCTCCCGACTAGGGGATACCCTGAAGGACGGACGGACGGACGGACAGACAGACGGACATGGGTAGATCGACTCGGCTATTGATGCTGATCAAGAATATATATGTATACTTTATGGGGTCGGAGATGCTTCCTTCTGTCTGTTACATACATTTTGATTTTGCACAAATACAATATACCATAATACCCATTTTTAATGGGTTTAGGGTATAAAAAAACATTCAAACAATAAACTAAATTAAATGTACAAATTACAAAAACAAAGTGCAAAGAAATAAAAGTGCAAAATTAAAGAACTAAAAGTTCAAAGCTACAAACTCAAAACTATTAAAAAAAAAAAAATTCATCCAACACAAAAAAAAAAAAAAGTGTATTACACTAAGATGCCCATGGAATTATCAGAACAACACCTCAACCAGGCCCTCTCACAACTGAGACAGGTGCCAAGTTTTGAAGGATCAACGGAAAATCTCAACGTTTTCACTAAAAGGATCGATTACATCCTACACCTTTATTTAACCCGAGATGTTAGACAACACAGCATTTTATACGGAGCCATCGAATTGCAAGTCACTGGAGATGCTCAGAGAATTTCACAAAGGACAGTTTACTTTTTAATTTACGACCGATCGTTCCTGTGGCAGCTATATGATATAGTGGTCCGGTAATAATAGGATTTTGCATATATACGAGGAGTACAGTAAAACTAATAATTATAGAGTTTGGTCAAGATATCTTGAAAATAAAAAATGTTTTGTCATACAACAACTTAATTTTCGACCGATCGTTCCTATGGCAGCTATATGAAATAGTGGTCCGATCCAACTGGTTTTGACATATGTGCTGCGTGCAACAGAAAGAGCGAGTGCTGCAAAGTTTCATTAAGATAGCTTTAAAACTGAGAGACTAGTTCGCATAGAAACAGACAGACGGACAGACGGACATGGCTATATCGACTCGGCTGTTGATGCTGATCAAGAATATATATACTTTATGGGATCGGAGATGTCTCCTTCTATGCGTTACACATTTCACGACAAAATTATAATACCCTCTGCAAGGGTATAAAAAGGAACCGAGAACGAAACAAAAGTTACGAATTACTTTCATAAAACCAACATACAAATTGCATACAAAGACATGACTAACGCGCATGCCAAAGAATTAATAAAAGAATACTTATGCACAAAGAAAAGTGTGTTATACTTCCACAATGAAGCAGACTTTCCAATTTTTCAAGAAGCCTACTTAGAAATAATAAGTCCGAATAATTCAACTAAGGCAATGAAAACTAGTAAAAAATTAATAGATATTCAAACATTCGCAGAATTCAAAGAATTAATATTAAAATAAAACACAAAGAATTATTACATCCAGGAATTGAAAAAACTATCAATTAGTTCAAAAAAACCCGCTATTTCCTAGATTATCAAAATTTAATTCCAAATCTAATAATCGAATGTGAGACTTGGAACATCGCAAAAACAGAACACAGGGATACAAAATTAACTTTCGAAATAACTCCGGAAATCGCTAATGTCCGAGGAAAATATGCAATGGATTTTTACATAGTAGGAGATTAACAATTTTTGTCTTGCATTGCTATCTATTCAAAATTTGCATCATTAATAGAAATAACAACTAAGGGTTTCTAGTCGGGAGCTCCCGACTAGGGGATACGCTGAACCCTCTTCTTCCAACATCAAATGCATATACATATTCTATTTTAGAAGCTATATGTCAAGTTTGGTGACTCTAGGTCGAATTATTTACCAAAGTTGCCCAAAAACAGGATATCGATACCGATTTTTATCGATTGCTTGGAAACGGAGCAAGTTATCGATTATCGGAAACAAACTCGATCTGCGCGGGAACTAGGAGCATCTACATCTAAAATTTCAAGTCTATAGCTCTTATAGGTTCTGAGATCCTTGCGTTCATACATACGGACGGATCGACTCGGCTATTGATGCTGATCAAGAATATATATACTTTATGGGGTCGGAGATGCTTCCTTCTGCCTGTTACATACATTTGGATTTTGCACAAATACAATATACCTTTGTACCCATTTTTAATGGGTTCAGGGTATAAAAAGAAAAAGAATTACAGGTCAACAACAGACAGCGATCAAAACATACAAGCACCAGCTTAAACTAATTATTATAATATTACTATCAATAACTGTAAACCACATAAATGCACAAAGCATTGAAATTAATCCTATTAAAGCCCATAACGGCTATCTCATATTTAAAACAAGAACCATAGACATGCCGACAGATTACGAACTCCACTGTTTAACGGTTAACATAACAAAAACCGAAAAAACTTTTAACAACTTAATTGAACAAAGTAAAGAATTTAAAAACCTCATACAAATCGAGTAATTAGTAGAAAAACTAAACAGAGAAATAATCGGCTTAAAAATAGCCAAATGCAGCAAAAGGGGTTTAGTTAACATAGTGGGAACAGTATATAAATAGTCATTTGGAACATTAGACCAAGAGGACAAGACAGAAATTGAACAAAAATAAGCAGCTTAGCAGAAAACGGCGTTCAGGTTAACGAATTAAATCACATAATAGAAGCTAAAAAGAAAGGGATTGAAATCATGAACGAACTAGATCAAGAGAAACAAAAAGGAAAGAAATAAGATATCTTTATATTTAACTTACAACACTTTACAGAATATATAGAAGACATTGAGATGGGAATGCAGCTGACAAGATTAGGTATTTTTAACCCGAAATGACTAAAACATGACTATTTGTTGCATGTTAATTCTGAGAAATTGTTGAATACAAAAACTTCCACTTGGTTTAAATCAGATACAAACGAAATACTGATAATATCCCATATTCCTCGAGAAATAATAAAAAGCCCGTTATTCAAAATAATTCCATACCCGGATAATAATAATAACATTTTGACAAAAATATCTCATGAAAAATGTTTTAACCAAAGACAAAAAAGTTTATAGCAAAGAAACAAAAAATTAATTAATAATAAATGTTTGATAGGAATTTTAAACCAAATAACAATATACTAAAACTTTGCAAAATTTTAAAATCAACCATGTAGAACCAAATAATTTTAACTTGGAATTTACCAACAACTATATTAAACCATAATTGTATAAATAACAAAATAACAATAGAAGGAAACAATATAATAAAAATCTTTAATGGTTTACTGCAAATTAATGAATTTCAATTTCAAACAATATGTAAGATTATACTCAAAGCATTTACGTAAGCAATGATGCTATAAAATTAGAACCACTTTCGTTTGTACAAACGAAACAAATTATAAATGAACACACAAAAATTAACAATGTATTCCAGATAATATAAGATATAAGTTTAAAAGCAAACCTAAGAAATTAATTATAAAATATAAGAAACCAAAAGCAGAAGAAACACCTACAATAAGAGAAGATACACTACTTGTAAAAGAAGAAAATGTTACACTATATCTAAACTTAAACACCTGAGGACAGGCACTTTTCCAATGGTTGGGGGAGTGACATATCCATAGTCGCACCCACCCTTTAATATAACTTAGCACATAAGCACAAGTATAAACATTTACAATCTTGTAAACAAAGAGCCTGGTGATAACATCGACATTGGTCAAGATCAAACTGTCCCCCTTTGGTAGACATAAACAATTTACCCTAAATATCTCGCCACTGTCAATGTTCCCACCAGAGCATTATCCCACGCATAATTGCCGATGCGGCTCAAACTTCACTCAATTTTGAGTCAAGCTCTCTCAAAGCGAAGTTTGCTAAGCGACGGCAAGGGTTAGATAAATTAGTTCAGATTCGGGAAGCAAATCGGATTGTACTCAACAAAAGTAGTGAAAATAATAAATTGAAATATATTTTTTTACAATAACTGAACGTGTAAAACTTAATTATATACTATATAAATGCTATTTCGTTTAATTAACTTTTTATACCCTGAACCCATTCAAAATGGGTATAAGGGTTTATTGTATTTGTGCAAAATCCAAATGTATGTAACAGGCAGAAGGAAGCATCTCCGACCCCATAAAGTATATATATTCTTGATCAGCATCAATAGCCGTGTCGATCTAGCCATGTCCGTCTGTCTGTCCGTCCGTCTGTCTGTCCGTCCGTCTGTCCGTATGTATGAACGCAAGGATCTCAGAACCTATAAGAGCTAGAGACTTGAAATTTTCTAGATGTAGATGCTCCTAGCTCCCGCGCAGATCGAGTTTGTTTCCGATAATCGATAACTTACTCCGTTTCCAAGCAATCGATAAGAATCTATATCGATATCCTGTTTTTTGGGCAATTTTGGTAAATAATAAAAGCTAGAGTCTCCAAACTTGACATATAGCTTCTAAAATAGAATATATATACATTTGATGTTGGAAGAAGAGGGTTCAGGTTCAGTACTTTATCTATATTGTACCAGAGATTTGGCTGCTTTGGTTTACGCTAGCCTGGGGCACACAGGATCTTCTGCGCTACTGTGCGCAGGTTTGTCTAGAAATTTGCCAGCATCTGCGCATCGATCTATTCAGAATACCGTATGGCCCTAAGGTGTTAAACACCTCTTCGGTGGGCAGCCAGAGCAACGTTGGAGCTGATAAAAATGGTGGCACATCACATAGAAAGTCAAAAAGCAAAGCGCACTAAATCAATGTTCGCTCCGGTTTCATTAAAATTCACATATTTTTCAAATATTTACGGTATTAGCGCAAGCTAAACAAATTTTAAACTCAACCCAACTAAATTTACCGTCGAAATGTTAAAGCATAACAAATTATAGCATAATTAATTTATAAATGTTGTAACAAAAAAAAAGCTGGAGGCAGACCTATATCAATTATATGCATATATTACAAGTATAAATATATTTTATATAATTCTGTAAATTGTAATATATACAGTTTTTATGCTGTGCTAGATGTTTCATAGTGCAAAAACAAATAAAAATATAAATCAAATGCCAAAAATCACATTTTTGGCGTACTCAAAGCTCAATTTAAGGCTAACTCCAAGTCAATGAAAATTCATTGTAAGGATTTCCTTTATTTAATGATTTGAATTTTATTGAGCGTGCGCCTGATTCTGAATAATATATTTATGTTATTTGCGTACTATAAAATGTTATGTAGAAATATTAGCGCTTAATTTCTTACTCACTGAGTAATTAGGTATAATTACATTGTATGTATGTATGTATGTATGTATGTATGTATGCAAGGATGTCAACTCTGAAGTATGTAACATATGTAAAGAATGTAAATTGCCTATATACATTCTAAATGGTAACTCATTTCAAAAAGCAAAATTGTTTATTATTTAGCGATTGGTTTTGACCTAAAGTGTACACCTAAATTTGCACCGATTTAAAATAATAGAGTTGACTATTATCTTATGTTTGAACAGATAAACAATGCGTAAAATGCCAAAATAAAACGACTAAAATGAGTTTATGTATATTCGAATGGAATTAGTGAAATACTATTTGAACTGTTTATTAAAACTGGATTTTTTGATTTATTAAATCTGAGAACCGGAGCTGCAAATTGGTCGGTGACATCCTGCCGTGAGATTCGGTTCGTGATTCAGCCTTTCACATGCTTCATATTGATGTTGGCTAACTTTCTACCCACCTCGTGAGTATTGTTCGGTTCAGAGGTAATGTTCGATTCACATTAAAAATGAATTGGAAATCCAAATCGGGTAAAAACCTGTTTACAGCCTGAACAACAGAACAACACGTCAAATTAGAACCTCAACACAAAAGTAGTGACTTTTTAAAAGTTCGCATATTTTATTTACTTATTACCTATGATTATGATTATGATTGTTACACATATGTGAAATTATAAACGATGTATCTCAAAGATTACCATAGGATTTGCAGAAATATGCCACCAACGCCATGTCGCGCACCTCTAACGTGACACGGCCGCGATACTGGGTCAGTAAGTAGGCATCCTGGAAGCGCTGGGTTATGTACATTTCTGTCGCGGTGTGTATAGCCTCCAGGGCACCCATAGTTATCATAAAGGGCGTTAAAGTATATTTCATCATAATTTCGCGCACCAAACGCGCGAAAGGTAAACGCGGTATCATAAAGCCTGGATGCTTTTGTAACCGTTCAATTTCGCGGTTCAATTTTTGTATACGACGCTCCGGTTTATTTTGTTTGCGCCTCGAGCCAGGTCTTGATGTTAGTGGCGGCTGATGTTTCTTACTCATACTCGCTGCGGGTGTTTTTAGCGGCAGCTTTCGGGGTGTTTGTCGTACTGCCGGTGGCTGATTCTCTGAATCACTGTCGCCTTCGGATGTGTCTAGATCACGACGATGGTCTTTTGGAATGTTTTTGCGTAGCGTAGAGCACCGACGTGGAGATGTGTTCATTTCAGCCAAACGGCTTGTAGTAAACTCCAATCCGTAGTCGGTTTCGTTTTCACGATCTGGTGTTCGAAATGCAGTTTCCTCATATGAATCCTCATCATTATCTAAATGCGATTCCGATTTCTTTTTTTTCTGAGTTGAACTCTTTACAGTGCGTGGTCGCATTATGAATTCAAATTACAAATTGCCTACACTTAAGAACTTATAGCCTTTGGTTCGCTGTAATATACACAAAAATCGAATTCCCGCCTTTTTGAGCATAGTTCAGCAAAACTCTAACATATGAAAACATTCATTTTACAACACTAATTACTATGAAATTAAAAATTGGTATATAGACACTTATTAATAAACATCTATATACAAATTTAATAGTATATTAATATTTAATTATATAGCATGTACATAAATGCACAAAACTGGCGCAACTATTTGTAATTTTACATTTGAATTAAAGTCTGTATTCCAGAAGAGCAGTATTTTAGTATTTTGATGAAACGGTCTCATTGAAATATCTGGTTAATTTGTATGCGTGCCTCCACTGTTTACTTTTTGATACATTCACTTAAAAGCAGATATGTCCGAAGATAATTCTCATAGCAGGGAATATGTCTTGGAAGCAGACTCCGAGCTACGTTTTGAAAGATGCCAAGGTTCTTGTTACGGTATGCTGTAATAGTTTTGTACTCGGCGTGGGTAACATTTCTAAATCGTATTTCAGCTCGTCACAGGTTTTGCAGAGCTTTTTGGCACCGAACTGGTGAAAAAAAAGAAATATGAGTTCGGTGTTGGCGCCAAAGTGGCTTACCTACCAAGGCTGCGTGCTGCACGTGTCAGGCAAAATGGATGTGTGCTATATCTCAAAAGAGACACCAATGGTACAATATATAAACTGCCATGCAGCATTGGAGCAGTTTCGCATCGAAGCCGAAGAACGGGACAAGCGCGGCCCTGTTGTATTGATCGTAGGGCCTATGGACGTTGGAAAGAGCACACTGTGCCGCATTCTGTTAAACTATGCAGTACGCGTAGGCAGGCGACCACTTTACGCAGATCTTGATGTGGGCCAAGGTGCCATCTCCATTTCCGGCAATGTTGCCACTATCCTTATTGAACGACCAGCCAGCGTTGAGGAAGGATTTACAAAGACAGCGCCACTAGTTTATCATTTTGGTCACAAGTCCCCTGGTGCTAATAACGTGCTTTACAATGCTGTCGTCTCGAAAATGGCTGAAGTAACACTGCAGAGTCTGGATGCCAATAAACGAAGTATGTTTAACCGCATTTACTCTAGAAATTTGAAATATATGACCATATTTTTGTGTATATTCGTATTGGAGCGTTTGTATAATGATTTACTGCGCGATGTGCCTTCAAACGTCCATGTTGTCCTCTTGCCAAAAAGTGGCGGCGTAGTGGAACGCAGTAAAGAATTGCGCCACGAATCCCGCGAGCAGCGAGTCAAGGAATATTTTTATGATAATACACGTACACCATTTTTATTCTAAAGCACCGAGGTGGACATGGATCGACAATCTGTTATGCTGTTATCGCCACAGCCACGGCCGTTGCCTCCAAATGCATTGCTTTTGTGGTCAGAGATACAGTTTATGGATAATCATGCCTAATATTCACCTTGACAAGATTAGTAGTATTATGTTTGTAAATAAAACAATGAAAATTATGGCCGTGATTCCATATCAACTATATTTGTGGCGCTTTCGGCGTGCATATCCTGTCAACTGGGTCACTATCCAAACTGGCTATTCTTTCAGGTAAGTCGCTTAACTTGAATTACTTAATGGATTTTTTAATTCGATATGTGTTATTTTCAGTGCTTTTGTGCCATTGCGTTGTTTTATTGCGCACACTGGCAGACGTATGTGTCTGGAACGATGCGCTTCGGCCGCATCGATGTAACTGAGGCTCAATTCTCCATCATTGCTATACATTTGGTTTCGGCCGTGCTGGGGCCCGAGATTTGGCTGACGAAGGTAAGCCATCTGGGTGGATTGCCATGTTGCTCATATTTCCATCTTTATATAAATAGTCCCCTTATAATATTGATTTCGTTTTAAATTGAGATTTTCAGAAGTTATATTTTAAATTTTAATTGCCTATTTTAGACTATAGAAACGCCTTTTATATTATTGCAAGTGTAATTTTTCAATTATTATAATTATTTCGTCATTTACTTATGTTCTAATAAGATAAATGCAAATAGCATTAATAACTTGGCTTAAGTTCACAATGCATTAAGTTTACTAAATGCTTATTATATAAAAATCTAATATGTTTGAGACGTTAAGATAGAATGTTTATTTGTTGTTTTGCGTTGTAAGCTCTTCGGTTCGATTTATTAAGTTTAGTATCATTGGGTTGCACACTCAAACAAAATTAAAATTGAATTTTCTAATCGTACTAAAAGCATATGTTGGATTAACCCATTAGTTTATTTCCCACACATTGACATACGGACACGGCTCTAACATTTAATTCACTTGCAAATGTTAATATGGTTTACTAATTTTATTTCGTTCTATTGTAAAAAGTTTAATTTTATTATATCTCTGGCAGCATGAACTTTTGAGTAATTTAACTTGCTTTATTCTTCCGATGGAATATGTGTTTATTGTTAATAGAAAGTATTTAAAAATAAATTTTGTAATTATTCATATTAGCCACATTGAAATAATATTGAAATATTTTCTAGTTATGCTTTCTTACTATTATTCTAAGGTTTATTGGTAGCTTTAATTTTAATCAGCAATAATAGACTGCTTTTAAAACGTATATTATTTGTGGCTATTTATTAGATAAAAATTTGGTATTAATATTTTTTTCATTAATATTTATTTTATTACTCTCCATCGAAATCTATATCAAATTAAATGTTTTAATATTCCTATTAATGCATTTTTTTTCTTCTTTTAAACTTTTAAAATAGTTGACAACAATTAAAAAAATTTTGAATTTTATCAGATGCCTTATCTTGAGTGTGAAACACGCTGCTTGCCGTTTTATATGGCCAGTGGAGTTGACTTCAGTTTATCCATTTTAAACGAGGGCTGTGGGAAGAATGGATCATCTGTTGCAGTAAGATTTTGTATTTTTGTATGGCACAACCACACGAAGGCATTCTAATTAGCTTGGTCGCTAGACAAGTAGCTAAAATATCGATTGTGTTTGTCATTATTTCTCGATTTATATAAATGGTCATGTAATTTATGCTCTTGTACAGGGTATAATAATGAAGTCGCAAAATGTGTTATGCATTGTTGGTGGTGGTATTGTCAGAAACTTATTAAGTCCCGGTTAGGAATTGTCTGTTCATCAATTACTTTGGATGGTTATCTGTGTTCACGCAATTTTATATAATTGGTGTAGGTTGGTTAAACGACAAAAACTATTGTAACCACCCATTTACATGAAAATTCCAAAAGAAATATATCATGCATTTTTGCAAGTTTTTGTTAGTTACTACGTTAATTTGAAAATCATTTTTTTGTATATTACAAAGCGCTCATACTCGAACTCAGTTATTTGCCACAGATTAATTACAATATTTGCGCATACGACTACAAGGGTATATAAACTTCGGCACTCCGAAGCTAAATGTTGCATACTTTTAAGTTTCTTGTTGTATTGTTTTTATACCTAATGATGCACGTTTAATATGCATATGTTATTTTAACTGTTTGCCATTTGGGGTTTCAGACTTGCTTTCTTTATTTTTATATAAATACTGTTACTTTATTGTTGGCTTGGCTTCTACAGCAAAAGACCCGCTCACATTTACTAACAAACATTCACACCCACAAATTAGCGCTAGACCATGTTATTAAAATGTTATTATTAAAATGACCATTAAATAACGTAAATCCCAACAAACAAAAAGCCCAAAATAAATGTTGCTTTTGGTCAACCTAATGCTGTGAATTTGCAAAATGTGCCCCCTGGAACGCTAGCCCATGCACACATATATAAGGCAGCAGCTCGTACAAAGCGGTCACAATTTGCAATCTCACAATCGTTAAGAATTCACCAAATTTGTATAAAACAATATATTTTTTATATTTATCATCTATACAAAGGGAACCAGTGTTCTATCGCCTAGTATACCGCTGACACTTGTAGTGCTGCCCGCGCTGATGATAGCGCAAAAGTCGCCGGAAAATATTTTTACGGAGCACGCTTCAGTTTTTATTCTGGCTTTTGGCATGGTGGCTGCCAAAATTACCAACAAGCTGGTGGTAAATTTATCTTAATCTAAAAACAATCATTTTTTATATTTTATTTTATGTTATGAAATGTGTAATCTATAGATGAAGACATCTTCAACCCCATAGTATATATATATTTATAAGTAGCCAAATATGGTAGCCATTTATGTCTATCTGTAACTACTAAAACAAGTAAGGGGTTCTAGTCGGGAGCTCCCGACTAGGGGATACCCTGAAGGACGGACGGACGGACGGACAGACAGACGGACATGGGTAGATCGACTCGGCTATTGATGCTGATCAAGAATATATATGTATACTTTATGGGGTCGGAGATGCTTCCTTCTGTCTGTTACATACATTTTGATTTTGCACAAATACAATATACCATAATACCCATTTTTAATGGGTTTAGGGTATAAAAAAACATTCAAACAATAAACTAAATTAAATGTACAAATTACAAAAACAAAGTGCAAAGAAATAAAAGTGCAAAATTAAAGAACTAAAAGTTCAAAGCTACAAACTCAAAACTATTAAAAAAAAAAAAATTCATCCAACACAAAAAAAAAAAAAGTGTATTACACTAAGATGCCCATGGAATTATCAGAACAACACCTCAACCAGGCCCTCTCACAACTGAGACAGGTGCCAAGTTTTGAAGGATCAACGGAAAATCTCAACGTTTTCACTAAAAGGATCGATTACATCCTACACCTTTATTTAACCCGAGATGTTAGACAACACATAGAGATGCTCAGAGAATTTCACAAAGGACAGTTTACTTTTTAATTTACGAACGATCGTTCCTGTGGCAGCTATATGATATAGTGGTTCGGTAATAATAGGATTTTGCATATATACGAGGAGTACAGTAAAACTAATAATTATAGAGTTTGGTCAAGATATCTTGAAAATAAAAAATGTTTTGTCATACAACAACTTAATTTTCGACCGATCGTTCCTATGGCAGCTATATGAAATAGTGGTCCGATCCAACTGGTTTTGACATATGTGCTGCGTGCAACAGAAAGAGCGAGTGCTGCAAAGTTTCATTAAGATAGCTTTAAAACTGAGAGACTAGTTCGCATAGAAACAGACAGACGGACAGACGGACATGGCTATATCGACTCGGCTGTTGATGCTGATCAAGAATATATATACTTTATGGGATCGGAGATGTCTCCTTCTATGCGTTACACATTTCACGACAAAATTATAATACCCTCTGCAAGGGTATAAAAAGGAACCGAGAACGAAACAAAAGTTACGAATTACTTTCATAAAACCAACATACAAATTGCATACAAAGACATGACTAACGCGCATGCCAAAGAATTAATAAAAGAATACTTATGCACAAAGAAAAGTGTGTTATACTTCCACAATGAAGCAGACTTTCCAATTTTTCAAGAAGCCTACTTAGAAATAATAAGTCCGAATAATTCAACTAAGGCAATGAAAACTAGTAAAAAATTAATAGATATTCAAACATTCGCAGAATTCAAAGAATTAATATTAAAATAAAACACAAAGAATTATTACATCCAGGAATTGAAAAAACTATCAATTAGTTCAAAAAAACCCGCTATTTCCTAGATTATCAAAATTTAATTCCAAATCTAATAATCGAATGTGAGACTTGGAACATCGCAAAAACAGAACACAGGGATACAAAATTAACTTTCGAAATAACTCCGGAAATCGCTAATGTCCGAGGAAAATATGCAATGGATTTTTACATAGTAGGAGATTAACAATTTTTGTCTTGCATTGCTATCTATTCAAAATTTGCATCATTAATAGAAATAACAACTAAGGGTTTCTAGTCGGGAGCTCCCGACTAGGGGATACGCTGAACCCTCTTCTTCCAACATCAAATGCATATACATATTCTATTTTAGAAGCTATATGTCAAGTTTGGTGACTCTAGGTCGAATTATTTACCAAAGTTGCCCAAAAACAGGATATCGATACCGATTTTTATCGATTGCTTGGAAACGGAGCAAGTTATCGATTATCGGAAACAAACTCGATCTGCGCGGGAACTAGGAGCATCTACATCTAAAATTTCAAGTCTATAGCTCTTATAGGTTCTGAGATCCTTGCGTTCATACATACGGACGGATCGACTCGGCTATTGATGCTGATCAAGAATATATATACTTTATGGGGTCGGAGATGCTTCCTTCTGCCTGTTACATACATTTGGATTTTGCACAAATACAATATACCTTTGTACCCATTTTTAATGGGTTCAGGGTATAAAAAGAAAAAGAATTACAGGTCAACAACAGACAGCGATCAAAACATACAAGCACCAGCTTAAACTAATTATTATAATATTACTATCAATAACTGTAAACCACATAAATGCACAAAGCATTGAAATTAATCCTATTAAAGCCCATAACGGCTATCTCATATTTAAAACAAGAACCATAGACATGCCGACAGATTACGAACTCCACTGTTTAACGGTTAACATAACAAAAACCGAAAAAACTTTTAACAACTTAATTGAACAAAGTAAAGAATTTAAAAACCTCATACAAATCGAGTAATTAGTAGAAAAACTAAACAGAGAAATAATCGGCTTAAAAATAGCCAAATGCAGCAAAAGGGGTTTAGTTAACATAGTGGGAACAGTATATAAATAGTCATTTGGAACATTAGACCAAGAGGACAAGACAGAAATTGAACAAAAATAAGCAGCTTAGCAGAAAACGGCGTTCAGGTTAACGAATTAAATCACATAATAGAAGCTAAAAAGAAAGGGATTGAAATCATGAACGAACTAGATCACGAGAAACAAAAAGGAAAGAAATAAGATATCTTTATATTTAACTTACAACACTTTACAGAATATATAGAAGACATTGAGATGGGAATGCAGCTGACAAGATTAGGTATTTTTAACCCGAAATGACTAAAACATGACTATTTGTTGCATGTTAATTCTGAGAAATTGTTGAATACAAAAACTTTCACTTGGTTTAAATCAGATACAAACGAAATACTGATAATATCCCATATTCCTCGAGAAATAATAAAAAGCCCGTTATTCAAAATAATTCCATACCCGGATAATAATAATAACATTTTGACAAAAATATCTCATGAAAAATGTTTTAACCAAAGACAAAAAAGTTTATAGCAAAGAAACAAAAAATTAATTAATAATAAATGTTTGATAGGAATTTTAAACCAAATAACAATATACTAAAACTTTGCAAAATTTTAAAATCAACCATGTAGAACCAAATAATTTTAACTTGGAATTTACCAACAACTATATTAAACCATAATTGTATAAATAACAAAATAACAATAGAAGGAAACAATATAATAAAAATCTTTAATGGTTTACTGCAAATTAATGAATTTCAATTTCAAACAATATGTAAGATTATACTCAAAGCATTTACGTAAGCAATGATGCTATAAAATTAGAACCACTTTCGTTTGTACAAACGAAACAAATTATAAATGAACACACAAAAATTAACAATGTATTCCAGATAATATAAGATATAAGTTTAAAAGCAAACCTAAGAAATTAATTATAAAATATAAGAAACCAAAAGCAGAAGAAACACCTACAATAAGAGAAGATACACTACTTGTAAAAGAAGAAAATGTTACACTATATCTAAACTTAAACACCTGAGGACAGGCACTTTTCCAATGGTTGGGGGAGTGACATATCCATAGTCGCACCCACCCTTTAATATAACTTAGCACATAAGCACAAGTATAAACATTTACAATCTTGTAAACAAAGAGCCTGGTGATAACATCGACATTGGTCAAGATCAAACTGTCCCCCTTTGGTAGACATAAACAATTTACCCTAAATATCTCGCCACTGTCAATGTTCCCACCAGAGCATTATCCCACGCATAATTGCCGACGCGGCTCAAACTTCACTCAATTTTGAGTCAAGCTCTCTCAAAGCGAAGTTTGCTAAGCGACGGCAAGGGTTAGATAAATTAGTTCAGATTCGGGAAGCAAATCGGATTGTACTCAACAAAAGTAGTGAAAATAATAAATTGAAATACATTTTTTTACAATAACTGAACGTGTAAAACTTAATTATATACTATATAAATATAAATGCTATTTCGTTTAATTAACTTTTTATACCCTGAACCCATTAAAAATGGGTATAAGGGTATATTGTATTTGTGCAAAATCCAAATGTATGTAACAGGCAGAAGGAAGCATCTCCGACCCCATAAAGTATATATATTCTTGATCAGCATCAATAGCCGTGTCGATCTAGCCATGTCCGTCTGTCTGTCCGTCCGTCTGTCTGTCCGTCCGTCTGTCCGTATGTATGAACGCAAGGATCTCAGAACCTATAAGAGCTAGAGACTTGAAATTTTCTAGATGTAGATGCTCCTAGTTCCCGCGCAGATCGAGTTTGTTTCCGATAATCGATAACTTACTCCGTTTCCAAGCAATCGATAAGAATCTATATCGATATCCTGTTTTTTGGGCAATTTTGGTAAATAATAAAAGCTAGAGTCTCCAAACTTGACATATAGCTTCTAAAATAGAATATATATATACATTTGATGTTGGAAGAAGAGGGTTCAGGGTATCCCCTAGTCGGGAGCTCCCGACTAGAACCTCTTACTTGTTTTCAATATCTAATTAGCACATTAGCATCAAAATATAAGGTTTGCTTTTAACCAAATCCATTTAATTTAAATCCTATTAATGTGTTCCTCTTGCGATATAGATAGCGCACATGACCAAAGCGGAGATGGAGTATCTGGACTGGTCGCTGCTGGGTCCTGCTTTATTGTTCCTGAATCAGTACTTTAACTGTATTGTACCAGAGATTTGGCTGCTTTGGTTTACGCTAGCCTGGGGCACACAGGATCTTCTGCGCTACTGTGCGCAGGTTTGTCTAGAAATTTGCCAGCATCTGCGCATCGATCTATTCAGAATACCGTATGGCCCTAAGGTGTTAAACACCTCTTCGGTGGGCAGCCAGAGCAACGTTGGAGCTGATAAAAATGGTGGCACATCACATAGAAAGTCAAAAAGCAAAGCGCACTAAATCAATGTTCGCTCCGGTTTCATTAAAATTCACATATTTTTCAAATATTTACGGTATTAGCGCAAGCTAAACAAATTTTAAACTCAACCCAACTAAATTTACCGTCGAAATGTTAAAGCATAACAAATTATAGCATAATTAATTTATAAATGTTGTAACAAAAAAAAAGCTGCAGGCAGACCTATATCAATTATATGCATATATTACAAGTATAAATATATTTTATATAATTCTGTAAATTGTAATATATACAGTTTTTATGCTGTGCTAGATGTTTCATAGTGCAAAAACAAATAAAAATATAAATCAAATGCCAAAAATCACATTTTTGGCGTACTCAAAGCTCAATTTAAGGCTAACTCCAAGTCAATGAAAATTCATTGTAAGGATTTCCTTTATTTAATGATTTGAATTTTATTGAGCGTGCGCCTGATTCTGAATAATATATTTATGTTATTTGCGTACTATAAAATGTTATGTAGAAATATTAGAAATATTAGAAATATTATTATTATTATTTAGCGATTGGTTTTGACCTAAAGTGTACACCTAAATTTGCACCGATTTAAAATAATAGAGTTGACTATTATCTTATGTTTGAACAGATAAACAATGCGTAAAATGCCAAAATAAAACGACTAAAAATGAGTTTATGTATATTCGAATGGAATTAGTGAAATACTATTTGAACTGTTTATTAAAACTGGATTTTTTGATTTATTAAATCTGAGAACCGGAGCTGCAAATTGGTCGGTGACATCCTGCCGTGAGATTCGGTTCGTGATTCAGCCTTTCACATGCTTCATATTGATGTTGGCTAACTTTCTACCCACCTCGTGAGTATTGTTCGGTTCAGAGGTAATGTTCGATTCACATTAAAAATGAATTGGAAATCCAAATCGGGTAAAAACCTGTTTACAGCCTGAACAACAGAACAACACGTCAAATTAGAACCTCAACACAAAAGTAGTGACTTTTTAAAAGTTCGCATATTTTATTTACTTATTACCTATGATTATGATTATGATTGTTACACATATGTGAAATTATAAACGATGTATCTCAAAGATTACCATAGGATTTGCAGAAATATGCCACCAACGCCATGTCGCGCACCTCTAACGTGACACGGCCGCGATACTGGGTCAGTAAGTAGGCATCCTGGAAGCGCTGGGTTATGTACATTTCTGTCGCGGTGTGTATAGCCTCCAGGGCACCCATAGTTATCATAAAGGGCGTTAAAGTATATTTCATCATAATTTCGCGCACCAAACGCGCGAAAGGTAAACGCGGTATCATAAAGCCTGGATGCTTTTGTAACCGTTCAATTTCGCGGTTCAATTTTTGTATACGACGCTCCGGTTTATTTTGTTTGCGCCTCGAGCCAGGTCTTGATGTTAGTGGCGGCTGATGTTTCTTACTCATACTCGCTGCGGGTGTTTTTAGCGGCAGCTTTCGGGGTGTTTGTCGTACTGCCGGTGGCTGATTCTCTGAATCACTGTCGCCTTCGGATGTGTCTAGATCACGACGATGGTCTTTTGGAACGTTTTTGCGTAGCGTAGAGCACCGACGTGGAGATGTGTTCATTTCAGCCAAACGGCTTGTAGTAATCTCCAATTCGTAGTCGGTTTCGTTTTCACGATCTGGTGTTCGAAATGCAGTTTCCTCATATGAATCCTCAACATTATCTAAATGCGATTCCGATTTCTTCTTTTTCTGAGTTGAACTCTTTACAGTGCGTGGTCGCATTATGAATTCAAATTACAAATTGCCTACACTTAAGAACTTATAGCCTTTGGTTCGCTGTAATATACACCAAAATCGAATTCCCGCCTTTTTGAGCATAGTTCAGCAAAACTCTAACATATGAAAACATTCATTTTACAACACTAATTACTATGAAATTAAAAATTGGTATATAGACACTTATTAATAAACATCTATATACAAATTTAATAGTATATTAATATTTAATTATATAGCATGTACATAAATGCACAAAACTGGCGCAACTATTTGTAATTTTACATTTGAATTAAAGTCTGTATTCCAGAAGAGCAGTATTTTAGTATTTTGATGAAACGGTCTCATTGAAATATCTGGTTAATTTGTATGCGTGCCTCCACTGTTTACTTTTTGATACGTTCACCTAAAAGCAGATATGTCCGAAGATAATTCTCATAGCAGGGAATATGTCTTGGAAGCAGACTCCGAGCTACGTTTTGAAAGATGCCAAGGTTCTTGTTACGGTATGCTGTAATAGTTTTGTACTCGGCGTGGGTAACATTTCTAAATCGTATTTCAGCTCGTCACAGGTTTTGCAGAGCTTTTTGGCACCGAACTGGTGAAAAAAAAGAAATATGAGTTCGGTGTTGGCGCCAAAGTGGCTTACCTACCAAGGCTGCGTGCTGCACGTGTCAGGCAAAATGGATGTGTGCTATATCTCAAAAGAGACACCAATGGTACAATATATAAACTGCCATGCAGCATTGGAGCAGTTTCGCATCGAAGCCGAAGAACGGGACAAGCGCGGCCCTGTTGTATTGATCGTAGGGCCTATGGACGTTGGAAAGAGCACACTGTGCCGCATTCTGTTAAACTATGCAGTACGCGTAGGCAGGCGACCACTTTACGCAGATCTTGATGTGGGCCAAGGTGCCATCTCCATTTCCGGCAATGTTGCCACTATCCTTATTGAACGACCAGCCAGCGTTGAGGAAGGATTTACAAAGACAGCGCCACTAGTTTATCATTTTGGTCACAAGTCCCCTGGTGCTAATAACGTGCTTTACAATGCTGTCGTCTCGAAAATGGCTGAAGTAACACTGCAGAGTCTGGATGCCAATAAACGAAGTATGTTTAACCGCATTTACTCTAGAAATTTGAAATATATGACTATATTTTTGTGTAGCCAAAAGCTCTGGGATCATTGTCAACACATGTGGATGGGTGAAGGGCTCTGGCTATGCACATTTGTTGCATGCAGCACGAGCTTATCGCGCTCGCGCCGTATTCGTATTGGATCAGGAGCGTTTGTATAATGATTTACTGCGCGATGTGCCTTCAAACGTCCATGTTGTCCTCTTGCCAAAAAGTGGCGGCGTAGTGGAACGCAGTAAAGAATTGCGCCACGAATCCCGCGAGCAGCGTGTCAAGGAATATTTTTATGGTAATACACGTACACCTTTCTATCCCTTTTCGTTCGAGGTCAAATTTCAGGACCTACGGCTGTACAAAATTGGCGCACCACCATTACCCGATTCATGTATGCCAATTGGTATGAAAGCGGAAGACAACAAAAAGAAAGTTGTACCGGTTACACCCACTCCGTCGCTGCTACATCACATTCTTACGCTCACTTTTGCAGTCTACGGACGATGATGTTATTGGCACTAATGTTGCAGGCTTCTGTTGTGTGTAAGTTTAATCAAGTGATTTTCGCACGAATACATTTAATGATGCCATTTTTATTCTGAAGCACCGAGGCCACGGCCGTTGCCTCCAAATGCATTGCTTTTGTGGTCAGAGATACAGTTTATGGATAATCATGCCTAATATTCACCTTGACAAGATTAGTAGTATTATGTTTGTAAATAAAACAATGAAAATTATGGCTGTGATTCCATATCAACTATATTTGTGGCGCTTTCGGCGTGCATATCCTGTCAACTGGGTCACTATCCAAACTGGCTATTCTTTCAGGTAAGTCGCTTAACTTGAATTACTTAATGGATTTTTTAATTCGATATGTGTTATTTTCAGTGCTTTTGTGCCATTGCGTTGTTTTATTGCGCACACTGGCAGACGTATGTGTCTGGAACGATGCGCTTCGGCCGCATCGATGTAACTGAGGCTCAATTCTCCATCATTGCTATACATTTGGTTTCGGCCGTGCTGGGGCCCGAGATTTGGCTGACGAAGGTAAGCCATCTGGGTGGATTGCCATGTTGCTCATATTTCCATCTTTATATAAATAGTCCCCTTATAATATTGATTTCGTTTTAAATTGAGATTTTCAGAAGTTATATTTTAAATTTTAATTGCCTATTTTAGACTATAGAAACGCCTTTTATATTATTGCAAGTGTAATTTTTCAATTATTATAATTATTTCGTCATTTACTTATGTTCTAATAAGATAAATGCAAATAGCATCAATAGCTTGACTTAAGTTCACAATGCATTAAGTTTACTAAATGCTTATTATATAAGTACCTAATATGTTTGAGATGTTAAGATAGAATGTTTATTTGTTGTTTTGCGTTGTAAGCTCTTTGGTTCGATTTATTAAGTTTAGTATCATTGGGTTGCAAACAAAAAAAGACAAATTCATTTCACAAACTTTAACGAAATTAAATGAGACTGCAATACATACATTAATATTAACTTTGTATTAGCTAGAGTTTAAAGAAAAGCTCTTGTTCCCATAAATAGCTTAAAGGTAATAATTCCAAACCACATTGTAATTGTCTCAATACCTTTTACTTTTATGTTGCATTCAAATGTGTGCCACTGCGCCACAAAACAAAACAATACAAAATGCCTAATCTACTAAAAACCAACAAATATTTAACACATACACACAATCGTATCCAATATACAAACACAGATTGGCATTGGCAATATTGAGCTTTGGTATGGTCCTGCTATAACGACCATTGTGTGTGGTGTAATCTCCTTAACCTATGTATTTTCCGTCGTTGTGGCCGGTGGTGTTGGCAAAAATGGCTCCACAGTTGCTGTAAGTCTGAAAAATACACACAAATATGTACAAAAATGTGCATAAAAACCAAATCAGATAAATGACTGCTAACAAATATTTTGGGGTTTTCCTTTTACTATATGTACAAATATTATGAGCTACTGATTTTCACCATTTTATAATTTGTTTGTTTTGTACTAAAAGTTAAAAGAGAGCCGCTTGACTTGGCAAGTTTTCGAGCTCTGAAGATAGGCAGATGTTTCAATTAAATTGTGTTTCCTTAAGCTAAATTTTATAAAATAAATCGGTGATTTTGCTTACATATGTATGTATATAGTAATGCTATAAAATTTGTATGCCACTTATTTGGCAAACGATATCAGGAAGCTCCAATTATTTTGAAATAATTCACGTGTAAAACCCCTAAAATATTGTATGCTGTCTGATGTTTATTTCAACCACAAACAGAAACAGGAAGACACATACAACAAAAATTATTTTGGCTCTCAATTCGCAAAATCTAAATTGAACATTAATATTGCAATGCGGCTATTTCGTGGGAACGTGGTGTGGGTCCTTGTTTTCCTTTTTACCCCAATTGCTTGCCTTAACTTTCTACATTTATACTTATTATACACATATACATATTTATAAATTGTACCTTTGTTAATGTTTCCTAGTTTTAAAGCCGCTGTCTTGCTTCTTTGCCTCGTGCTTTAACTCATAACAAAACTTTAATATTGCTGACTCCTACTTGGCATGCTCTAATAATACTGTTGAATGCCTAAATTCAATAGAATGCGATATGCATAATTGATCTTTCTTTGTCACTTGTATGACCAACAATTGTATTGTATATTTGTAGAAGTCCTGAATCATAAGTTTAAAACTATATGTATGTATCTATATACTGTTGGCTAAGGGATTTAGCTTTAATTAATTTAATGTATCTCAAAGAGTACGTAGCATTAAGTTAGATTGGCACTTTATATTGTGATGCTTGCGGTATCATTTTTTTGAAAACTATAGCTGAAAAACTGTCGGGGTTCGAATATAATTTTAATAATTGTGTTTTTTACTGAATTATAAAGCCTCGAGTTATGAACTCGGCAATCAACCCTCCATTGTTTTAAGCTTACACTAATACTTCTTATGCCGCAAAAGTTCTAAGATTTAGGTTAACGATTTTTTTAATTTTCATGCAAATTGTTCTGTTTTGTTTACTGTTATTGTTTTTGTTTTGTTCTGTGATCTCTTCTCATATACAATAGATGCCAATCGTGGGAGTTTCATGGAATTATACAATATTAGTATTTATCACTTTCGGTTATACGTTGAATATAATCAATTTTCTAAAAATGTTTATTGAAGGCGGCAGTGGCAAAAACGGCTCATCAGTTGCTGTAAGCATTGCTATCCATATACGAAACGCGACAAACGTTTTAAATCAAAATTGAATTTTCTAATCGTACTAAAAGCATCTGTTGGATTAACCCATTAGTTTATTTCCCACACATTGACATACGGACACGGCTCTAACATTTAATCCATTTGCAAATGTTTATATGGTTTACTAATTTTATTGTTGTATTGCATAAAGTAAGACAAATTTATTGGGATTATTGCTGTAAGAAATTTAATTATATTACTCTGGCAGCATGAACTTTTGAGTAATTTAACTTGCTTTATTCTTCCGATGGAATATGTGTTTATTGTTAATAGAAAGTATTTAAAAATAAATCTTGTAATTATTCATATTAGCCACATTGAAATAATATTGAAATATTTTCTAGTTATGCTTTCTTACAATTATTCTAAGGTTTATTGGTAGCTTTAATTTTAATCAGCAATAATAGACTGCTTTTAAAACGTATATTATTTGTGGCTATTTACTAGATAAAAATTTGGTATTAATATTTTTTTCATTAATATTTATTTTATTACTCTCCATCGAAATCTATATCAAATTAAATGTTTTAATATTCCTATTAATGCATTTTTTTCTTCTTTTAAACATTTAAAATAGTTGACAACAATTAAAAAATTTTGAATTTTATCAGATGCCTTATCTTGAGTGTGAAACACGCTGCTTGCCGTTTTATATGGCCAGTGGAGTTGACTTCAGTTTATCCATTTTAAACGAGGGCTGTGGGAAGAATGGATCATCTGTTGCAGTAAGATTTTGTATTTTTGTATGGCACAACCACACGAAGGCATTCTAATTAGCTTGGTCGCTAGACAAGTAGCTAAAATATCGATTGTGTTTGTCATTATTTCTCGATTTATATAAATGGTCATGTAATTTATGCTCTTGTACAGGGTATAATAATGAAGTCGCAAAATGTGTTATGCATTGTTGGTGGTGGTATTGTCAGAAACTTATTAAGTCCCGGTTAGGAATTGTCTGTTCATCAATTACTTTGGATGGTTATCTGTGTTCACGCAATTTTATATAATTGGTGTAGGTTGGTTAAACGACAAAAACTATTGTAACCACCCATTTACATGAAAATTCCAAAAGAAATATATCATGCATTTTTGCAAGTTTTTGTTAGTTACTACGTTAATTTGAAAATCATTTTTTTGTATATTACAAAGCGCTCATACTCGAACTCAGTTATTTGCCACAGATTAATTACAATATTTGCGCATACGACTACAAGGGTATATAAACTTCGGCACTCCGAAGCTAAATGTTGCATACTTTTAAGTTTCTTGTTGTATTGTTTTTATACCTAATGATGCACGTTTAATATGCATATGTTATTTTAACTGTTTGCCATTTGGGGTTTCAGACTTGCTTTCTTTATTTTTATATAAATACTGTTACTTTATTGTTGGCTTGGCTTCTACAGCAAAAGACCCGCTCACATTTACTAACAAACATTCACACCCACAAATTAGCGCTAGACCATGTTATTTAAAAAAATGACCATTAAATAACGTAAATCCCAACAAACAAAAAGCCCAAAATAAATGTTGCTTTTGGTCAACCTGTGAATTTGCAAAATGTGCCCCCTGGAACGCTAGCCCATGCACACATATATAAGGCAGCAGCTCGTACAAAGCGGTCACAATTTGCAATCTCACAATCGTTAAGAATTCACCAAATTTGTATAAAACAATATATTTTTTATATTTATCATCTATACAAAGGGAACCAGTGTTCTATCGCCTAGTATACCGCTGACACTTGTAGTGCTGCCCGCGCTGATGATAGCGCAAAAGTCGCCGGAAAATATTTTTACGGAGCACGCTTCAGTTTTTATTCTGGCTTTTGGCATGGTGGCTGCCAAAATTACCAACAAGCTGGTGGTAAATTTATCTTAATCTAAAAACAATCATTTTTTATATTTTATTTTATGTTATGAAATGTGTAATCTATAGATGAAGACATCTTCAACCCCATAGTATATATATATTTATAAGTAGCCAAATATGGTAGCCATTTATGTCTATCTGTAACTACTAAAACAGGTAAGGGGTTCTAGTCGGGAGCTCCCGACTAGGGGATACCCTGAAGGACGGACGGACGGACGGACAGACAGACGGACATGGGTAGATCGACTCGGCTATTGATGCTGATCAAGAATATATATGTGTACTTTATGGGGTCGGAGATGCTTCCTTCTGTCTGTTACATACATTTTGATTTTGCACAAATACAATATACCATAATACCCATTTTTAATGGGTTTAGGGTATAAAAAAACATTCAAACAATAAACTAAATTAAATGTACAAATTAGAAAAACAAAGTGCAAAGAAATAAAAGTGCAAAATAAAAGAACTAAAAAGTTCAAAGCTACAAACTCAAAACTATTAAAAAAAAAAAAATTCATCCAACACAAAAAAAAAAAAAAAGTGTATTACACTAAGATGCCCATGGAATTATCAGAACAACACCTCAACCAGGCCCTCTCACAACTGAGACAGGTGCCAAGTTTTGAAGGATCAACGGAAAATCTCAACGTTTTCACTAAAAGGATCGATTACATCCTACACCTTTATTTAACCCGAGATGTTAGACAACACAGCATTTTATACGGAGCCATCGAATTGCAAGTCACTGGAGATGCTCAGAGAATTTCACAAAGGACAGTTTACTTTTTAATTTACGACCGATCGTTCCTGTGGCAGCTATATGATATAGTGGTTCGGTAATAATAGGATTTTGCATATATACGAGGAGTACAGTAAAACTAATAATTATAGAGTTTGGTCAAGATATCTTGAAAATAAAAAATGTTTTGTCATACAACTACTTAATTTTCGACCGATCGTTCCTATGGCAGCTATATGAAATAGTGGTCCGATCCAACTGGTTTTGACATATGTGCTGCGTGCAACAGAAAGAGCGAGTGCTGCAAAGTTTCATTAAGATAGCTTTAAAACTGAGAGACTAGTTCGCATAGAAACAGACAGACGGACAGACGGACATGGCTATATCGACTCGGCTGTTGATGCTGATCAAGAATATATATACTTTATGGGATCGGAGATGTCTCCTTCTATGCGTTACACATTTCACGACAAAATTATAATACCCTCTGCAAGGGTATAAAAAGGAACCGAGAACGAAACAAAAGTTACGAATTACTTTCATAAAACCAACATACAAATTGCATACAAAGACATGACTAACGCGCATGCCAAAGAATTAATAAAAGAATACTTATGCACAAAGAAAAGTGTGTTATACTTCCACAATGAAGCAGATTTTCCAATTTTTCAAGAAGCCTACTTAGAAATAATAAGTCCGAATAATTCAACTAAGGCAATGAAAACTAGTAAAAAATTAATAGATATTCAAACATTCGCAGAATTCAAAGAATTAATATTAAAATAAAACACAAAGAATTATTACATCCAGGAATTGAAAAAACTATCAATTAGTTCAAAAAAACCCGCTATTTCCTAGATTATCAAAATTTAATTCCAAATCTAATAATCGAATGTGAGACTTGGAACATCGCAAAAACAGAACACAGGGATACAAAATTAACTTTCGAAATAACTCCGGAAATCGCTAATGTCCGAGGAAAATATGCAATGGATTTTTACATAGTAGGAGATTAACAATTTTTGTCTTGCATTGCTATCTATTCAAAATTTGCATCATTAATAGAAATAACAACTAAGGGTTTCTAGTCGGGAGCTCCCGACTAGGGGATACGCTGAACCCTCTTCTTCCAACATCAAATGCATATACATATTCTATTTTAGAAGCTATATGTCAAGTTTGGTGACTCTAGGTCGAATTATTTACCAAAGTTGCCCAAAAACAGGATATCGATACCGATTTTTATCGATTGCTTGGAAACGGAGCAAGTTATCGATTATCGGAAACAAACTCGATCTGCGCGGGAACTAGGAGCATCTACATCTAAAATTTCAAGTCTATAGCTCTTATAGGTTCTGAGATCCTTGCGTTCATACATACGGACGGATCGACTCGGCTATTGATGCTGATCAAGAATATATATACTTTATGGGGTCGGAGATGCTTCCTTCTGCCTGTTACATACATTTGGATTTTGCACAAATACAATATACCTTTGTACCCATTTTTAATGGGTTCAGGGTATAAAAAGAAAAAGAATTACAGGTCAACAACAGACAGCGATCAAAACATACAAGCACCAGCTTAAACTAATTATTATAATATTACTATCAATAACTGTAAACCACATAAATGCACAAAGCACTGAAATTAATCCTATTAAAGCCCATAACGGCTATCTCATATTTAAAACAAGAACCATAGACATGCCGACAGATTACGAACTCCACTGTTTAACGGTTAACATAACAAAAACCGAAGAAACTTTTAACAACTTAATTGAACAAAGTAAAGAATTTAAAAACCTAATACAAATCGAATACCTAGTAGAAAAACTAAACAGAGAAATAATCGGCTTAAAAATAGCCAAACGCAGCAAAAGAGGTTTACTTAACATAGTGGGAACAGTATATAAATAGTCATTTGGAACATTAGACCAAGAGGACAAGACAGAAATTGAACAAAAATAAGCAGCTTAGCAGAAAACGGCGTTCAGGTTAACGAATTAAATCACATAATAGAAGCTAAAAAGAAAGGGATTGAAATCATGAACGAACTAGATCAAGAGAAACAAAAAGGAAAGAAATAAGATATCTTTATATTTAACTTACAACACTTTACAGAATATATAGAAGACATTGAGATGGGAATGCAGCTGACAAGATTAGGTATTTTTAACCCGAAATGACGAAAACATGACTATTTGTTGCATGTTAATTCTGAGAAATTGTTGAATACAAAAACTTCCACTTGGTTTAAATCAGATACAAACGAAATACTGATAATATCCCATATTCCTCGAGAAATAATAAAAAGCCCGTTATTCAAAATAATTCCATACCCGGATAATAATAATAACATTTTGACAAAAATATCTCATGAAAAATGTTTTAACCAAAGACAAAAAAGTTTATAGCAAAGAAACAAAAAAATTAATTAATAATAAATGTGTGATAGGAATTTTAAACCAAATAACATTAGAATGTAGTTATACTAAAACTTTGCAAAATTTTAAAATCAACCATGTAGAACCAAATAATTTTAACTTGGAATTTACCAACAACTATATTAAACCATAATTGTATAAATAACAAAATAACAATAGAAGGAAACAATATAATAAAAATCTTTAATGGTTTACTGCAAATTAATGAATTTCAATTTCAAACAATATGTAAGATTATACTCAAAGCATTTACGTAAGCAATGATGCTATAAAATTAGAACCACTTTCGTTTGTACAAACGAAACAAATTATAAATGAACACACAAAAATTAACAATGTATTCCAGATAATATAAGATATAAGTTTAAAAGCAAACCTTAGAAATTAATTATGAAATATAAGAAACCAAAAGCAGAAGAAACACCTACAATAAGAGAAGATACACTACTTGTAAAAGAAGAAAATGTTACACTATATCTAAACTTAAACACCTGAGGACAGGCACTTTTCCAATGGTTGGGGGAGTGACATATCCATAGTCGCACCCACCCTTTAATATAACTTAGCACATAAGCACAAGTATAAACATTTACAATCTTGTAAACAAAGAGCCTGGTGATAACATCGACATTGGTCAAGATCAAACTGTCCCCCTTTGGTAGACATAAACAATTTACCCTAAATATCTCGCCACTGTCAATGTTCCCACCAGAGCATTATCCCACGCATAATTGCCGACGCGGCTCAAACTTCACTCAATTTTGAGTCAAGCTCTCTCAAAGCGAAGTTTGCTAAGCGACGGCAAGGGTTAGATAAATTAGTTCAGATTCGGGAAGCAAATCGGATTGTACTCAACAAAAGTAGTGAAAATAATAAATTGAAATACATTTTTTTACAATAACTGAACGTGTAAAACTTAATTATATACTATATAAATATAAATGCTATTTCGTTTAATTAACTTTTTATACCCTGAACCCATTAAAAATGGGTATAAGGGTATATTGTATTTGTGCAAAATCCAAATGTATGTAACAGGCAGAAGGAAGCATCTCCGACCCCATAAAGTATATATATTCTTGATCAGCATCAATAGCCGTGTCGATCTAGCCATGTCCGTCTGTCTGTCCGTCCGTCTGTCTGTCCGTCCGTCTGTCCGTATGTATGAACGCAAGGATCTCAGAACCTATAAGAGCTAGAGACTTGAAATTTTCTAGATGTAGATGCTCCTAGTTCCCGCGCAGATCGAGTTTGTTTCCGATAATCGATAACTTACTCCGTTTCCAAGCAATCGATAAGAATCTATATCGATATCCTGTTTTTTGGGCAATTTTGGTAAATAATAAAAGCTAGAGTCTCCAAACTTGACATATAGCTTCTAAAATAGAATATATATATACATTTGATGTTGGAAGAAGAGGGTTCAGGGTATCCCCTAGTCGGGAGCTCCCGACTAGAACCTCTTACTTGTTTTCAATATCTAATTAGCACATTAGCATCAAAATATAAGGTTTGCTTTTAACCAAATCCATTTAATTTAAATCCTATTAATGTGTTCCTCTTGCGATATAGATAGCGCACATGACCAAAGCGGAGATGGAGTATCTGGACTGGTCGCTGCTGGGTCCTGCTTTATTGTTCCTGAATCAGTACTTTAACTGTATTGTACCAGAGATTTGGCTGCTTTGGTTTACGCTAGCCTGGGGCACACAGGATCTTCTGCGCTACTGTGCGCAGGTTTGTCTAGAAATTTGCCAGCATCTGCGCATCGATCTATTCAGAATACCGTATGGCCCTAAGGTGTTAAACACCTCTTCGGTGGGCAGCCAGAGCAACGTTGGAGCTGATAAAAATGGTGGCACATCACATAGAAAGTCAAAAAGCAAAGCGCACTAAATCAATGTTCGCTCCTGTTTCATTAAAATTCACATATTTTTCAAATATTTACGGTATTAGCGCAAGCTAAACAAATTTTAAACTCAACCCAACTAAATTTACCGTCGAAATGTTAAAGCATAACAAATTATAGCATAATTAATTTATAAATGTTGTAACAAAAAAAAAGCTGCAGGCAGACCTATATCAATTATATGCATATATTACAAGTATAAATATATTTTATATAATTCTGTAAATTGTAATATATACAGTTTTTATGCTGTGCTAGATGTTTCATAGTGCAAAAACAAATAAAAATATAAATCAAATGCCAAAAATCACATTTTTGGCGTACTCAAAGCTCAATTTAAGGCTAACTCCAAGTCAATGAAAATTCATTGTAAGGATTTCCTTTATTTAATGATTTGAATTTTATTGAGCGTGCGCCTGATTCTGAATAATATATTTATGTTATTTGCGTACTATAAAATGTTATGTAGAAATATTAGCGCTTAATTTCTTACTCACTGAGTAATTAGGTATAATTACATTGTATGTATGTATGTATGTATGCAAGGATGTCAACTCTGAAGTATGTAACATATGTAAAGAATGTAAATTGCCTATATACATTCTAAAAGGTAACTCATTTCAAAAAGCAAAATTGTTTATTATTTAGCGATTGGTTTTGACCTAAAGTGTACACCTAAATTTGCACCGATTTAAAATAATAGAGTTGACTATTATCTTATGTTTGAACAGATAAACAATGCGTAAAATGCCAAAATAAAACGACTAAAAATGAGTTTATGTATATTCGAATGGAATTAGTGAAATACTATTTGAACTGTTTATTAAAACTGGATTTTTTGATTTATTAAATCTGAGAACCGGAGCTGCAAATTGGTCGGTGACATCCTGCCGTGAGATTCGGTTCGTGATTCAGCCTTTCACATGCTTCATATTGATGTTGGCTAACTTTCTACCCACCTCGTGAGTATTGTTCGGTTCAGAGGTAATGTTCGATTCACATTAAAAATGAATTGGAAATCCAAATCGGGTAAAAACCTGTTTACAGCCTGAACAACAGAACAACACGTCAAATTAGAACCTCAACACAAAAGTAGTGACTTTTTAAAAGTTCGCATATTTTATTTACTTATTACCTATGATTATGATTATGATTGTTACACATATGTGAAATTATAAACGATGTATCTCAAAGATTACCATAGGATTTGCAGAAATATGCCACCAACGCCATGTCGCGCACCTCTAACGTGACACGGCCGCGATACTGGGTCAGTAAGTAGGCATCCTGGAAGCGCTGGGTTATGTACATTTCTGTCGCGGTGTGTATAGCCTCCAGGGCACCCATAGTTATCATAAAGGGCGTTAAAGTATATTTCATCATAATTTCGCGCACCAAACGCGCGAAAGGTAAACGCGGTATCATAAAGCCTGGATGCTTTTGTAACCGTTCAATTTCGCGGTTCAATTTTTGTATACGACGCTCCGGTTTATTTTGTTTGCGCCTCGAGCCAGGTCTTGATGTTAGTGGCGGCTGATGTTTCTTACTCATACTCGCTGCGGGTGTTTTTAGCGGCAGCTTTCGGGGTGTTTGTCGTACTGCCGGTGGCTGATTCTCTGAATCACTGTCGCCTTCGGATGTGTCTAGATCACGACGATGGTCTTTTGGAACGTTTTTGCGTAGCGTAGAGCACCGACGTGGAGATGTGTTCATTTCAGCCAAACGGCTTGTAGTAATCTCCAATTCGTAGTCGGTTTCGTTTTCACGATCTGGTGTTCGAAATGCAGTTTCCTCATATGAATCCTCAACATTATCTAAATGCGATTCCGATTTCTTCTTTTTCTGAGTTGAACTCTTTACAGTGCGTGGTCGCATTATGAATTCAAATTACAAATTGCCTACACTTAAGAACTTATAGCCTTTGGTTCGCTGTAATATACACAAAAATCGAATTCCCGCCTTTTTGAGCATAGTTCAGCAAAACTCTAACATATGAAAACATTCATTTTACAACACTAATTACTATGAAATTAAAAATTGGTATATAGACACTTATTAATAAACATCTATATACAAATTTAATAGTATATTAATATTTAATTATATAGCATGTACATAAATGCACAAAACTGGCGCAACTATTTGTAATTTTACATTTGAATTAAAGTCTGTATTCCAGAAGAGCAGTATTTTAGTATTTTGATGAAACGGTCTCATTGAAATATCTGGTTAATTTGTATGCGTGCCTCCACTGTTTACTTTTTGATACATTCACTTAAAAGCAGATATGTCCGAAGATAATTCTCATAGCAGGGAATATGTCTTGGAAGCAGACTCCGAGCTACGTTTTGAAATCGAGCAAAAAGATGCCAAGGTTCTTGTTACGGTATGCTGTAATAGTTTTGTACTCGGCGTGGGTAACATTTCTAAATCGTATTTCAGCTCGTCACAGGTTTTGCAGAGCTTTTTGGCACCGAACTGGTGAAAAAAAAGAAATATGAGTTCGGTGTTGGCGCCAAAGTGGCTATATTTACCTACCAAGGCTGCGTGCTGCACGTGTCAGGCAAAATGGATGTGTGCTATATCTCAAAAGAGACACCAATGGTACAATATATAAACTGCCATGCAGCATTGGAGCAGTTTCGCATCGAAGCCGAAGAACGGGACAAGCGCGGCCCTGTTGTATTGATCGTAGGGCCTATGGACGTTGGAAAGAGCACACTGTGCCGCATTCTGTTAAACTATGCAGTACGCGTAGGCAGGCGACCACTTTACGCAGATCTTGATGTGGGCCAAGGTGCCATCTCCATTTCCGGCAATGTTGCCACTATCCTTATTGAACGACCAGCCAGCGTTGAGGAAGGATTTACAAAGACAGCGCCACTAGTTTATCATTTTGGTCACAAGTCCCCTGGTGCTAATAACGTGCTTTACAATGCTGTCGTCTCGAAAATGGCTGAAGTAACACTGCAGAGTCTGGATGCCAATAAACGAAGTATGTTTAACCGCATTTACTCTAGAAATTTGAAATATATGACTATATTTTTGTGTAGCCAAAAGCTCTGGGATCATTGTCAACACATGTGGATGGGTGAAGGGCTCTGGCTATGCACATTTGTTGCATGCAGCACGAGCTTATCGCGCTCGCGCCGTATTCGTATTGGATCAGGAGCGTTTGTATAATGATTTACTGCGCGATGTGCCTTCAAACGTCCATGTTGTCCTCTTGCCAAAAAGTGGCGGCGTAGTGGAACGCAGTAAAGAATTGCGCCACGAATCCCGCGAGCAGCGTGTCAAGGAATATTTTTATGGTAATACACGTACACCTTTCTATCCCTTTTCGTTCGAGGTCAAATTTCAGGACCTACGGCTGTACAAAATTGGCGCACCACCATTACCCGATTCATGTATGCCAATTGGTATGAAAGCGGAAGACAACAAAAAGAAAGTTGTACCGGTTACACCCACTCCGTCGCTGCTACATCACATTCTTACGCTCACTTTTGCAGTCTACGGACGATGATGTTATTGGCACTAATGTTGCAGGCTTCTGTTGTGTGTAAGTTTAATCAAGTGATTTTCGCACGAATACATTTAATGATGCCATTTTTATTCTGAAGCACCGAGGCCACGGCCGTTGCCTCCAAATGCATTGCTTTTGTGGTCAGAGATACAGTTTATGGATAATCATGCCTAATATTCACCTTGACAAGATTAGTAGTATTATGTTTGTAAATAAAACAATGAAAATTATGGCTGTGATTCCATATCAACTATATTTGTGGCGCTTTCGGCGTGCATATCCTGTCAACTGGGTCACTATCCAAACTGGCTATTCTTTCAGGTAAGTCGCTTAACTTGAATTACTTAATGGATTTTTTAATTCGATATGTGTTATTTTCAGTGCTTTTGTGCCATTGCGTTGTTTTATTGCGCACACTGGCAGACGTATGTGTCTGGAACGATGCGCTTCGGCCGCATCGATGTAACTGAGGCTCAATTCTCCATCATTGCTATACATTTGGTTTCGGCCGTGCTGGGGCCCGAGATTTGGCTGACGAAGGTAAGCCATCTGGGTGGATTGCCATGTTGCTCATATTTCCATCTTTATATAAATAGTCCCCTTATAATATTGATTTCGTTTTAAATTGAGATTTTCAGAAGTTATATTTTAAATTTTAATTGCCTATTTTAGACTATAGAAACGCCTTTTATATTATTGCAAGTGTAATTTTTCAATTATTATAATTATTTCGTCATTTACTTATGTTCTAATAAGATAAATGCAAATAGCATCAATAGCTTGACTTAAGTTCACAATGCATTAAGTTTACTAAATGCTTATTATATAAGTACCTAATATGTTTGAGATGTTAAGATAGAATGTTTATTTGTTGTTTTGCGTTGTAAGCTCTTTGGTTCGATTTATTAAGTTTAGTATCATTGGGTTGCAAACAAAAAAAGACAAATTCATTTCACAAACTTTAACGAAATTAAATGAGACTGCAATACATACATTAATATTAACTTTGTATTAGCTAGAGTTTAAAGAAAAGCTGTTTTTCACATAAATAGCTTAAAGGTAATAATTCCAAACCACATTGTAATTGTCTCAATACCTTTTACTTTTATGTTGCATTCAAATGTGTGCCACTGCGCCACAAAACAAAACAACACAAAATGCCTAATCTACTAAAAACCAACAAATATTTAACACATACACACAATCGTATCCAATATACAAACACAGATTGGCATTGAGCTTTGGTATGGTCCTGCTATAACGACCATTGTGTGTGGTGTAATCTCCTTAACCTATGTATTTTCCGTCGTTGTGGCCGGTGGTGTTGGCAAAAATGGCTCCACAGTTGCTGTAAGTCTGAAAAATACACACAAATATGTACAAAAATGTGCATAAAAACCAAATCAGATAAATGACTGCTAACAAATATTTTGGGGTTTTCCTTTTACTATATGTACAAATATTATGAGCTACTGATTTTCACCATTTTATAATTTGTTTGTTTTGTACTAAAAGTTAAAAGAGAGCCGCTTGACTTGGCAAGTTTTCGAGCTCTGAAGATAGGCAGATGTTTCAATTAAATTGTGTTTCCTTAAGCTAAATTTTATAAAATAAATCGGTGATTTTGCTTACATATGTATGTATATAGTAATGCTATAAAATTTGTATGCCACTTATTTGGCAAACGATATCAGGAAGCTCCAATTATTTTGAAATAATTCACGTGTAAAACCCCTAAAATATTGTATGCTGTCTGATGTTTATTTCAACCACAAACAGAAACAGGAAGACACATACAACAAAAATTATTTTGGCTCTCAATTCGCAAAATCTAAATTGAACATTAATATTGCAATGCGGCTATTTCGTGGGAACGTGGTGTGGGTCCTTGTTTTCCTTTTTACCCCAATTGCTTGCCTTAACTTTCTACATTTATACTTATTATACACATATACATATTTATAAATTGTACCTTTGTTAATGTTTCCTAGTTTTAAAGCCGCTGTCTTGCTTCTTTGCCTCGTGCTTTAACTCATAACAAAACTTTAATATTGCTGACTCCTACTTGGCATGCTCTAATAATACTGTTGAATGCCTAAATTCAATAGAATGCGATATGCATAATTGATCTTTCTTTGTCACTTGTATGACCAACAATTGTATTGTATATTTGTAGAAGTCCTGAATCATAAGTTTAAAACTATATGTATGTATCTATATACTGTTGGCTAAGGGATTTAGCTTTAATTAATTTAATGTATCTCAAAGAGTACGTAGCATTAAGTTAGATTGGCACTTTATATTGTGATGCTTGCGGTATCATTTTTTTGAAAACTATAGCTGAAAAACTATCGGGGTTCGAATATAATTTTAATAATTGTGTTTTTTACTGAATTATAAAGCCTCGAGTTATGAACTCGGCAATCAACCCTCCATTGTTTTAAGCTTACACTAATACTTCTTATGCCGCAAAAGTTCTAAGATTTAGGTTAACGATTTTTTTAATTTTCATGCAAATTGTTCTGTTTTGTTTACTGTTATTGTTTTTGTTTTGTTCTGTGATCTCTTCTCATATACAATAGATGCCAATCGTGGGAGTTTCATGGAATTATACAATATTAGTATTTATCACTTTCGGTTATACGTTGAATATAATCAATTTTCTAAAAATGTTTATTGAAGGCGGCAGTGGCAAAAACGGCTCATCAGTTGCTGTAAGCATTGCTATCCATATACGAAACGCGACAAACGTTTTAAATCAAAATTGAATTTTCTAATCGTACTAAAAGCATCTGTTGGATTAACCCATTAGTTTATTTCCCACACATTGACATACGGACACGGCTCTAACATTTAATCCATTTGCAAATGTTTATATGGTTTACTAATTTTATTGTTGTATTGCATAAAGTAAGACAAATTTATTGGGATTATTGCTGTAAGAAATTTAATTATATTACTCTGGCAGCATGAACTTTTGAGTAATTTAACTTGCTTTATTCTTCCGATGGAATATGTGTTTATTGTTAATAGAAAGTATTTAAAAATAAATCTTGTAATTATTCATATTAGCCACATTGAAATAATATTGAAATATTTTCTAGTTATGCTTTCTTACAATTATTCTAAGGTTTATTGGTAGCTTTAATTTTAATCAGCAATAATAGACTGCTTTTAAAACGTATATTATTTGTGGCTATTTATTAGATAAAAATTTGGTATTAATATTTTTTTCATTAATATTTATTTTATTACTCTCCATCGAAATCTATATCAAATTAAATGTTTTAATATTCCTATTAATGCATTTTTTTCTTCTTTTAAACTTTTAAAATCGTTGACAACAATTAAAAAATTTTGAATTTTATCAGATGCCTTATCTTGAGTGTGAAACACGCTGCTTGCCGTTTTATATGGCCAGTGGAGTTGACTTCAGTTTAGCATTACGTTACTCAAAATCCATTTTAAACGAGGGCTGTGGGAAGAATGGATCATCTGTTGCAGTAAGATTTTGTATTTTTGTATGGCACAACCACACGAAGGCATTCTAATTAGCTTGGTCGCTAGACAAGTAGCTAAAATATCGATTGTGTTTGTCATTATTTCTCGATTTATATAAATGGTCATGTAATTTATGCTCTTGTACAGGGTATAATAATGAAGTCGCAAAATGTGTTATGCATTGTTGGTGGTGGTTTTATCAGAAACTTATTAAGTCCCGGTTAGGAATTGTCTGTTCATCAATTACTTTGGATGTTATCTGTTCACGCAATTTTTTATAATTGGTGTAGGTTGGTTAAACGACAAAAACTATTGTAACCACCCATTTACATGAAAATTCCAAAAGAAATATATCATGCATTTTTGCAAGTTTTTGTTAGTTACTACGTTAATTTGAAAATCATTTTTTTGTATATTACAAAGCGCTCATACTCGAACTCAGTTATTTGCCACAGATTAATTACAATATTTGCGCATACGACTACAAGGGTATATAAACTTCGGCACTCCGAAGCTAAATGTTGCATACTTTTAAGTTTCTTGTTGTATTGTTTTTATACCTAATGATGCACGTTTAATATGCATATGTTATTTTAACTGTTTGCCATTTGGGGTTTCAGACTTGCTTTCTTTATTTTTATATAAATACTGTTACTTTATTGTTGGCTTGGCTTCTACAGCAAAAGACCCGCTCACATTTACTAACAAACATTCACACCCACAAATTAGCGCTAGACCATGTTATTTAAAAAAATGACCATTAAATAACGTAAATCCCAACAAACAAAAAGCCCAAAATAAATGTTGCTTTTGGTCAACCTGTGAATTTGCAAAATGTGCCCCCTGGAACGCTAGCCCATGCACACATATATAAGGCAGCAGATCGTACAAAGCGGTCACAATTTGCAATCTCACAATCGTTAAGAATTCACCAAATTTGTATAAAACAATATATTTTTTATATTTATCATCTATACAAAGGGAACCAGTGTTCTATCGCCTAGTATACCGCTGACACTTGTAGTGCTGCCCGCGCTGATGATAGCGCAAAAGTCGCCGGAAAATATTTTTACGGAGCACGCTTCAGTTTTTATTCTGGCTTTTGGCATGGTGGCTGCCAAAATTACCAACAAGCTGGTGGTAAATTTATCTTAATCTAAAAACAATCATTTTTTATATTTTATTTTATGTTATGAAATGTGTAATCTATAGATGAAGACATCTTCAACCCCATAGTATATATATATTTATAAGTAGCCAAATATGGTAGCCATATATGTCTATCTGTAACTACTAAAACAAGTAAGGGGTTCTAGTCGGGAGCTCCCGACTAGGGGATACCCTGAAGGACGGACGGATGGACGGACAGACAGACGGACATGGGTAGATCGACTCGGCTATTGATGCTGATCAAGAATATATATGTATACTTTATGGGGTCGGAGATGCTTCCTTCTGTCTGTTACATACATTTTGATTTTGCACAAATACAATATACCATAATACCCATTTTTAATGGGTTTAGGGTATAAAAAAACATTCAAACAATAAACTAAATTAAATGTACAAATTAGAAAAACAAAGTGCAAAGAAATAAAAGTGCAAAATAAAAGAACTAAAAAGTTCAAAGCTACAAACTCAAAACTATTAAAAAAAAAAAAATTCATCCAACACAAAAAAAAAAAAAAGTGTATTACACTAAGATGCCCATGGAATTATCAGAACAACACCTCAACCAGGCCCTCTCACAACTGAGACAGGTGCCAAGTTTTGACGGATCAACGGAAAATCTCAACGTTTTCACTAAAAGGATCGATTACATCCTACACCTTTATTTAACCCGAGATGTTAGACAACACAGCATTTTATACGGAGCCATCGAATTGCAAGTCACTGGAGATGCTCAGAGAATTTCACAAAGGACAGTTTACTTTTTAATTTACGACCGATCGTTCCTGTGGCAGCTATATGATATAGTGGTCCGGTAATAATAGGATTTTGCATATATACGAGGAGTACAGTAAAACTAATAATTATAGAGTTTGGTCAAGATATCTTGAAAATAAAAAATGTTTTGTCATACAACAACTTAATTTTCGACCGATCGTTCCTATGGCAGCTATATGAAATAGTGGTCCGATCCAACTGGTTTTGACATATGTGCTGCGTGCAACAGAAAGAGCGAGTGCTGCAAAGTTTCATTAAGATAGCTTTAAAACTGAGAGACTAGTTCGCATAGAAACAGACAGACGGACAGACGGACATGGCTATATCGACTCGGCTGTTGATGCTGATCAAGAATATATATACTTTATGGGATCGGAGATGTCTCCTTCTATGCGTTACACATTTCACGACAAAATTATAATACCCTCTGCAAGGGTATAAAAAGGAACCGAGAACGAAACAAAAGTTACGAATTACTTTCATAAAACCAACATACAAATTGCATACAAAGACATGACTAACGCGCATGCCAAAGAATTAATAAAAGAATACTTATGCACAAAGAAAAGTGTGTTATACTTCCACAATGAAGCAGATTTTCCAATTTTTCAAGAAGCCTACTTAGAAATAATAAGTCCGAATAATTCAACTAAGGCAATGAAAACTAGTAAAAAATTAATAGATATTCAAACATTCGCAGAATTCAAAGAATTAATATTAAAATAAAACACAAAGAATTATTACATCCAGGAATTGAAAAAACTATCAATTAGTTCAAAAAAACCCGCTATTTCCTAGATTATCAAAATTTAATTCCAAATCTAATAATCGAATGTGAGACTTGCAACATCGCAAAAACAGAACACAGGGATACAAAATTAACTTTCGAAATAACTCCGGAAATCGCTAATGTCCGAGGAAAATATGCAATGGATTTTTACATAGTAGGAGATTAACAATTTTTGTCTTGCATTGCTATCTATTCAAAATTTGCATCATTAATAGAAATAACAACTAAGAGGTTCTAGTCGGGAGCTCCCGACTAGGGGGTACCCTGAACCCTCTTCTTCCAACATCAAATGCATATATATATTCTATTTAAGAAGCTATATGTCAAGTTTGGTAACTCTAGCTCTTATTATTTACCAAAATTGACCAAAAAACAGGATATCGATATAGATTTTTATCGATTGCTTGGAAACGGAGTAAGTTATCGATTATCGGAAACAAACTCGATCTGCGCGGGAGTTAGGAGCATCTACATCTAAAATTTCATGTCTTTCAATGTCTCTAGCTCTTATAGGTTCTGAGATCCTTGCGTTCATACATACGGACGGACGGACGAACAGACAGACGGACATGGCTAGATCGACTCGGCTATTGATGCTGATCAAGAATATATATACTTTATGGGGTCGGAGATGCTTCCTTCTGCCTGTTACATACATTTGGATTTTGCACAAATACAATATACCCTTGTACCCATTTTTAATGGAAAAAGAATTACAGGTCAACAACAGACAGCGATCAAAACATACAAGCACCAGCTTAAACTAATTATTATAATATTACTATCAATAACTGTAAACCACATAAATGCACAAAGCACTGAAATTAATCCTATTAAAGCCCATAACGGCTATCTCATATTTAAAACAAGAACCATAGACATGCCGACAGATTACGAACTCCACTGTTTAACGGTTAACATAACAAAAACCGAAGAAACTTTTAACAACTTAATTGAACAAAGTAAAGAATTTAAAAACCTAATACAAATCGAATACCTAGTAGAAAAACTAAACAGAGAAATAATCGGCTTAAAAATAGCCAAACGCAGCAAAAGAGGTTTACTTAACATAGTGGGAACAGTATATAAATAGTCATTTGGAACATTAGACCAAGAGGACAAGACAGAAATTGAACAAAAATAAGCAGCTTAGCAGAAAACGGCGTTCAGGTTAACGAATTAAATCACATAATAGAAGCTAAAAAGAAAGGGATTGAAATCATGAACGAACTAGATCAAGAGAAACAAAAAGGAAAGAAATAAGATATCTTTATATTTAACTTACAACACTTTACAGAATATATAGAAGACATTGAGGTGGGAATGCAGCTGACAAGATTAGGTATTTTTAACCCGAAATTACTAAAACATGACTATTTGTTGCATGTTAATTCTGAGAAATTGTTGAATACAAAAACTTCCACTTGGTTTAAATCAGATACAAACGAAATACTGATAATATCCCATATTCCTCGAGAAATAATAAAAAGCCCGTTATTCAAAATAATTCCATACCCGGATAATAATAATAACATTTTGACAAAAATATCTCATGAAAAATGTTTTAACCAAAGACAAAAAAGTTTATAGCAAAGAAACAAAAAAATTAATTAATAATAAATGTGTGATAGGAATTTTAAACCAAATAACATTAGAATGTAGTTATACTAAAACTTTGCAAAATTTTAAAATCAACCATGTAGAACCAAATAATTTTAACTTGGAATTTACCAACAACTATATTAAACCATAATTGTATAAATAACAAAATAACAATAGAAGGAAACAATATAATAAAAATCTTTAATGGTTTACTGCAAATTAATGAATTTCAATTTCAAACAATATGTAAGATTATACTCAAAGCATTTACGTAAGCAATGATGCTATAAAATTAGAACCACTTTCGTTTGTACAAACGAAACAAATTATAAATGAACACACAAAAATTAACAATGTATTCCAGATAATATAAGATATAAGTTTAAAAGCAAACCTAAGAAATTAATTATAAAATATAAGAAACCAAAAGCAGAAGAAACACCTACAATAAGAGAAGATACACTACTTGTAAAAGAAGAAAATGTTACACTATATCTAAACTTAAACACCTGAGGACAGGCACTTTTCCAATGGTTGGGGGAGTGACATATCCATAGTCGCACCCACCCTTTAATATAACTTAGCACATAAGCACAAGTATAAACATTTACAATCTTGTAAACAAAGAGCCTGGTGATAACATCGACATTGGTCAAGATCAAACTGTCCCCCTTTGGTAGACATAAACAATTTACCCTAAATATCTCGCCACTGTCAATGTTCCCACCAGAGCATTATCCCACGCATAATTGCCGACGCGGCTCAAACTTCACTCAATTTTGAGTCAAGCTCTCTCAAAGCGAAGTTTGCTAAGCGACGGCAAGGGTTAGATAAATTAGTTCAGATTCGGGAAGCAAATCGGATTGTACTCAACAAAAGTAGTGAAAATAATAAATTGAAATATATTTTTTTACAATAACTGAACGTGTAAAACTTAATTATATACTATATAAATATAAATGCTATTTCGTTTAATTAACTTTTTATACCCTGAACCCATTAAAAATGGGTATAAGGGTATATTGTATTTGTGCAAAATCCAAATGTATGTAACAGGCAGAAGGAAGCATCTCCGACCCCGTAAAGTATATATATTCTTGATCAGCATCAATAGCCGTGTCGATCTAGCCATGTCCGTCTGTCTGTCCGTCCGTCCGTTCGTATGTATGAACGCAAGGATCTCAGAACCTTTAAGAGCTAGAGAAATTTTAGATGTAGATGCTCCTAGCTCCCGCGCAGATCGAGTTTGTTTCCGATAATCGATAACTTACTCCGTTTCCAAGCAATCGATAAGAATCTATATCGATATCCTGTTTTTTGGGCAATTTTGGTAAATAATAAGAGCTAGAGTCACCAAACTTGACATATAGCTTCTAAAATAGAATATATATATACATTTGATGTTGGAAGAAGAGGGTTCAGGGTATCCCCTAGTCGGGAGCTCCCGACTAGAACCTCTTACTTGTTTTCAATATCTAATTAGCACATTAGCATCAAAATATAAGGTTTGCTTTTAACCAAATCCATTTAATTTAAATCCTATTAATGTGTTCCTCTTGCGATATAGATAGCGCACATGACCAAAGCGGAGATGGAGTATCTGGACTGGTCGCTGCTGGGTCCTGCTTTATTGTTCCTGAATCAGTACTTTAACTGTATTGTACCAGAGATTTGGCTGCTTTGGTTTACGCTAGCCTGGGGCACACAGGATCTTCTGCGCTACTGTGCGCAGGTTTGTCTAGAAATTTGCCAGCATCTGCGCATCGATCTATTCAGAATACCGTATGGCCCTAAGGTGTTAAACACCTCTTCGGTGGGCAGCCAGAGCAACGTTGGAGCTGATAAAAATGGTGGCACATCACATAGAAAGTCAAAAAGCAAAGCGCACTAAATCAATGTTCGCTCCTGTTTCATTAAAATTCACATATTTTTCAAATATTTACGGTATTAGCGCAAGCTAAACAAATTTTAAACTCAACCCAACTAAATTTACCGTCGAAATGTTAAAGCATAACAAATTATAGCATAATTAATTTATAAATGTTGTAACAAAAAAAAAGCTGCAGGCAGACCTATATCAATTATATGCATATATTACAAGTATAAATATATTTTATATAATTCTGTAAATTGTAATATATACAGTTTTTATGCTGTGCTAGATGTTTCATAGTGCAAAAACAAATAAAAATATAAATCAAATGCCAAAAATCACATTTTTGGCGTACTCAAAGCTCAATTTAAGGCTAACTCCAAGTCAATGAAAATTCATTGTAAGGATTTCCTTTATTTAATGATTTGAATTTTATTGAGCGTGCGCCTGATTCTGAATAATATATTTATGTTATTTGCGTACTATAAAATGTTATGTAGAAATATTAGCGCTTAATTTCTTACTCACTGAGTAATTAGGTATAATTACATTGTATGTATGTATGTATGTATGCAAGGATGTCAACTCTGAAGTATGTAACATATGTAAAGAATGTAAATTGCCTATATACATTCTAAAAGGTAACTCATTTCAAAAAGCAAAATTGTTTATTATTTAGCGATTGGTTTTGACCTAAAGTGTACACCTAAATTTGCACCGATTTAAAATAATAGAGTTGACTATTATCTTATGTTTGAACAGATAAACAATGCGTAAAATGCCAAAATAAAACGACTAAAATGAGTTTATGTATATTCGAATGGAATTAGTGAAATACTATTTGAACTGTTTATTAAAACTGGATTTTTTGCTTTATTAAATCTGAGAACCGGAGCTGCAAATTGGTCGGTGACATCCTGCCGTGAGATTCGGTTCGTGATTCAGCCTTTCACATGCTTCATATTGATGTTGGCTAACTTTCTACCCACCTCGTGAGTATTGTTCGGTTCAGAGGTAATGTTCGATTCACATTAAAAATGAATTGGAAATCCAAATCGGGTAAAAACCTGTTTACAGCCTGAACAACAGAACAACACGTCAAATTAGAACCTCAACACAAAAGTAGTGACTTTTTAAAAGTTCGCATATTTTATTTACTTATTACCTATGATTATGATTATGATTGTTACACATATGTGAAATTATAAACGATGTATCTCAAAGATTACCATAGGATTTGCAGAAATATGCCACCAACGCCATGTCGCGCACCTCTAACGTGACACGGCCGCGATACTGGGTCAGTAAGTAGGCATCCTGGAAGCGCTGGGTTATGTACATTTCTGTCGCGGTGTGTATAGCCTCCAGGGCACCCATAGTTATCATAAAGGGCGTTAAAGTATATTTCATCATAATTTCGCGCACCAAACGCGCGAAAGGTAAACGCGGTATCATAAAGCCTGGATGCTTTTGTAACCGTTCAATTTCGCGGTTCAATTTTTGTATACGACGCTCCGGTTTATTTTGTTTGCGCCTCGAGCCAGGTCTTGATGTTAGTGGCGGCTGATGTTTCTTACTCATACTCGCTGCGGGTGTTTTTAGCGGCAGCTTTCGGGGTGTTTGTCGTACTGCCGGTGGCTGATTCTCTGAATCACTGTCGCCTTCGGATGTGTCTAGATCACGACGATGGTCTTTTGGAACGTTTTTGCGTAGCGTAGAGCACCGACGTGGAGATGTGTTCATTTCAGCCAAACGGCTTGTAGTAATCTCCAATTCGTAGTCGGTTTCGTTTTCACGATCTGGTGTTCGAAATGCAGTTTCCTCATATGAATCCTCAACATTATCTAAATGCGATTCCGATTTCTTCTTTTTCTGAGTTGAACTCTTTACAGTGCGTGGTCGCATTATGAATTCAAATTACAAATTGCCTACACTTAAGAACTTATAGCCTTTGGTTCGCTGTAATATACACAAAAATCGAATTCCCGCCTTTTTGAGCATAGTTCAGCAAAACTCTAACATATGAAAACATTCATTTTACAACACTAATTACTATGAAATTAAAAATTGGTATATAGACACTTATTAATAAACATCTATATACAAATTTAATAGTATATTAATATTTAATTATATAGCATGTACATAAATGCACAAAACTGGCGCAACTATTTGTAATTTTACATTTGAATTAAAGTCTGTATTCCAGAAGAGCAGTATTTTAGTATTTTGATGAAACGGTCTCATTGAAATATCTGGTTAATTTGTATGCGTGCCTCCACTGTTTACTTTTTGATACATTCACTTAAAAGCAGATATGTCCGAAGATAATTCTCATAGCAGGGAATATGTCTTGGAAGCAGACTCCGAGCTACGTTTTGAAAGATGCCAAGGTTCTTGTTACGGTATGCTGTAATAGTTTTGTACTCGGCGTGGGTAACATTTCTAAATCGTATTTCAGCTCGTCACAGGTTTTGCAGAGCTTTTTGGCACCGAACTGGTGAAAAAAAAGAAATATGAGTTCGGTGTTGGCGCCAAAGTGGCTTACCTACCAAGGCTGCGTGCTGCACGTGTCAGGCAAAATGGATGTGTGCTATATCTCAAAAGAGACACCAATGGTACAATATATAAACTGCCATGCAGCATTGGAGCAGTTTCGCATCGAAGCCGAAGAACGGGACAAGCGCGGCCCTGTTGTATTGATCGTAGGGCCTATGGACGTTGGAAAGAGCACACTGTGCCGCATTCTGTTAAACTATGCAGTACGCGTAGGCAGGCGACCACTTTACGCAGATCTTGATGTGGGCCAAGGTGCCATCTCCATTTCCGGCAATGTTGCCACTATCCTTATTGAACGACCAGCCAGCGTTGAGGAAGGATTTACAAAGACAGCGCCACTAGTTTATCATTTTGGTCACAAGTCTCCTGGTGCTAATAACGTGCTTTACAATGCTGTCGTCTCGAAAATGGCTGAAGTAACACTGCAGAGTCTGGATGCCAATAAACGAAGTATGTTTAACCGCATTTACTCTAGAAATTTGAAATATATGACCATATTTTTGTGTATATTCGTATTGGAGCGTTTGTATAATGATTTACTGCGCGATGTGCCTTCAAACGTCCATGTTGTCCTCTTGCCAAAAAGTGGCGGCGTAGTGGAACGCAGTAAAGAATTGCGCCACGAATCCCGCGAGCAGCGAGTCAAGGAATATTTTTATGATAATACACGTACACCATTTTTATTCTAAAGCACCGAGGTGGACATGGATCGACAATCTGTTATGCTGTTATCGCCACAGCCACGGCCGTTGCCTCCAAATGCATTGCTTTTGTGGTCAGAGATACAGTTTATGGATAATCATGCCTAATATTCACCTTGACAAGATTAGTAGTATTATGTTTGTAAATAAAACAATGAAAATTATGGCCGTGATTCCATATCAACTATATTTGTGGCGCTTTCGGCGTGCATATCCTGTCAACTGGGTCACTATCCAAACTGGCTATTCTTTCAGGTAAGTCGCTTAACTTGAATTACTTAATGGATTTTTTAATTCGATATGTGTTATTTTCAGTGCTTTTGTGCCATTGCGTTGTTTTATTGCGCACACTGGCAGACGTATGTGTCTGGAACGATGCGCTTCGGCCGCATCGATGTAACTGAGGCTCAATTCTCCATCATTGCTATACATTTGGTTTCGGCCGTGCTGGGGCCCGAGATTTGGCTGACGAAGGTAAGCCATCTGGGTAGATTGCCATGTTGCTCATATTTCCATCTTTATATAAATAATCCCCTTATAATATTGATTTCGTTTTAAATTGAGATTTTCAGAAGTTATATTTTAAATTTTAATTGCCTATTTTAGACTATAGAAACGCCTTTTATATTATTGCAAGTGTAATTTTTCAATTATTATAATTATTTCGTTATTACTTATGTTCTAATAAGATAAATGCAAATAGCATTAATAACTTGGCTTAAGTTCACAATGCATTAAGTTTACTAAATGCTTATTATATAAAAATCTAATATGTTTGAGACGTTAAGATAGAATGTTTATTTGTTGTTTTGCGTTGTAAGCTCTTCGGTTCGATTTATTAAGTTTAGTATCATTGGGTTGCACACTCAAACAAAATTAAAATTGAATTTTCTAATCGTACTAAAAGCATATGTTGGATTAACCCATTAGTTTATTTCCCACACATTGACATACGGACACGGCTCTAACATTTAATTCACTTGCAAATGTTAATATGGTTTACTAATTTTATTTCGTTCTATTGTAAAAAGTTTAATTTTATTATATCTCTGGCAGCATGAACTTTTGAGTAATTTAACTTGCTTTATTCTTCCGATGGAATATGTGTTTATTGTTAATAGAAAGTATTTAAAAATAAATTTTGTAATTATTCATATTAGCCACATTGAAATAATATTGAAATATTTTCTAGTTATGCTTTCTTACTATTATTCTAAGGTTTATTGGTAGCTTTAATTTTAATCAGCAATAATAGACTGCTTTTAAAACGTATATTATTTGTGGCTATTTATTAGATAAAAATTTGGTATTAATATTTTTTTCATTAATATTTATTTTATTACTCTCCATCGAAATCTATATCAAATTAAATGTTTTAATATTCCTATTAATGCATTTTTTTCTTCTTTTAAACTTTTAAAATCGTTGACAACAATTAAAAAATTTTGAATTTTATCAGATGCCTTATCTTGAGTGTGAAACACGCTGCTTGCCGTTTTATATGGCCAGTGGAGTTGACTTCAGTTTATCCATTTTAAACGAGGGCTGTGGGAAGAATGGATCATCTGTTGCAGTAAGATTTTGTATTTTTGTATGGCACAACCACACGAAGGCATTCTAATAAGCTTGGTCGCTAGACAAGTAGCTAAAATATCGATTGTGTTTGTCATTATTTCTCGATTTATATAAATGGTCATGTAATTTATGCTCTTGTACAGGGTATAATAATGAAGTCGCAAAATGTGTTATGCATTGTTGGTGGTGGTTTTATCAGAAACTTATTAAGTCCCGGTTAGGAATTGTCTGTTCATCAATTACTTTGGATGTTATCTGTTCACGCAATTTTTTATAATTGGTGTAGGTTGGTTAAACGACAAAAACTATTGTAACCACCCATTTACATGAAAATTCCAAAAGAAATATATCATGCATTTTTGCAAGTTTTTGTTAGTTACTACGTTAATTTGAAAATCATTTTTTTGTATATTACAAAGCGCTCATACTCGAACTCAGTTATTTGCCACAGATTAATTACAATATTTGCGCATACGACTACAAGGGTATATAAACTTCGGCACTCCGAAGCTAAATGTTGCATACTTTTAAGTTTCTTGTTGTATTGTTTTTATACCTAATGATGCACGTTTAATATGCATATGTTATTTTAACTGTTTGCCATTTGGGGTTTCAGACTTGCTTTCTTTATTTTTATATAAATACTGTTACTCTATTGTTGACCCGCTCACATTTACTAACAAACATTCATATCCACAAATTAGCGCTAGACCATGTTATTAAAAAAAATTACCAATAAATAAAATGGCTGCCAAAATTACCAGCAAATTTATCTTAATCTAAAAACAATCAATTTTTATATTTTATTTTATGTTATGAAATGTGTAATCTATAGATGAAGACATCTTTAACCCCGTAGTGTATATATATTCATAGGTAGCCAAATAAAAAAAGTAAGAGGTTCTAGTCGGGAGCTCCCGACTAGGGGATACCCTGAACCCTCTTCTTCCAACATCAAATGCATATATATATTCTATTTAAGAAGCTATATGTCAAGTTTGGTGACTCTAGCTCTTATTATTTACCAAAATTGACCAAAAAACAGGATATCGATATAGATTTTTATCGATTTCTTGGAAACGGAGTAAGTTATCGATTATCTCAAACAAACTCGATCTGCGCGGGAGTTAGGAGCATCTCTACATCTAAAATTTCAAGTCTTTAGATCATAGGTTCTGAGATTCTTGCGTTCATACATACGGAAGGACGGACGGACGGACGGACAGACAGACGGACATGGCTAGATCGACTCGGCTATTGATGCTGATCGAGAATATATATACTTTATGGGGTCGGAGATGCTTCCTTCTGCCTGTTACATACATTTGGATTTTGCACAAATACAATATACCCTTGTACCCATTTTTAATGGGTTCAGGGTATAAAAAGAAAAAGAATTACAGGTCAACAACAGACAGCGATCAAAACATACAAGCACCAGCTTAAACTAATTATTATAATATTACTATCAATAACTGTAAACCACATAAATGCACAAAGCATTGAAATTAATCCTATTAAAGCCCATAACGGCTATCTCATATTTAAAACAAGAACCATAGACATGCCGACAGATTACGAACTCCACTGTTTAACGGTTAACATAACAAAAACCGAAGAAACTTTTAACAACTTAATTGAACAAAGTAAAGAATTTAAAAACCTCATACAAATCGAGTAATTAGTAGAAAAACTAAACAGAGAAATAATCGGCTTAAAAATAGCCAAATGCAGCAAAAGGGGTTTAGTTAACATAGTGGGAACAGTATATAAATAGTCATTTGGAACATTAGACCAAGAGGACAAGACAGAAATTGAACAAAAATAAGCAGCTTAGCAGAAAACGGCGTTCAGGTTAACGAATTAAATCACATAATAGAAGCTAAAAAGAAAGGGATTGAAATCATGAACGAACTAGATCAAGAGAAACAAAAAGGAAAGAAATAAGATATCTTTATATTTAAGTTACAACACTTTACAGAATATATAGAAGACATTGAGATGGGAATGCAGCTGACAAGATTAGGTATTTTTAACCCGAAATGACTAAAACATGACTATTTGTTGCATGTTAATTCTGAGAAATTGTTGAATACAAAAACTTCCACTTGGTTTAAATCAGATACAAACGAAATACTGATAATATCCCATATTCCTTGAGAAATAATAAAAAGCCCGTTATTCAAAATAATTCCATACCCGGATAATAATAATAACATTTTGACAAAAATATCTCATGAAAAATGTTTTAACCAAAGACAAAAAAGTTTATAGCAAAGAAACAAAAAAATTAATTAATAATAAATGTTTGATAGGAATTTTAAACCAAATAACAATATACTAAAACTTTGCAAAATTTTAAAATCAACCATGTAGAACCAAATAATTTTAACTTGGAATTTACCAACAACTATATTAAACCATAATTGTATAAATAACAAAATAACAATAGAAGGAAACAATATAATAAAAATCTTTAATGGTTTACTGCAAATTAATGAATTTCAATTTCAAACAATATGTAAGATTATACTCAAAGCATTTACGTAAGCAATGATGCCATAAAATTAGAACCACTTTCGTTTGTACAAACGAAACAAATTATAAATGAACACACAAAAATTAACAATGTATTCCAGATAATATAAGATATAAGTTTAAAAGCAAACCTAAGAAATTAATTATAAAATATAAGAAACCAAAAGCAGAAGAAACACCTACAATAAGAGAAGATACACTACTTGTAAAAGAAGAAAATGTTACACTATATCTAAACTTAAACACCTGAGGACAGGCACTTTTCCAATGGTTGGGGGAGTGACATATCCATAGTCGCACCCACCCTTTAATATAACTTAGCACATAAGCACAAGTATAAACATTTACAATCTTGTAAACAAAGAGCCTGGTGATAACATCGACATTGGTCAAGATCAAACTGTCCCCCTTTGGTAGACATAAACAATTTACCCTAAATATCTCGCCACTGTCAATGTTCCCACCAGAGCATTATCCCACGCATAATTGCCGACGCGGCTCAAACTTCACTCAATTTTGAGTCAAGCTCTCTCAAAGCGAAGTTTGCTAAGCGACGGCAAGGGTTAGATAAATTAGTTCAGATTCGGGAAGCAAATCGGATTGTACTCAACAAAAGTAGTGAAAATAATAAATTGAAATACATTTTTTTACAATAACTGAACGTGTAAAACTTAATTATATACTATATAAATATAAATGCTATTTCGTTTAATTAACTTTTTATACCCTGAACCCATTAAAAATGGGTATAAGGGTATATTGTATTTGTGCAAAATCCAAATGTATGTAACAGGCAGAAGGAAGCATCTCCGACCCCATAAAGTATATATATTCTTGATCAGCATGAATAGCCGTGTCGATCTAGCCATGTCCGTCTGTCTGTCCGTCCGTCCGTCCGTCCGTTCGTATGTATGAACGCAAGGATCTCAGAACCTTTAAGAGCTAGAGAAATTTTAGATGTAGATGCTCCTAGCTCCCGCGCAGATCGAGTTTGTTTCCGATAATCGATAACTTACTCCGTTTCCAAGCAATCGATAAGAATCTATATCGATATCCTGTTTTTTGGGCAATTTTGGTAAATAATAAGAGCTAGAGTCACCAAACTTGACATATAGCTTCTAAAATAGAATATATATATACATTTGATGTTGGAAGAAGAGGGTTCAGGGTATCCCCTAGTCGGGAGCTCCCGACTAGAACCTCTTACTTGTTTTCAATATCTAATTAGCACATTAGCATCAAAATATAAGGTTTGCTTTTAACCAAATCCATTTAATTTAAATCCTATTAATGTGTTCCTCTTGCGATATAGATAGCGCACATGACCAAAGCGGAGATGGAGTATCTGGACTGGTCGCTGCTGGGTCCTGCTTTATTGTTCCTGAATCAGTACTTTAACTGTATTGTACCAGAGATTTGGCTGCTTTGGTTTACGCTAGCCTGGGGCACACAGGATCTTCTGCGCTACTGTGCGCAGGTTTGTCTAGAAATTTGCCAGCATCTGCGCATCGATCTATTCAGAATACCGTATGGCCCTAAGGTGTTAAACACCTCTTCGGTGGGCAGCCAGAGCAACGTTGGAGCTGATAAAAATGGTGGCACATCACATAGAAAGTCAAAAAGCAAAGCGCACTAAATCAATGTTCGCTCCTGTTTCATTAAAATTCACATATTTTTCAAATATTTACGGTATTAGCGCAAGCTAAACAAATTTTAAACTCAACCCAACTAAATTTACCGTCGAAATGTTAAAGCATAACAAATTATAGCATAATTAATTTATAAATGTTGTAACAAAAAAAAAGCTGCAGGCAGACCTATATCAATTATATGCATATATTACAAGTATAAATATATTTTATATAATTCTGTAAATTGTAATATATACAGTTTTTATGCTGTGCTAGATGTTTCATAGTGCAAAAACAAATAAAAATATAAATCAAATGCCAAAAATCACATTTTTGGCGTACTCAAAGCTCAATTTAAGGCTAACTCCAAGTCAATGAAAATTCATTGTAAGGATTTCCTTTATTTAATGATTTGAATTTTATTGAGCGTGCGCCTGATTCTGAATAATATATTTATGTTATTTGCGTACTATAAAATGTTATGTAGAAATATTAGCGCTTAATTTCTTACTCACTGAGTAATTAGGTATAATTACATTGTATGTATGTATGTATGTATGCAAGGATGTCAACTCTGAAGTATGTAACATATGTAAAGAATGTAAATTGCCTATATACATTCTAAAAGGTAACTCATTTCAAAAAGCAAAATTGTTTATTATTTAGCGATTGGTTTTGACCTAAAGTGTACACCTAAATTTGCACCGATTTAAAATAATAGAGTTGACTATTATCTTATGTTTGAACAGATAAACAATGCGTAAAATGCCAAAATAAAACGACTAAAATGAGTTTATGTATATTCGAATGGAATTAGTGAAATACTATTTGAACTGTTTATTAAAACTGGATTTTTTGCTTTATTAAATCTGAGAACCGGAGCTGCAAATTGGTCGGTGACATCCTGCCGTGAGATTCGGTTCGTGATTCAGCCTTTCACATGCTTCATATTGATGTTGGCTAACTTTCTACCCACCTCGTGAGTATTGTTCGGTTCAGAGGTAATGTTCGATTCACATTAAAAATGAATTGGAAATCCAAATCGGGTAAAAACCTGTTTACAGCCTGAACAACAGAACAACACGTCAAATTAGAACCTCAACACAAAAGTAGTGACTTTTTAAAAGTTCGCATATTTTATTTACTTATTACCTATGATTATGATTATGATTGTTACACATATGTGAAATTATAAACGATGTATCTCAAAGATTACCATAGGATTTGCAGAAATATGCCACCAACGCCATGTCGCGCACCTCTAACGTGACACGGCCGCGATACTGGGTCAGTAAGTAGGCATCCTGGAAGCGCTGGGTTATGTACATTTCTGTCGCGGTGTGTATAGCCTCCAGGGCACCCATAGTTATCATAAAGGGCGTTAAAGTATATTTCATCATAATTTCGCGCACCAAACGCGCGAAAGGTAAACGCGGTATCATAAAGCCTGGATGCTTTTGTAACCGTTCAATTTCGCGGTTCAATTTTTGTATACGACGCTCCGGTTTATTTTGTTTGCGCCTCGAGCCAGGTCTTGATGTTAGTGGCGGCTGATGTTTCTTACTCATACTCGCTGCGGGTGTTTTTAGCGGCAGCTTTCGGGGTGTTTGTCGTACTGCCGGTGGCTGATTCTCTGAATCACTGTCGCCTTCGGATGTGTCTAGATCACGACGATGGTCTTTTGGAACGTTTTTGCGTAGCGTAGAGCACCGACGTGGAGATGTGTTCATTTCAGCCAAACGGCTTGTAGTAAACTCCAATCCGTAGTCGGTTTCGTTTTCACGATCTGGTGTTCGAAATGCAGTTTCCTCATATGAATCCTCATCATTATCTAAATGCGATTCCGATTTCTTCTTTTTCTGAGTTGAACTCTTTACAGTGCGTGGTCGCATTATGAATTCAAATTACAAATTGCCTACACTTAAGAACTTATAGCCTTTGGTTCGCTGTAATATACACAAAAATCGAATTCCCGCCTTTTTGAGCATAGTTCAGCAAAACTCTAACATATCAAAACATTCATTTTACAACACTAATTACTATGAAATTAAAAATTGGTATATAGACACTTATTAATAAACATCTATATACAAATTTAATAGTATATTAATATTTAATTATATAGCATGTACATAAATGCACAAAACTGGCGCAACTATTTGTAATTTTACATTTGAATTAAAGTCTGTATTCCAGAAGAGCAGTATTTTAGTATTTTGATGAAACGGTCTCATTGAAATATCTGGTTAATTTGTATGCGTGCCTCCACTGTTTACTTTTTGATACATTCACTTAAAAGCAGATATGTCCGAAGATAATTCTCATAGCAGGGAATATGTCTTGGAAGCAGACTCCGAGCTACGTTTTGAAATCGAGCAAAAAGATGCCAAGGTTCTTGTTACGGTATGCTGTAATAGTTTTGTACTCGGCGTGGGTAACATTTCTAAATCGTATTTCAGCTCGTCACAGGTTTTGCAGAGCTTTTTGGCACCGAACTGGTGAAAAAAAAGAAATATGAGTTCGGTGTTGGCGCCAAAGTGGCTATATTTACCTACCAAGGCTGCGTGCTGCACGTGTCAGGCAAAATGGATGTGTGCTATATCTCAAAAGAGACACCAATGGTACAATATATAAACTGCCATGCAGCATTGGAGCAGTTTCGCATCGAAGCCGAAGAACGGGACAAGCGCGGCCCTGTTGTATTGATCGTAGGGCCTATGGACGTTGGAAAGAGCACACTGTGCCGCATTCTGTTAAACTATGCAGTACGCGTAGGCAGGCGACCACTTTACGCAGATCTTGATGTGGGCCAAGGTGCCATCTCCATTTCCGGCAATGTTGCCACTATCCTTATTGAACGACCAGCCAGCGTTGAGGAAGGATTTACAAAGACAGCGCCACTAGTTTATCATTTTGGTCACAAGTCCCCTGGTGCTAATAACGTGCTTTACAATGCTGTCGTCTCGAAAATGGCTGAAGTAACACTGCAGAGTCTGGATGCCAATAAACGAAGTATGTTTAACCGCATTTACTCTAGAAATTTGAAATATATGACCATATTTTTGTGTAGCCAAAAGCTCTGGGATCATTGTCAACACATGTGGATGGGTGAAGGGCTCTGGCTATGCACATTTGTTGCATGCAGCACGAGCTTATCGCGCTCGCGCCGTATTCGTATTGGATCAGGAGCGTTTGTATAATGATTTACTGCGCGATGTGCCTTCAAACGTCCATGTTGTCCTCTTGCCAAAAAGTGGCGGCGTAGTGGAACGCAGTAAAGAATTGCGCCACGAATCCCGCGAGCAGCGTGTCAAGGAATATTTTTATGGTAATACACGTACACCTTTCTATCCCTTTTCGTTCGAGGTCAAATTTCAGGACCTACGGCTGTACAAAATTGGCGCACCACCATTACCCGATTCATGTATGCCAATTGGTATGAAAGCGGAAGACAACAAAAAGAAAGTTGTACCGGTTTCACCCACTCCGTCGCTGCTACATCACATTCTTACGCTCACTTTTGCAGAGTCTACGGACGATGATGTTATTGGCACTAATGTTGCAGGCTTCTGTTGTGTGTAAGTTTAATCAAGTGACTTTCGCACGAATACATTTAATGATGCCATTTTTATTCTGAAGCACCGAGGTGGACATGGATCGACAATCTGTTATGCTGTTATCGCCACAGCCACGGCCGTTGCCTCCAAATGCATTGCTTTTGTGGTCAGAGATACAGTTTATGGACAATCATGCCTAATATTCACCTTGACAAGATTAGTAGTATTATGTTTGTAAATAAAAAGAATGAAAATTATGCGTTAATATTTTTATTTAATATTAACAGTTTTATGTTAAATCTAATATGTGTCGTATAATTGAACAGCTGGTTGCACTGGAGAAAAGTATAACATTTTAGGAAAATTTAGCAGTACCATTGTGAGTTTAACGGCATAAAATAATTCTGCCTTTTACTCTTAACAGTGCTTATTTATTAAAGGAACCTAGCATGAACAGCATTAAAAGTTTTTTTCTTTCAGTTTAATTAATTCAAGATGTTTCCATATTTAAGTGCAACAACCCGCCAATTGCGCAAAAAATTCAAACAAAACAGTCATCGTCTGCTCAACATAAAAACACTCTTATATTACAGTCCAGACAATGTTAAAGTTCATTCTGCTGTTATGGTTGCTGAATTGCTGAATAGTCATTTGGTTGCTTACATGTAGTATCGAGTAGTATCGAGCGTGGAATAGAAGCATCACAAGGTGTAACAAATTAAAGTTTTACAAATAGCAAAAAAATGGCTACCCTCTTGCGGTAACTTTATTTCACAGCAGTGTATTAATTTTATATAATTGCTTTTATTTGCCCTCGCAGTGCTTGTGTAAAAATGTCTATCGCCTTTCAAGTCGTGTATGTCGCTCCAAGAGTAAAAAACAAGTTCAAACCAAGTGTAATTATTACCCATATCTAATGTATGGACGGACGCAACAATATTATGGTCGGAATTAAACACGCGTAGTGCGCATTTTTCACTGAATAACAGGCATCGTTTGATGCATTTCATTCTGTGTCTGAGGTAATGTAGCTCGGCAACGACTGCGATATTTACCGGCTTGTTGCGCCAATGTTTTAATGTCACAGTTAGACCCAGACCAAAAATAACACCCTTAACATTGAAGCAATACGTGCAAATGCAACAACGGAAACGCGACAACAACAAACATAACAATTACAGTTTTTAAGATTTTGCTTTTAGAGCTTTGTGTGAATTAAAATTTGTGATTCCTTCTTTACAGTAAAAATCAAAATATTTGTGCTTAGCGAACTAATCGGTCTCTGTACTGCTGCACTCTTATATTTTGTTTCCAATGTATTTCGAGCTCTTGGCCCAGTGCGTGTAAAATGACTCGTAGGCCAAACAGAAGTGAACATAGTAATATTAAGTTTAAGCAACTGTTCCAAATAAAAACAACAAAATGCGTAAATAATTGTAGCAGAGACTATCACAGCTTTAGTTATGTGATCATTTTTTTCATTTGCTGTTGCATCTCAAACAGCTTGCAGTATAAAAATGGTAAGTGCTCAAAATGTTTAAACAATTTAACACATATGAACGTATGCTTAAGTAGTTGTTATGTGAAATTAGATAATCGTCAATTAATGATTAATTTGAGTTCTAGTTAACAAGACAATATAAGATAAAGTAGAACCAGGAGTGAATATGTGCGATTATTTAGTTTTTTAAATCCCAGTGCAATCGTCGGCACCATTTCAAGCTAAACAAGTAAGAGATTCTAGTCGGGAGCTCCCTAACCCTCTTCTTCCAACATCAAATGCATATATATATTCTATTTTAGAAGATATATGTCAAGTTTGGTGACTCTAGCTCTTATTATTTACCAAAATTGCCCGAAAACCAGGATATCGATATCGATTTTTATCGATTGTTTGGAAACGGAGTAAGTTATCGATTATCGGAAACAAACTCGATCTGCGCAGGCACTAGGAGCACCTACATCTAAAGTTTCTCTAGCTCTTATAGGTTCTGAGATCCTTGCGTTCATACATACGGACAGACAGACAGACAAACAGACGGACACGGCTAGATCGACTCGGCTATTGGTGCTGATCAAGAATTTATATACTTGCCTGTTACATTCATTTGGATTTTGCACAAATACAATATACCCTTATACCCATTTTTAATGGGTTCAGGGTATAAATATATGTCTATAAATATATGTCTATATAATATCGGATTAACATAAACTCGATAAGGAGATCCAGGAAATATGTATGCTTGTTCGTATTATATCAGCATAAGTGAACATACATCCTGTCAAACACGTACGTATTTTAGGCGGATTTATATTTTGAGGTCCTCTTTTTAAAGCCTTTGGTGTTAGTCAACCAACGAATTAGGCGCAACAATCGGGAGAAAGCAAAAAGAGCAAGCCTTTTAAAGGTTTTGCTTCACTCACGTCTTCACTTCTAACAAGTTATTTACATATACACAAACTCATGTGTTCTCGGCCACGAATGCTCCGTTCAGATGTTCATACCCGTACTGAGTTTGGCCCTTTATACTGCTCGTTGTTGTTTCCATTGTCTTTATGACAACTTCCTGCGTCTCTGATGATTTGATTTCAGATATATATCTAGCGTTATATATACTAGCGTGTATTACCCGGCCTTGCCTATGGCAGGTTTTATGCTAAATATGGTAGATATTAAGTTTTCATTCAGTTTCCACAATTGCGAGTGGAATGTCCAACATCGCTGAAAGACGCATTGATTTAGTTTCTATGTTGTGATGAATCAGACGATTAGATTTTGCGAATAGTGTGAAACACGTCCCAATTGAATTTGTACAAAGATTTTTAAACAAAAAACGTTCATACAACATTCATTCAATCAAACATTTTTAAACAAAGATATGATGGACTTAAAGATTACTGACTTGAATCTTCACGAATATCCCAAATATAACATATCGAGCCTAGTTTAAATATTCTGTCGTTTATGGTCCATTTCAAGTTTATTTCACTGTTGTTTTCTTCTTAAAGAATCGAATAGGTTTTTAATTTATGGCCTTAAATCTACATATATTTATAAGCATTAAATATGATGTTTGCCCATATTCTGATCCGTTCCGCCACATAATAATTTGCTGATAGTTTGTTTCTGCCAGACCCAGTCGTTAGTAAGCTGAGCTCTCCCACAAAGCAAATAAAACAATGTGCGTTTGATTTTGTGAAATATTTACCTCGTTTTTGATCTTTGCAAATCGAAAGGGTATATTCATAGAGATCCCACCTCAAACATGCGTGTGTAAAACTAGGTGAATGTTATCGTCTATGTTTTCCTTTACGAATACTAATTAAGCACTATGCTAGTTTCTGCGGAAATAAAAATTGTCACGATATGACAAAAGTAAAATGCTTAAACAAAGTCATAGAATGCAACTGCATTTAAACTCAGTTTATCCGACTCTATAGTAAGGCTTTTGACTCTGTGCACCATGACCTTTTACTCTGTAAACTTGACCGTTTTGGGTTTCTTCCCTCTCTTTTGCTTTGATTTCTGCTTTTTGAAAGGGTAGGACCCTAAGAGTCATGCTTGACTACCTCGAAACAGGTTCACGATGCTTCTGGTGTACCTTAAAGTCATCTTGCTGCTCTCCTCTCAACTCTTTTTTTTATAAACGATTTCCCCTCTGTTAATACACATGCCGATGTACTTGACTATACGGACGATGTGAAATTTATTCGTTCATACACTGATCCCCCCTTACATCATTCTCCTCTACAAGATGACGTTATACAACTTTGGGGTTCGGCCAATCAATTGCATCTAAAATTCTAAATTCGTAGTGTATGTTTATGAGCTTGAATCGTAATCGACCTTATTTTGTCAGTTATACTATCGATCATACTTCTTTGCAACGTATACAAAGAGTTAAGGACTCAGTTGAAAATCGCTTCATAACCAAACTTCTATCTATGTCCCTTGTAGGCCATATCCTTGAATACTGCTCATGTACCTGGTTTCTGCAGCATAATAATAGATCGTATTGAATCAGTTTAGAAGCCATTTCTGTTTCTGTTTTTATACCCTGAACCCATTAAAAATGGGTGTAAGGGTATATTGTATTTGTGCGAAAGCCAAAGGTATGTAGCAGGCAGAAGGAAGCATCTCCGACCCCATAAAGTATATATATTCTTGACTGATCAAGATGATTGATGCTGACATCAATAACCGAGTCGATCTAGCCATGTCCGTCTGTCTTTCCGTCCGTCCATCCGTATGTATGAACGCAAGGATCTCAGAACCTATAAGATCTTAGATGTAGGTGCTTCTAGTACCTGATCGAGTTTGTTTCCGATAATCAATAACTTACTCCGTTTCCAAGCAATTGATAAAAATCGATATCGATATCCTGTTTTTTGGTCAAAAAACAAAACCAAACTTGACATAACAGCTTCTAAAATAGAATATATATATTTATTTGATGTTGGAAGAAGAGGGTTCAGGGTATCCCCTAGTCGGGAGCTCCCGACTAGAACCTCTTACTTGTTTTTTTTGTATATTCTATAATAAATGAGACAATTAAGATTATTTTTAATTATTTTTCTCTTATTTTCCTAACTAACACCTTTCCTCTCAGCTGTAGACTCTAATAATCGCACTGGCACAACTAGTCAACTAGTGAAAAGGGATATAGTTGGCCGGGCAAATAAAATACCTTCATTGGGTGGATAATGCTATTTAAAATATTTGCAATCTGACAAGGCTTTAAGGGTTTAATTTATATTCCTATGTATGAAATACGTGAATTAACACTCGTATTGTCGACCATTAATAAATAAATAAAACATCAAACACAGTGCAATCTATTAGTTAGTTAGGATTAACGTACAAAGTGATTGAATGAATGACTGTAAAATCGAGTCACGTCTCTTAACGAGGCCGAAAGGGTGTCAGACCCCATACCAGAAGGTATGTGTAGGCTGGTTTAGTTCAGGCCTGTGTTTTATTTTCATTTCGTTGCTGCATTAAGGCAGACTTGCTGCTAGTTGCTGAGCTACCTGGTATTCAACGGGCAACGACATGAACCTTACTTGAAGGTACTTCGTAATCTTGGTGTTGGTAATGTGTATAAATGCACAAGGCAAAACAATAGTTAAATAAAAATTACAAACATTTTATAGATATTTTGAGTATGTAAATTTAATTTGACAATATTTAATAATCAATTTGTACCTTTCATTGATGCAGGAATTTACCTTTTCTTAGATAATAACCTTACTAAATGTTGAAGCAAAATTAACCAGGCTAAAAGTTCGTGTTGAGGGGCTTAAAAAGAATAGCAGCAAATCATCAGCCGCAACAGGAAAACATTAACACAATATATTGCACGCGAACGGCAACCGTTGGCTTGGATAGATGCCCCAACTGCAGTTGCATCTGACCAACCCACATCGTTATCATAATATGAGTTGTGGTATCTGGGCCTGGCATGGTTTCGCCCGGCTATGGTAACATCATGTCGTGCTCGAGCTGTTGCTGCTGCTGCTGTTATTGTTTTTGTTGTTGTTGTTGTTGTTGTCGTTGTTAGTGAGTGTGTAGGCGGGGTACCTACGCTTTATTGTGAGCTCGGCTCAGACATGAGAAACATTGAAGCACGGTCATGTGATTGTGCTTGCCCGACTGACTGCGTGTACCGGGGTGAAAAACAGCAGTTTGCCATTTATATCAGACATTTTCAGACTAGGCTCAGACTTGAGCTCTTTTTTTTTTTATGTGCCTTTTGATTGTTTTGTGTTGTCGTTTCGTATTTGACACAACGATTTAAATAGAAAACAGATTTTGTTCTGCAAAGATTAACTGATTAACATTTTGTACAAATTAAATCTTGCTGATTTGACACAACGATTTAAATAGAAAACAGAATTTGTTCTGCAAAGATTAACTGATTAACATTTTGTACAAATTAAATCTTGCTGTATCTAAAAATTAAAATCTAAGCACAGAGCATCTCGTAGTCGAACATTCTTGCCAAGATTTCAGTGAAGCTCCCAATTATTTCCCTGAAGCATGAACGGCGAGAAACTGAGTTTTGACAAGTCTTTGTAAGCGTGCAAATTGCATGCTATGCGAGTTAATAGCGCTTGGAGAGCAGCTAGGCGAGTTAAAGAATTATCAGGTGCCAAAGGTGCTGATTCCGACGATATGAATGAAAACAAACTACATAACTTTTTTCCTCACGGTTAGTCGATTAGTTATTACAGGGTATTCCATTTTTTCAGTCCAATGCAATTTTTTAATTTTTAACAACCAATAACTGTACCATTACATTTGGAAATCACACAAACAAAAGGTAAACGGTGCAGGAGAATTCCAACAAAAATATAACCTAACCATTTAAAACTAAGCAGAGTCTACTTGTTAAATCGGGGGGGTGCAAAATTCGTAAGCCCATTAGAAATGACTTCCACCTTGAGGCTGGGTTCTTAAATATGATTTTCAACATTCAATAATTCACGTTTTGGTTCAATCCTTAGTTTATCAGATATTTTAAAAATTTAGAACGAATAACAGTGAAATTGTTAATTTATGATTGCCCGATCTACTGTAAATGATTTAAGCCGTAGATATTTTCATACAACAGCTGCAGTCCAAATCTGAGACCAACCGAATATGATTAGACAAATCCAATGGGTTGAGTCAACAATTTGCTTTCATACATTAGGGTTTAATCTCTCTCTAAAGTTGGCTCAGTGGGGCTTTTGGTTCAGTTGGTTTATGTACAATTGGATTAATATGGATATATATTTAAATTTCGTCTTAAAAGCGGCTTTAAATTATAATTATTTTACTAATTATTATATTGTTGATCTTGAACGACAAACGTTATTCCTGTTATAAATTGGTAGCGATTCTGCCATAAAAACTTAAATAAATGATGCTAGAACTAAAACAAATATAACATAATTTTGGGTATGCAATTGTCAACAAGAGAAGTTTTTTCTATCTTCTGTTTTTTTTCTTCTACTACCTGCACACTGAATGGATTTTGTGTTTCAATTTGTTCAGCAACCGGAAAAGCATTAACATATTCAAGAATGTCTGCAAAAACGAAAATCGAAAAAAAAAACACCCACCACCACCTTCGCACCTTCCCTGCCCGCGCAAATGTCGGCTGGTTTCCTATTTAGCTAACCCAGCCCTCAGCACATTTAAAATGCTGCAACTGCTGTTGCAACTGGCGCAACGCCAGAGACAACCACCTGTGTAGGAGACCTAACTTACGTTGTTCCCATAATGCTGCCACTCAGCGTGAGTGGCGCGGAGTGGGCAGGGGAATGGGCTTGGTGCTTATGAACAAGCTGGTAGCATTGCTCACTTAAAGTTCCGCAGCCTCGACTTGTTCCGTTCTAGAAAAGGGGTACTTGCACTCATTTAGCATTTATGTGTACATGGTTAGTGTATCTCCGGCTACTACCACTGCTGAGGTTGAAATTGTTAGCCACAGCCCAGATATTATTTCAAAATCCGGAAGACATTTTCTTAATTGGTATTATGGTCATATTTGGTACTAGGCTATTCGTACCAAATGTACACATTACATTAATATATTGTAGAATAAAATAAAATTCGGTTAAGTTAAAGCAAATGTATACTCACATTTACGGAATGTCAACTTTCAGCTCAAGCTTGATTCAGTTCTACACTAATATAATATTAAGAAGTTTTTTTTTTTTTTGGTTCAGATACCTTGAAAAATAAACAAATTTTTTCATACAAGTACTTTCTTTCAACCGGATCATTCCCATGCTGTTGTATGTTTCAGCTATATGATATATTGTTTCGAAGTTTCTAAGATTTTGCATAAATGTACGGGGTGTAGCGAAATTTGTAAATGGGGAATAAACAATTTTAAGTAAAACATCAAGTCCTATATACATAACTGTTTGTCCTGCCTTACTTTTTGGTGATCAAGAAGAACTATCAATTTGAAAGTTTCACTGTAGTGAAACCACAAACTCATTTTTAATGATCTTTGTTCAAATTAACTTGAGGGGTGTTTACACTATTCGAAAATTTATTTATGATACATTTTAGGTTTTCTCAGATTCCTAAGCCCTACATAAGAACTAATGATAATTTCACTAAAACCAAATTTAAGCGATTTTCGAAATTCCACATCCTCTTGGATGATAATTGCTGATCGGAGATTGTTAGGATGAAGTTTTAAGTTACCTCCCATATGCCTTAAACTTATCGTCAAATCAGGATATTTGGAAAATTTACAACTTTTATATTTCCCATCGGATCGGATTCAAGCTTTTTAAAGATCTTTGTGAACATTTATTTAATATGTTTTTCGGAAAATCCACCGCTCCTGTGTGAAAATTGGGGGCGAAAGGCTTAAAGAACGAAAGTTTATTCTTGATTATTGATGCGAACTTCTTTTTATTCGATGGATTTTAAAGAAATAAATGAGCGTGATGTTTTTCGGATAGATTTAAATTTTGCACAGATTGGTACTGGATTAAAAAGTTATATCTTAAATTGTAGGACCAAAAATTGCTACGGACTAATGCTGGGGAATAGCCGCTTATTGTTTATAGAACAGGGTTTGTTTTTAATTTTGGAGTAATTTTTGTTTAAAGGCGATTCTTTGAAACTTTTAAACGTTTTTCTTTAGTGTATTGCGCATTGATTAGACTCTTTAGTTTTTAACATTTAAGTACCGCAAGCATCTACAACTGCTGAGGCACACCCACGTCCACTTTGACACCCACTATTCGTTCAACTCCCACACAGGAGTCGGCCAGCTCAATCAGTGGCGCCTAGTTGTAACTTGCATTTACTGGCTATTTTACAAATCAAAAGCCTTGTATAAAAACACGTTTTTAGCACTGTCAGACGACAGGTCGAATAATCCATGCCATAAATTATGTAGTTACTATAGACCAGTTAACCTTAATAGCCGGAGTTTTATAGGAACCAATCGTGGAAAATAAAACTAACTCAACTATATGTTAATTATGTTTTCTTACAGTGCACGGACAACCGGTCTCTTCCTCGATGGTGTCCACGTCTACCATGACTCAACAGTTTATCAACACACCAGCCACGTTGTTGTTCACTACACGGCACGACATTCAAGTGGCCAATATAACGAAGCCAACAGGTGGCCCACAGATCGATGTAATTGTCAAGGATTTGGCTGAGGCGATGGCCATCGACTTTTACTATGCCAAGAATCTGGTATGCTGGACAGACTGCGGGCGTGAAATTATAGAATGTGCTCAAACAAATTCTTCGCTGCCGCTGTCCAAGGCTCCCAAGCAAACTGTGATATCGACGGGTCTAGACAAGCCGGAAGGTCTGGCCATCGATTGGTATACGGACAAGATCTACTGGACGGATGGCGAAAAAAATCGCATTGAAGTAGCTACAATTGACGGCCGTTACCAGAAGGTACTTTTCTGGACGGAATTGGATCAGCCACGTGCTATAGCTGTAGTACCCGCAAAACGGCTACTTATATGGACGGATTGGGGCGAGTATCCGAAGATTGAGCGTGCTGGAATGGATGGAGATCCACTAACACGCATGACGCTGGTAAAAGAAAATGTGTTCTGGCCAAACGGGCTGGCTGTTGATTTACAAAGTGAGCTCATTTACTGGACGGACGGCAAGTATCGGTTCATTGACGTTATGAAGCTTGACGGGAGCAATCGTCGCACCATTGTCAACAACCTGAAGTACCCATTTAGTTTAACCTACTTCGAAAACCGCCTATACTGGACAGACTGGTTACGGGGCTCTCTGAATGCGTTAGACCTGCAAACTAAGGAGTTAAAGGAGCTTATTGATACGCCGAAGGCACCGAACTCAGTACGTGCCTGGTCGGAGTCCCTACAACCATTTGAAAATAATCCATGTTCTTACAATAATGGTAACTGTTCGCATCTGTGTCTACTTGCGACTAATACGCAAGGTTACAGCTGCGCATGTCCAACGGGCGTAAAGCTGCTAACTTCTAATAGTTGCGCAAATGGCTCGCAGGAAATGCTGTTCATAGTGCAACGCACGCAAATTAGCAAAATTTCTCTTGATTCACCGGATTACACCATTTTTCCACTGCCGCTAGGCAAAGTCAAGTATGCCATTGCTATTGATTATGATCCCGTAGATGAGCATATTTACTGGTCTGATGTAGAGGCTTATACAATTAAGCGTTCTCATGTAGATGGTAGCAATATTACTGACTTTGTCACCTCCGAGGTGCGACATCCGGATGGCCTGGCCTTAGATTGGCTGGCACGTAATCTCTACTGGACGGATACAGTGACCGATCGTATTGAGGTATGTCGCTTGGATGGCTCTGCGCGTAAAGTGCTTATCTACGAGCATCTAGAAGAACCCCGCGCCATTGCAGTGGCACCCTCGCTTGGCTGGATGTTTTGGAGTGATTGGAATGAGCGCAAGCCTAAGGTGGAGCGTGCTTCTCTCGATGGATCCGAACGCGTTGTGCTTGTTTCCGAGAATCTAGGTTGGCCCAATGGAATTGCCCTGGACATTGAGCACAAAACGATTTACTGGTGCGATGGAAAAACCGACAAAATTGAGGTAGCCAACATGGATGGATCGGATAGACGAGTGGTAATCAGTGAAAATCTTAAGCACCTGTTTGGATTGAGTATCTTGGACGATTATCTTTACTGGACAGATTGGCAACGCCGCTCCATTGATCGGGCCCATAAAATCACAGGCAACAATCGTATTGTTGTCGTTGATCAATACCCCGATCTAATGGGCTTAAAGGTAACTCGACTGCGTGAAGTAAGTGGCCAAAATGCGTGTGCTGAACGTAACGGTGGCTGCTCTCATCTGTGCCTGAATCGTCCACGGGATTACGTTTGCCGTTGTGCTATCGATTACGAACTATCTAATGACAAACGTACATGTGTGTTGCCAGACGCTTTTTTATTGTTCTCTCGCCAGGAGCACATTGGTCGGATATCCATTGACTACAATGAGGGCAATCATAACGATGAGCGTATTCCCTTTAAGGATGTGCGTGATGCACATGCTCTAGACGTGTCTGTCGCTGAGAGGCGCATCTACTGGACGGATCAGAAGAGCAAATGCATATATCGTGCATTTCTTAACGGCTCTTATGTGCAACGCATTGTAGATTCAGGTCTAGTTGGACCTGATGGCATTGCGGTTGATTGGCTTGGGCAAAACATCTACTGGTCGGACGCTGAGGCCCGGCGCATTGAAGTGGCTCGTCTCGATGGAAGCAGTCGCCGGGTGCTGCTTTGGAAAGGTGTGGAAGAGCCCCGTTCTCTTGTACTAGAACCTCGACGCGGCTACATGTACTGGACCGAATCACCATCCGATTCTATTCGTCGCGCAACTATGGATGGTAACGAACTGCAAACAATTATAGCGGGTGCTAATCATGCCGCTGGTTTGACCTTTGACCAGGGGACTAGACGTCTCTACTGGGCAACGCAATCGCGACCGGCGAAGATTGAGTGCGCCGATTGGGATGGAAAACGGCGACAGATCTTAGTGAACAGCGACATTGATGAACCTTATGCTGTTTCCCTATATCAAGACTATTTTTATTGGAGTGACTGGAATACCGGGGATATTGAGCGCGTGCACAAAGTTACTGGACAAAATCGTAGTCTTGTACACACTGGAATGACATACATAACATCGTTGCTGGTGTTTAACGAGCAGCGACAAACTGGAGTTAATCCATGCATGGTTAACAACGGCGGCTGTTCGCATTTGTGCCTTGCTCAGCCTAGTAGACGTGGGATGATCTGCGCTTGCCCCACTCACTATCAGCTTGCGAAGGATGGCGTGTCTTGCATTCCCCCTCGGAACTACATCATATTTAGCCAGCGCAATAGCTTTGGCCGCTTGCTTCCCAATACAACGGATTGTCCCAATGTGCCATTGCCAGTGTCAGGCAAGAATATACGAGCTGTTGATTATGATCCCATCACGCATCACATATACTGGGTAAGTACAGAAACCGAGTAAATTGATAAAGACGAAAGCCTTGAGCTTTTAATATTTTCCAACTTATCAGATCGAAGGACGTAGTCACAGCATCAAAAGGTCTCTAGCAAACGGTACCAAGACAGCTGTGCTGGTCAACACTGGCCAACCATTTGACATTGCCATTGACATTATTGGTCGTTTACTCTTCTGGACGTGCTCTTACTCCAACAGTATCAACGTAACTAGGTAGATAATATCCGAAAAAAATGCAGTCAGACAATTGATATCCTAAAATCTTACCTTTAACATTTAGTTTCCAAGGGGAATCGATTGGTGTAATTGATACCGGCGATTCAGAAAAGCCGCGCAACATTGTCGTCCATGCTATGAAGCGTTTGATCTTCTGGTCGGATGTGGGCAGTCATCAAGCTATTATAAGGGCTCGTGTCGATGGCAATGAGCGCATGGAACTAGCTTATAAACTAGAGGGTGTTACGACACTTGCCTTAGATCAGCAGTCGGATATGCTTTATTATGCACACGGAAAGCGAATTGATGCAATGGATATCAATGGCAAGAACATGTAAGTAAAACTTAAAAAATTAAGGATTATATTGAAACTGTCACAATGGTGCTGCACCGAGCAGATAAAGTGAACTTTTCTCGGTATTGCCATCTGTTTGTAACATTAGTGCCGGATGCTTAATATAAAATTAATTTACTCGCTTTTGTTGTTGCTAGAAAAACGCTGGTGTCGATGCACATCTCACAGGTTATCAATATTGCGGCGCTGGGTGGCTTTGTCTATTGGCTGGATGACAAGACTGGAGTAGAGCGCATCACAGTCACGGGGGAACGCCGGTCGGCGGAACTTCAACGACTGGCGCAGATAACGGACATTCGTGCCGTGTGGACGCCGGATGCAAAACTGCTCCGCAATCACACCTGCTTGCATAGTCAGACCAAGTGCTCACACATTTGCATAGCAGCTGGCGATGAAGTGGGGCACTCACGCGATATTTGCTCTTGCCCTAAATATCTGATGCTGCTTGAGGACAAGGAAAACTGCGGCGCTTTGCCCGCTTGTGGTCCGGATCACTTTACCTGTGCGGCGCCCGTGGCTGGAAATAGTGATATGAACAAGGACTGCATTCCAGCGTCTTGGCGCTGTGACGGCCAGAAGGACTGTCCTGACAAATCCGATGAGGTTGGTTGTCCCACTTGCCGTGCGGATCAGTTCAGCTGCCAATCTGGAGAGTGCATTGACAAGGCCCTTGTTTGCGACGGCACTACAAACTGTGCTAATGGCCATGATGAAGCCGACTGCTGCAAAAGACCGGGTGAATTTCAGTGTCCCATCAATAAGGTATGTTGTGTGTATGCTGAGAGAAAAACCATATAGTCTTTGCTCTTATATATATATATTGATATGGGGTCGGGGATAGCTCTTTTAATGCGGTATAAAATTCGTTTAATACTATCTTCTGGAACGTTACAACAAGAGTGCGGGGAGACTCTGAACCTTCTTTTATCAACCCCAAATGCAGTAGACGCGCTCGATATCTATAAAATGAAATGATCAGTATATACTTTTCTAGAAGCTACATGTCAAATTTGATCGCTCTAGCCATTATAACCAAAGAGATTTGCACAAAAAACATGATTACGATATCGGATTTTATCGATTACTTGGAAACGGGGCACGCTATTGTTTATCAGAAACTCGTTCTCGTTCTGCGTGGGCACTAGGATAATCTACGTTCAATATTTCAAGTCTCTAGCCCTAATAGACTCTGAGATCATTGCGTTCATACATGCGAATAGAAGGACATTGCTTGATCGACCTGGCTATTGATGCTGATCAAGAATATATAAATATACTTAATGGGCTTTTCCATACATTCGCACAAAAACATTATTCCCTTTTTGTCCATTTTCAATGGGTTTAGGTTATAAAAATACATATCCCGTTTATTTAATTTATAACTTTAAATCGTTGTATACTTAAATCGTTGATCTTTCCATAGCTATGCATCTCTGCTGCACTGCTTTGTGATGGCTGGGAAAACTGCGCTGATGGAGCGGATGAGTCGGTGGACATTTGTCTACAGCGCCGCATGGCACCAGCTTCGGATAAGCGCATTTTCATGATATTAATCGGCGCCACGATGATAATCATATTTTCCATTGTTTATCTGCTGCAATTTTGTCGAACGCGCATAGGCAAGAGCCGCACAGAACCTAAAGATGACCAAGCCTCAGACCCCCTGTCGCCGTCGACGCTGACTAAATCACAACGAGTTTCGAAAATTGCCTCTGTAGCAGATGCGGTTCGCATGTCGACGCTTAATTCGCGAAACAGTATGAACTCTTACGATCGTAATCACATAACTGGTGCCTCCAGTTCAACAACCAATGGCAGCAGTATGGTAGCCTATCCAATTAATCCACCGCCTTCACCCGCAACGCGCTCGCGTCGTCCTTACAGGCACTACAAGATCATCAACCAACCGCCTCCTCCTACACCATGCTCTACAGATATTTGCGACGAATCGGACTCAAATTATACTAGCAAATCAAATAGCAACAACAGTAATGGTGGCCCCACAAAATTAACATCTAGCTCGGCTGCCGCCTGTCTTCAGTTTGGCTATGACATTGAACCGTATCCGCCGCCACCAACGCCACGCTCGCATTATCACAGCGATGTGCGTATTGTGCCGGAGTCGTCATGTCCTCCGTCGCCGTCCTCACGCAGCTCTACGTACTTTTCACCGTTACCACCCCCACCATCGCCTGTGCAGTCACCAAGTCGCGGATTTACGTAACATTATTTGAATATAAACGAACAAGGCAGTGTATCCTAGTTGCATTGTATGTATTCCTAAAAATTTTCTGACTGCATTGTATATATTTATTTTTATTTAATGTGAAAAGGGCCTTATAATTAATAATTTTAACGTTAGTTTGGTTATGGGCTTGAACCTAAATGACCGACGTGTGTAAATAGCATAGCTATAATCTTCCTTATTTGTATTTCGATCTCGTTAAGTCTTATTTGCCGAACGACATTTATTTTTTTGTAATATAAAGTTTGTAAACAATAGACTGCAATCTTTTAAGTAAACTAAACAAATTAATGAAATAGATTAAATGAAAATAATGCAAAATACAATAACCTATATTTTTACACGATGCAAACACACATTACTTATTCCGCGTGCCAAAATTTCTAAAATACACAAATATACCTACATATAATATAATTAAGATACGCATTATTTTGGTTTGTTATAATTATTTTTAATTGTAAATAGCAAATTTTAATAGCAATATTAAAGAAATATTCATTTTATTTAATTTTCTTCTTCATTGTTATAAACACCAAAAAGTGCCTCAATATGTGTGTTTTATTGTTTGATTTTTGTACACAATTTGTAAACCATGATAAAACTAAAAAGTATATATGTAATTTTCGCAATATATAACATGTTTATAGTTAATTTTTACTAAGCATAATTGTAATTACAAAAAAACTTAGGCCTATAAAATGTTATATTTAAAATACAAAATGTGCAGTATTTATAACTTTAGCTTTAATTGTTTTTCATTCAACCTTACCTATGCTCTTTCCAAATTATATACGGGAATGATGCATTGGTTTTAAATTAAGTTTTTTAAACAAGATGATCCACCATTTACAATGAGTGAACGTATTTACTATTTTGTAAATGTGAATGTATTCTATAACTATAACTTCAGTCATTTAAGTTATAGAGAATGTAAAATATCTGATCTTGCTTGTATAGATTGTTGTCGGCGGGTACTGATCAATCCCTTTGATAACGCTTTTGGAATGCTTCCTTTAGAGCACAGGTGCCCCCCCACACAGTTTTGTTGATGCATTGCTAGGTATTTGCAACCGATTTACATTGTATTTTAATTCCATTCTTAAAGACATTGCAGAAGCCGACAGGGTTCAGTTGTTTTCCTTTTATTAAATGAACGTATTAACAAGTTTATTAATTTAAATATATATTATTTAGCTAAACCCTAAGTCGTTTAAGTTGTAGAGAATGTTAAATATCTTAACTTGCTAAAATTATTTGTTAACGGCGGATACCGATCAATCCCTTTGGTTTCGCTTTTGGGCATAAATTGGCAATGCTTTCTGTGGGAGCACAGCTGTCTACACAATTTTGTTAATGCCTTGCGAGGTATTAATAAAATTGCTGAAGCCGACAGAGTTCTGTTATTTTCCTACAAAATTGGTACCAAAATCCTCATTGTTATACACTAGGCTTAAGGAGAACATTGTAATAATTCACAGATAAAAATCCAACATGGTCTTTATTCGCCAAAATTATTAACTTGCTTACGTAAACCTAATGTACATATTATTCTACTTAAATGTTGTCATAGTCTTCATCTAATTCGAAAAGCGATTCACTTATTGGTGCTGATGCCGAAGGGACCTTTGGAATGATTGGAGTTTTGCTCTTTCCAGCGATGTAGTTGACGGACGACCCAATTTTAGTGATTGAGTTATTGTTGGCTCCACTTGCGCTGATCTTATCTGTTGGCAATATTCCATAGCTAATCTTCGCTGAGGTGGGTACCGCGCCAGCTGCCACTATATTTGTAAGATCAATATTTATAACTGGGGGCGAAATATTTAAGTTTAACATTGCATTAGATGTGCTGCCGGTATCAGTGCCTGTCGGGCCCAATGTTGTCATCTGAACGTTGCTATAATCGATTTTAACAATAGGCTTGTTCAGCAATTCGTAGCTGCATATTGGTGCAGGTATGGCAGTGTCTTGTGGTTGTCGACTACTGTTATGGTCATTGGTGTTCGGTGGCCTGCCACGCGGAGTATACGCAGGCGTTGATTCAGAACGTGCTAGCTTCGTGGGCAAATGTCCTGTCTGGTGATGCATATTTTCCAGAGCTGCTGCTGTTTGCACTATAACTGAAGGTGTGGATGAATTGTGATTTCGTTTTTGTCCGCCTCCGTTCAAACTAATGGAGCGCACATAAGGAGTGTTTCCGTTGGGCAACGCTCGCAGTGATGTTGACGGAAGACTAAGGTCATATGGCGTATCCGAATCTGGATATTGTTCCTCCGAGCTGTGTATGTCATCGTCATTATAATTAAACGCAGCTTCCTCGGCGACGCTTATGTCTGGTATATTCCTCACAAGCTCTTTTAAAAAATCAAATCTTTGCTCGGACATGATGCACTGTTTCATATGGGATGGTGATAAAGTTTTGGCGTTTCGCGAATTTGTTATGCGCAACGTTTTAGTTAAAAGTGACTCCACAAACAGCTCCAAAGTCCGTGATATGATAACGGGAACCGCCTGTGCAACCTTACCAATTTCTTCATCACTCTGCATAATTTTCTTGATCCGACCCTGTGAATTAAGGAAAACCCCAAATGAATATTTCAATGCATAAAACGCGTGTGCTTCATATACAAACTGAAAATTTCATCGTTGCGATAATGATGCACGCACAACTTTTACGCATGAAATGCAGGTCTAGTAATAATTATTTATTCGTTTTACTTACCGCTGGAAACCGCGCATTATACTTTTTCTTTTTAGAGGGCATTTCTAAATTTATATAATCTGATATCAGCCAAATGTAATCTTAACTAAATTATAATCCTACTATTTTATTTGCTTGTTTTTTACACAAGAATAGTTCCAAATAGTTGGTTTATTGAGAATGTCAAAAATTCACATGGAATAATAGTTTTCATACACATTCACCCAGAAATGATTGTTAAAGGTCAGTTGACAGTAAGCCACTTTCTTGATTACTTATGCAAAGATCTTGTTTTTACAATTAGATATTATTATATTTAAAAGAATTTTATTTCGACAACGTTGCTTGTAGCATGGCACTGTGAATGTCTAGTTTTATTTACAAAGAATTTTGACAGTCTGGCAACACAGTGACAGTCCGCTGTGAATGTCAAATTTTACATCACAGAAAAGTCATCAAACTTTTTATTTTACTGCGATTTAATTCAACTTTAATTTACGAATCATAGCGAATTAAATTGATGTCTAGTGCTGGTAAGGATCCATGCAAACCTTTCGCCTGCGCTATACAAGCTTGCTTAAAGGGTATGTAAATGAAATCCAGAATATTATGCAATGCGGCATAATATTAATACACAAATTCACATGCGTTTTCAGAACACAACTTTCAGGAACATAAATGCGGTGAGGCACTCGAGCGAATGCGTTTGTGCTGTGTAAAGTGGCATAAGCAGTCGATTTGTTGTAGTGGCATTGATTTGGAAAAATCATACTTACCAAAGACGAAAACAGAAAGCAATCCAAAGTGATCATCAGGTGTGGTACATAAATACCTGCAGTTGCGTTAGTTTTAATTTTAATAAATTCTTGCTCATTAGTAACATATAATGCCAACACCTACCACAGCGCCTCCGTACAAGCCGCCTAAAGATATTCAGGAATTGTTAGATAAAAAACAAGAAACGTATTTGAGAAGGCGAACAGCTGTGCTACCGAAGCGCTCATGGATAAAGCGTAATCCGCGATTATTTCAAATTACATTTATTTCCACGTCACTGCTAATATTCTTCTCAAAGCCGCTTTACGACGCATTCATAGCAGATCCTTTACCCTTGAAGGGTGCATCTATACCACCCCATAAGCGTTAAGGAATGGAATCTGTGCGCAAAGCCAACACCCGACTACGTAACTATCCGATTTTGCTTACAAGGTGTGCTGAACAGGCCTCCCTGTATGCGGCGTGCGTGTCTCGGGAAATCAACGTACAGCCAAAAATTTGCGAGAACGAGTTCAAAGAATTTTTGAACTGTATGCGTAAAACCGCTAAAGAACTAAAAACAAAGTTGTAAACGTACGCTTTTAAATTATATTTCAAATATGTCGGAGACAACGGACAAATTCCCGAGGTTACCCTTAAAAACCACTTGGCTACAAAATAAAAGCCAGTACATATTGCACCTCAGTTTTCAAACACATCTATTAATAGCCGCTATAATCCGACTTGCGCTTATTTTCTATGCCCACGTACAAGACACCAGATCGGCAGTGCCATACACAGATATAGACTATAATGTTGTAACGGACGGCGCTCGACTAGCTTTAATCGGAGATACACCCTTCGCGCGGCACACCTATCGTTACAGTCCCATTATGGCATATATTCAAATACCAAATGTTATTTTGCATCCCGCATGTGGCAAATTATTTTACGCGCTGTTTGATTTACTTCTGGGAATACTTATTTATGCCTTAGTGCGATTTGAGTTGCAGCTGCAATATCAGAAAGAACTGAAATGTTTACAAATGAAATATGATAAATCAATGCTGATAAAGTCACCGAACTTGCACAAAGAATGTAAAGAAACTGAAAAAATGGCACGCATCTCGGCCTGCTTTTGGCTCTATAATCCGCTGACGGCAGTAATATCAACTCGTGGTAACGGCGATAGTGTAACCAGCTTCTTTGTGTTGTTAAGCATATATCTACTGATTAAAATGGATCATCAAATATCCAAAGCCTTGATTGCTTTCTGTGCCGGTCTGGTCCACGGACTTGTGATACACTTACGCCTTTATCCAATAGTTTTTAGTTTAACATACTATTTGAGCTTATCGGCTGCCGCTTCACGGAAATCTCGTGGACTCCTCCATATGATTTGGCCTAATAAGCAGCAGATTTGCCTTGTGCTCGGAACATTATTAGGACTAGCAGCTTTTACTTGGACTTTTTATGCACTGTATGGATGGAAGTATATTTACGAAGCCTATTTTTATCATCTTATACGAAAGGACGTGCGCCACAATTTTTCGCTGCATTTCTTGCTGCAATACCTAAGCAATGCGGAGGGAGTTGATGAGTCCAATCTAATCGTTAAACTGCTTGTGGTAGTGCCGCAGTTAATACTTATACTTTACTTAAGCCTAAGTTTTGGACGATTTCGGCACACATTACCATTTTCTGCGTTTAGTTTGGCTTTTGTCATCGTTACTTATAATTCAGTAGTTACTTCACAGTACTTTATTTGGTATTTGGCTCTGCTGCCGGTGTGCATACAACATTTTCAGCGTCTGTCTTTGGCTAGATGTGCGTCCCTTCTTGTTCTTTGGTTATGCGGTCAGGCTCTGTGGCTTTTACCCGCATATTTATTAGAGTTTAAAACATGGCATACTTTTTATTGGATTGGTATACAGAGTTCCGTATTTTTTATAATTAACAGCTATATTTTATCCCAGCTGTTAAGGAACTATAGACTCAAATCCTTTAATGTTAATTGTACAAAATGTTTATAAAACAATAAAAAAAAAATATAAATAATGATTAATGATTGATTGATGAAACCAAGATACATATTTCCGATAATGATGCGGCAAGAAGCGTTTGTAGTCCGAAAGGCTGAGTATCTTATCAGGTATACGAATGTGGCAAGATATGATATGTATGGCGGTTGTTTTTCTTGAAGACATAATAGCCTAGATTGTCAAGGATTTTTTGGAATCGTAAAAGTTTCCATATGCTTATTTTGTGGACATTTTAGCAGGATCCACAATGTTCATCGCGATTGGTCACACACACAATGTGGAAATACAAGATCTCAACCCTTTTAAAATACTTTGGGATGAAGCTTGTCGAACATTTAACTGCAATGCGTGCCCGAAAAATTCGATCAAATAGCCTAGTTGAAATTCCAGTACTAGTTTTTGTTTTGGATAGCCGCCTCCACAACCTGTGGCTGTAAATCAAATTAATAAATTAATTGGAACTATCTATTAATTTAAGCCACAATTTTAAAGCAATCGTCTTATACGAATAATATTAAGCAAATAAGATCTGCTGCTGAAATGTTGTCCAAATTGATACAGAAATTATTAAAGAGCACGTAAATAAACACTTGTTCGCGGCAGCTCGCGAATTGCAAGAATTTCTGTATACATGTACACCATACATATTCATACGAGTCTTTATTGAATTCTATAAACAGCATTTTAAATGTCTTTGTTTTGGTTTCAAAAAGTTCTAGGTCTAAAATTGGATGTTAAAAACATGGATCGGGCAAGGACCGGAAATACCAGCTAGTAGTATATACATATTTTTTTTATTTCGAGTGAGGTTTTGAATAAAGTATATTTATTTGAAAACATAAAAACTGTATTCTTTAAAGGACCATTTGGTTGAAGTAAAGGCATTACATTACGCCAATTACAACTATTGTAACATATATAAATAAACCACCAGTAAATAGTTAAATAAGATAAAGGTAAAAACTAAATAAAACCAGTTTCTTAACAAATAGTTTATACATATTCTTAGGGGTGAAGCTTTTTTTTAATACGTAGTATTTAAGCTAAAATAAAATTAATGTGCAACGAGTTAAACTCACAGTTGGGTTTTTTGAAATTGAAAATCTTTACCAAACGGAACAAATAATGGCACTAAAACAATTATCATATATAGTTAGGTAAATGAAATGTAATTTTAAAATGTACATGACAACATTCTTTTAAGTAAAATGATTTAGAATTTATTCAAATTTTAAAGCTGCTTAATTCGCTATCGGACGTTTTGATGTCAATTTTTTTTTTTACATTTTTAACCCATATGTTTCCAGTCTGCAACATCTGTTAAAGAAGACAATTGGATCTTTGTTTTAATTTTATATTACGATTTTTAATACATACAGTAAAGTTATGATTGTGTATATCCACAATATTATAGATATTAGTGTAGGTTTAATCTCCAGTCAAGTTGAATTACGTCAGGTGTTTTTTTATTATTGTAGAATACACTTTTCTTTGTTACCGCTAATGTCTACTTGTTCAAGCTCGCGCGCTATTTCATGGTCGTCCTCAATACTGTAAAAAATGGATTGAAAGTTTTCTTTTTTGAATATTTCTAGTGGCAATACATACGCTATTTCTTGATTGTGTAAATGTTGCACCAGCTGATCTCTCTTATCAACAATAGTCACAAGCTCTTCCAACAACAGGCGCTCCTTTTCACGTTGCACCTCCGTTTTCCGCCAATCCTCAACAGATTGAGCAGCGCGTAGCTCCTGATTAAGCATTGTGAATTTGCGCTCGAGATCCTTTTCTTGTTCACTATTGGAAAAATTAACGGTGAATTGAATGTAATGTTCGCTTGTTACGCTAATTCTTACAGAATGTTTAGCTGCATCTGACGCCTAAGGAGTGCATTTTTCTTGTTTACAAGTGTAAACCACTGTGAAAGCAATTGTTCTTCGGTTTCTTCAGTTTCTGTGGGAAATCAAAAGCTGTTTAAGACCGACTCCAAACTATTGAAAAAAGATTAAAATTATTTAGCATTTTAGAGTCTAACAAAGTCGGTAATTGAATGTCAGTAGTTTTGGTTCTGTATTGTGTCGTCGTCGCAGAGAGCTAAGTGGTGATTAGTGATATTTTGTTCATTGTGGTTATGGTAAAAATTTGTAAGGAATTTAGTTCGAGGCAAGTAAAGACTTAAAGTCTATTTTTAAACAAATGCAGCGCGTTGACTGAACGGTTAAAAGCAAAAACACATAAACAGATATGCGAGCAGGCAGGCGTTTAGCTTTGGCGTGCTGTTGCGGGCATGGCAAAAGCAGTTAACTTATTCGGCCTTTAAGACACGACATTACCACAAAAACTGCGGGGACGAGGGCGTCGGTGTTTCTGGTGGGCTCTCTTGTGTTCATCACGTCGTTTCCGACAGAAGGCTATTTGATCAGTAGGCGCTACAACCTTAGCATTAACATCTTCTGCACTTAGGGCTTGTAACTTATCACAGAAGGAATGTCGGGAGGACGCAACTGAAGCAGAGTTACATGGTGAATGACTATACGGTCCCACGTGACGAACGTGGTGAGAAACTTGGTTTGAGCCATGCTGATGACGATGACAATAATTTTCAGGTAATTGGTGTTGATATGTAGGCCGAATCAGTGAATAGTTAAGATTCGTAGTCACAAAACAAGACTGAGCGCGCGGCCGTGATCGTGTTTGATGTTCTGGTCGCGGTTTCATTTCGAAAGCCTGAACTTCACCATGTTGCTTCTCCTTCTTCCCAGAGGTGGTGGAAGTGTCACTGTATGTCTCATCGTCGTCTTGGTCGTCGTCATCAGTGCCACTGCCAGCACCGCTTGCACCACTACCAAATAAACTTTCATCATCCCAGTCAAGCAGCTTTATACGTATGACATCACCGCCACCAATGCTATTGCGTATTAACCTAAGGAAGGGATTTGTACCAGTTTTATTATTACTTGGATTACCGCCCATAACTGCACGTAGTTTGGCCTCCAGACTGCTAGCCTTTTGGTCGATTGCCTCTTGTTCGCGTTCCAATGCTTCCAGCTCAGACTCAATGTATGTAAGCCTATCATTCTGAAAAAGAAACTTTAATGAAATATATAAAACGCAAGTATTTTCGGCACGCCGAAATTTATAAGCGTATACTCTTGCAAAATAACATTGTAGATATTTTTATATTGCCTAAGCAAATTCAAAATTCATGTGCGGATATATCGTCAAAGATTTTATATTGTCAATCGACATAGACAACAAAAAATCGCAAGAGAGGGCTCAAAGACTTAAATTATCTTTTAAATAAAAATAAGGTTTGATCAAAACAGCGTTTACAATTTAAAATACAATCAGACATGAGCACAAATCATAGCAAATTGTGCTTTATATATATATATATATATATATATATATATCAAGTCGGTACTAACTTTTTTTTCATGCTTTGGTGAGATCCTTTCCACGACTGCGTTAAAGGATTGCAAAGGAGTGATGTTACCGTCGCTTAATTTATGACTAGGACTCGTGTGGTTAACGTAGTGATCAGGTTTCTCCCGTATAAGAGCTATTTTATTTGAGGGAACGTCAATGTAAGACTCTCCGTTGCTACTGCCATTGTGTATGGGTGAAATAGTACGTTCAGGAGTATAGTTGAATCGCTTGAGCTTAGTTGGGGTTGTTGGACTGTCCACACCGCTATTTACAGGTCCTGCTATCTTATTTCGTGTTTCTAATATAAGTCGTCGTGCCTGCTCCCTTAATCGCTGCTGTCGATCCTCCTGTTGAAAATTTAAAAATAAATTAACATTGAATTATTTTTCTTCAAAATTAAAAATATACGATGCATGCAAGCTCAACTAGCAATATGCAAAAAGTGCCCATGTCTACTTACATCGTTCGCATCAGGGCGTTCATCACAATTTGAAATTTTTAATTTTTCCATCATCAGCTTAGCTTTTTCGCTCATTTCTTTGTGGCGCGTTAAAATTCGCTACGAAAATAAAAACGAACAAAACCAAAAACAGAAGCAAAAGCCGAGGTCAAAGCAAAATAAATTTAAATGAATGGATAAAAGTAAAGTAAGGCAAACGAACAAATAATAAAATTATATTCAGCAAATTCACATGGCTCATAAATGCCGAAAAATCGAGCAGTGGAATTAATATGCCTTTCTATGCGCAAAGATATAGCTAAAAAACACTTAAGGTGATTCGGCTAAGGCCTAACTTACATTTGTCGCATTAGCATCTAACGACATAGGCGACGTTGATTCCTTGTTAAGCTTTTGCATTTCCTCACATGTATCGCTGTTGCCATCGATAGGAGGAGGAGGAGTATGTCGACCAAGTGAGGATTTAGTTGTCTGATTTGCAATCTGTATTGCATTGACTACATTTTTGTCTTTAGTTGGGGAAAGAACTTTACCCAAAATATTCTTTGAACTTGTCAATATAAGATTTTTGACGTCTTTTTTACTCGTGGGCGACAGCTGTTGTTGCTGACAGATGTTTTCTTCATCGAACGAATTCTGATGTAATAGCTGTGTCTTCAGGTGCGAGAAGTTTATTAGATTTTGCGACAGATTGTCAGACTTGTAGTTGCCGATAACGTAGCTGGACTCGTCCGATGTCGGGCCTGAATACAAAGAATATGTATACAATATCAATGATTGTTGATGTATAACTTACCAATTTGCTCAATTTGCAACTGCTTTCCTGTGAAGTGTGCCCGTAATTGGTGCAGGTACGTCATGACTGCTAATTTGTCTGGTACTGTGAGCAAATTCATGTCTCGTGGTTCAATCACACGAGGTATGCCCAATGTTTCTGCCGCATCAAAAGCTATACGACAGTTACCAACAACGTCATGTGCACTTAACTTCGACATGTCTCTACGATTAACAATTGCGTTCAATTAATTTCTAATGTAAGAAAATTAATTAAGTACTTACATCAAACGTGGCATAAAATGGTGTATTATTGCGCAAAACGCCATGCCATTGCGCCAGCTGGTAGTCAAATTTGTCACTTTTACATTTGGATAATCTTTGGTTACCTCTTTGCACCACTCTAACAAATCTTGTCCAGGGGTGTTATCCTTCAGCACGATCTTCTCCACAGGCTTTAGAGAAGCATTATTTACAGTTGAAAATTTATTTATGGTAGGTGTAGACTCATAATTTTTCTTTAAATTCAGGGGCTGAAGTTCAGGGCGCTTGGCAATAGGTACAATAGCTAGGTCCTCTATCGGCTTCGTTTGTTCCTCGGTAGATTGTGTGGCTCCAGTTTCCTCAGTAGTGGTAGAAACGGTTACTCTTAAGACTTCATCGTCATATGAATTTATATTCTGTGATTTTACTATGTCGACAGCGCTGCAATCATGGTTGTCAAAGTTGAGAGCTTTGCTTGAGCTACTTTTCACTTTTACTGTAGCCTTTTGTGCTTCTATAGGCGTAGATGTGAGAATCTCCTGGAACCTTTCGTTTTGATTGGATTTCAACGATTCAATAGCAATTTGATTATTTTCCTTAATCAGATCAGTGTCTTTAATAGGCGTCCTGCGAGTTACCAGTTGTGAATTATGTGCACTAGGAGTATTTAATGGTTCATCCGCTTTAACGATCGACCAAGGCTGTACGTTTTTATGATCCGTTTCTTGTTCAAAATGTAAAGGGTTGAATGACTCGGCCAATGGAGTTGGATCTTCTGACAATGAGGGAACTACCCACACCAACATCATCGAAAAAGAAGCATATCGATCACATAGTCAAACATATTAAGTTGTATCATTTATTGCGTAGTGCCGTTTTGAAGATTGCAACGGATCAAAAGAGAAAGAAAATGTATTAAAATTTTTACTATGCATACTTTTTTAAATCATTCAAGTTTTTGTTTTCATTTACGCGCTACAATTTAAAATGAATGCAATCACCACTACAAACTTTCGTAAAAACATTCATAGTTTTGCAGGATTTTTATGTTTTAAAACATAAAAATATATACGTATGTCTTCAAACATGAATCCCCAAATGTATGTTACAATTTTATTATACAAGCCTTGCAATAATACTACCCTGTGCTAGTTAGCATTCCCCTTAAAAAGATTAAGGGTTTCTATATCTTGTTGACGTTTGCTAGAATAATTTTCAGACGAACGAAAAAAACAAATGAATACTCACCGCTCAAAGGCGTTGGTACATCGGTACAACCATTTAAACTTGTAGTCATTTGCTCCAACTGTTGCGTGAAATCATATAAATTGTCCGAGATGTCCCCGGAGTTTTCCAAGTCTGGTATATCCTCTAAGTCGTCAAGAGGCGCTACATCACAGTTGTTATTGACGGACATAAATGAGACAACGCTTTGCATATCTTCATCACTGCAATGCCAAATTAAAAATATTATGTTCGAGCTAAAAGTGATAGTGTCAACAGTAGCACTCACGTTGCTTTTCCCTCGCGCAAAAAAACACAACTAATTGTCAATTCCAAATCAGCGGCTGTTATTTTCCGAGAAACTGGCTTAAGGTTCAACGTAAAACTCTGCTGTGTTGACTCAACACTAGCATATTTACGCATATTGATGCTTGCGTTTGCCAATACTCGCTTTTTACCCAGTAGTGAAATCTATATATGTATATGTATATATTTATAATATAATTTAATACTCCGAAAACCATTTAAATACATAATAAACTATAACATTAAAGTGAGGGAACGTTTTTTAAAACCGCACTCCAAGAGAAAGTCAAAGTATCTTTCGAAAGTGCACAGTAAAATATTCAGTTGCGTAATATATCTCTATCTATAAAACTGTCCTGACTGACTGATTGGTAAGCTATGCACAGCCCAAATTCTAAGAGCTAGGAAGCTGAACTTTTCCCAGTAGTTACCTTATGTGATAAAGGTGCACGGTAAAACATGGTTTTGGGATATTAAACATATAATTGGAGAAAAACGGAAAGCTTTTTCTTTAAACAACGTCCGATTTTAAGCCCCCACATAACAACTTAATGAATGTGTGTTTGTGGTAAATGGTTGTTGAAAATTGAAAGTTTTTTGTTTAAATCCGATTAAAAAATCACTTTCAAAGAACTTTGTGAAAATTCATTTGATTCGTTTTATACCCACAAAATTAGCTCTTCTTGCTAGATAATTGCGTGTCAAAAGTTAATTGGACCAACTTTAAAGTTAAATTTTATTGGCCCTAAACTTACTGTCAAGTCACTACATACAGCGATTTTTGGCGATTTTCACACGCGGCTGTGGAAATCTGTCGGAAAAGTCGCAACTTTTTGGTTTACCATCGGATCGGCTTCAAACTCATTTTCAAAAATCTTTGTCCACAAGCCTTTTTTTCTTAATTCGACAGATGTATTCTAGTTGATTAAAGATATTAGGAGCTGATTTAAATTTTTCACGGGCGGGACTGAGTGTAAGAATTATATCTAAATTATAGGCACAAAACTTGTCACGGGCAAGGCAGGGGAACACTCGCTTAAATTTTATAAATGTACTTCTGCCAGGAATGAGATAATAAATGTTTATGCATGCGACTACTCACATCTTCGACTACAAATGTCCAGTCTTTGTCTTCAAGTTCATGAGTGCGTGGATCCTTAAATAATGTTACCGAAATAGCGTGATTGTCTGGCACTGGCCACGATATGTTTCCCACCAGTGGGTTCATCATATCTGGCTCCCATGGCAGCGGTGAACTAGCAACGCGCCTCGAACGTCTCGTCCAGACCACCGAAAGATTTGAAGGGCGCCTTTGAAAACAAATAATAAAAATACTATATTAGGAACACCCACCTGTTATAATAACATTGAGGCAAAAATAAAATAACCAAAACATGTTTTTCTTTATATTTTTAACCAAAATTGTTTTTCGTTTGCTTTTTACATACATTTTTTTGCTAAAATTAAGATATACAGATAGATGTATTTACATCCATTTGGACAATTGCACCAAACGTATATAATGTACAATATCGCAGAAACTAAAAAAACCATCATTGGTAAAGTATTTATTATTCGAAAGATATGTTAAATTTATACATTTCTGGAGCACAGACTCGCAACTAAAATACATATATGTATTTTGTATATACAACTTGAAGATATACTGTTTGTTGATAACAACGATTGGATATTTTTGTTTTGAAAACTGCAATGGTGCCTGCTAGTATCAAGAAAGTGCGGGCACCAAACTGTAAGTCATGCAGAGGCATTGACTTAATCATTTTCATAAATATATATATTTTAGTCGCATATAGTAAAGACGACAGTTTGTGTAAAGTCAACAGGAAATGGAAATCATCTTATACCCTATACTTATAAAATGTTTAGAAGACATTAACACTAACCTATATAAAAGCAAACCATGTTATCTGTATTTTAAGGGCAGTTTTTTCCGACGAAATGTCGATAGTTAAATAAAACTATACACATTAGAATTAAAATGACCAAAATTGTCTCACTTACCACTTAGCGGTGGTCTCCAACCGCAGATCATGATAGGAGGCAGTGAACTGAAATTTCGCCGCACGCTTGTTAACTCGCTGCAAACGTTTCCAGACGCTGCCCATTGCGACCAAAAATCTGTTTAGTTTCTAAACTAAGGCACACACTCAATCCACATTCGATAGTTGGTCGTTTTTTTCGTATGTTATGATCACTTTAAGTACACACCTAACGGTAATATTTGTCTTGCGGTTGATAGATGTAGTTTTGGACTATTACTGACTATTTCCCTGACTCTTAATATAAGTCAGAGTTCCTGTTAAAATATACAGAAAATATACAAGAAAATTTAAGATTTATTAGATTCGATTTGGTTAAATTAAATAAATTATACCGTGTTTTTTTTTTCAATAATAATTAAACTAAAAACAGTTATAATACTACATTTTTGAATATATATATATATATGATATTTTGGCACTCTTCGAGGATGAAAAAATTCAAGCGGCAATTTTATTAATCAATAAATGTAGATACAAACATATCTGCTTCGATCAACACGATGCATCGGCTTTGGCTGCGAAGCCCCTCACGCAACACTAAATATTGTTTGCGGTCCCTTTAATTTTTGTAGAAGATATACCAACATGTATGTGTATGTGTCTAAGAATGTACATTTGGTGACCTTTAGATGTCTGTTTTGTATTTTGCGTTTCTTAAATAAAAAAATAAAACAAAAAAAACTGCATAAAATATTGGTGATGATTCCCTTTATCCTTCTAGTTTGTATTTACACTAAACATAGAATGTTATTATGTTACACCCAGACACTTTAAAAAATTGTAACATATATGTACGTGAGTATTGTGTGTACATACATACATACATATGTATATGAATGCTTCAATATATAGCACCACAATGACATCACGCTCGTTTGGAGCCAAATTATTTTATGCGTTCATTTCTGTTCATCGCTTTCAAGTAACACCTTGACGCACTTATTTTAAACACGACACTGGTTATTTTGTATTAAACATTTTTAACTTTATTTATAATAACTTGCAATTCTTGAGACCCAAACAGAACACAAAAAGGGCGAAGAGCGCATAAATGAGTTACAAAACGCAATTATGATCCGATATGTATCGAATATTATCGATACCTTCATGCAGGAGCTCAAAGCGCATTTATCCCAATTCAACTGCTCCATGTACCCACTTTTTTGGCAAATAAGTTACTTGAGAGACGGTCGCGATTCAAAGGTTTATTTATATATTTAAATCGTTTTGTTTAACATTAATTAAAATTAATTAAAAAATTAAGCGTGGCTGTTGTTTTTAAATTTATATGATCAAGAGAATGCAATTTAAATTGAATGTGTTGCAGTTATGAATCTACATATGTATGGATGTGTAGGCATACGAATACTATTTGTACGAGTCTCAAAAAGTGTTTGTGTTATAACGCATCGGCGTGGCAGAAGGTTAAAGAAAATGTTTAGATTTTTTTAAACGTGTACCTATTCCATAAAAACAAGGTATTTAAAATATTGAGAAGTGCTTCTGAATACACACACACATGGACATAAATATGTATGTAATACAAAAGCTAAGCATAGATGTCATATATCACAAATAATTTGTAACCAATTAAAAATAAAATAATTTTTAAAAACAAAAAAATTCAAATTGCAACTACACAACCAATAATTTGTCAGGTAACCCTTTTAAATGTGAGTATACTTAAAATGTATCCCTACTGCCACGCCAAATTAACACCACACATTTTTCACACATACAAAATCTAAGATTTCTTGTTTGCCTGCGATTGTTTTCCTTGTTTACAGAAGTCCTTGTAAGCACGCTCAGTCTCTTCGTCCATTTCAGGGTCGAGATCCAAATCGTTATCTCTTACATCAAATTCGTCACCATCGCTGCCGGTGGCATCATCTTCAGCGGCAAGAAAATCAGTTTCCTCGGCTGTAAGCTCGCGTCCATCTGGACCATAGAAAACGGGCTCGTCGCTCAAGCGTGGTGGCTCTGGTGGCTTTGCAACAGCATCATCATCTCCGCCAAGAGCATTCGATACCTTCCGTCCCCAATTGTTTTGCTGCAATGCAATAACATTGGCAACCATAGCGTATTTACCAGGCGACTTAAATTCGAACGCCTGTAATAAAGCAATAATATATTGCATGTCCTGTTTGCAATCAGCACTTAGGTCGTAACCGGCCAACTTCAATGTCTGGCATATACAGCGCACATTTTCAGAGCTCTCATATGCTAAAAGTTGCTTCAGCGAGTACACTATATTAACTGCAATGAGCTGGATTCGGGCGTCATCATCGCCACGCAATTGCATGTACAATTCGGCTAGGAAGAGGGCTGTCTCCCTCACCTTTTGCTGCTGTTCTACCGATTGCATATACTTATCTACCTCAGCACGGTGATAGTCAAGCTTACATTTAAGCAAGGTGTGAAACAGCGAATCCGGCTTGAGATTGAGCATATGCAGTAAATTATACAATTTAGCTCCCATGTACCGAAAATTTGGTTGTTCAATTGATTTTTCAAATATATCCTCCATGGCGATTGAAAGCACATAGTTATTACTCTCCATGCCATCAAAGATTGTTAGGAAACGTGATGCAATTGTATCGAATTGTCCGGGATTCTGGAAAAAAATATTTGCAAAAGATTAAAAAAAATTCCGATTATATGAAGTATAAAGGTTTCATTATTCAAATTGTTACTCACCTGGTTAAGGCAATGTATTACAGTATCAAGATATTCTAAAGCAATTGTTTCCATGTCAGGATGGGACGAGGCCGACGAAGTTGAAACAGCAGCCGATGAAGTCGATGGTTGTGGTTGCTGGTGGAAATATTGCTGCTGCTGCTGTGGCTGTTGTGCAATTTGTTGGAATGAATTATTTAAATGCGCATGACGTTGAAATTTCGATTGTGATTGTTGTGTGTGTTGTTGGTGTTGCAGTGTTTGTACCTGCTGCTGTTGATAGTAATTGTTCATTGCACCATTATGCGGTGGCTGTTGACCAATATGTAGACGAGCTTGAACCGAGTTTGACAGCTTTTGCATATCATTGTTATACTGCAGATTTTGCTGGTGATGATTGTAATTTTTTTGCTGCTGATGCTGTTGCTTGAGACCATTCAAATAACGCTGTTGGTGTTGTTGAGCATAAGGTGCTGGCCCTGACGGCTGATGTTGATATTGCTGTTGCTGCGGTGGCGGTCCACGCTTACCTATGTTGCTGTTACTCGATTGGTTGGGTATAAATACAGTCGCGCTAGCCGAAAGCTTTGAATGCCCGAATCCACTTGCCACGTCGGCCATAATTGGTGCCTGTGAAGGAGCTGCAAAACTAACAGGAGGACCTGGTGCAAATGCAGCCGGAGCATAGCCAACAGAGGCAAATTCATTAAAAAGGTGGGCCTGTTGCTCCAGAGGCAAAGCAGTGGCGAGTTGTGGTGCGATAGGAATAGCGGCACCTGGTCCAGGATTCGGTCGGCGCAACTGCTCGTATTTTTCCTCGGGTTGAAAGGGTGCACGGCATGACATAGCGGTAGCGGCGTCGGACTCAAAAACTAAAAAATAAATATGTACGTGAAAGCCTATTTCATTTAAATAATTGTACAAATTAAAAATGCAAATCACATTCACGCTCCATTGCGGTTACGTCGAGTGTCGCTAATTCGGTCAAAGCAGCGGACATTTTGTTTTCCTCGTTTTAAAATTATTTGTATTTTTATTATTTGCACAAAGCTGGTCTTCAATCCAAATCAACGATGACTGGACTAATATTTTTGCTAAACATTTAATGTCACATGTATTTAATGTTATTTTCATTGCCTACCTTAATTGTCTTGAAAATTTACGTATACGTAGATGATATTTTTTTCTTCGTCTTGCTTGCGTCGTCACCTTTAGCTGCCAATTGAACTTTCTATTCGCGTGTGTTTATAGAATATAAATGTATACCTGATTTAATATTAGAGAGCCATATTGTATATTGAAGCGTAAAGTGAATATTTAATTTATAAATAATAGTTCTTACCAGTTCAGTTTTTCCTTTTCAGAAATTTGTTGCAATAAACTGCGAATAACTTGTTTTCACCGCGACAGCTACATAGAGTTGATATTTATGTATTATCGATATGTTGATGTTTGGTATAACAAGTTCGTATTTTTCAACAATTCTCATATATAGCAATGATTAGGTGATATAAAAAGAAAATAACCAGTATTTACAGTAATTTATGTATTATTGTTGCATTTCATATTGCCCAATTTGTAGCTGTCAGTATATTTTTTTGGCAGCAAAATAGTTTTTTATTACTTCTACTTTTACGGTCACACTGTCAGAACAATAAATATATAAACAAGCGATATCAATAGTGATTTCCATTAGATCGGTACTTACATATGTGTATGTTTCTGCATGTTTTCCTAGTGTTCAGATCTTGTTAAAAGTATCATAACTAAAAAGACGCAAATATATTTGTAATACGATTATAATGGCAATATACATATGTATGTAACAAAGCATGTGGAACTCAACTCTCTGCATCTCGTGTCTGTAAATTAAGACAATATTTAATATCACTTGTTATTTGCAATATTTACAAAAATTGTAAGTATATTTTATCCAGTAAACCAGTAAATTCCAAAATTAACCAAGACGCTCCGAAGACTTTTAAATAAAAATATATACAAAAATATACATATCACAAGTCATTGAACTTACTCATACCCTGAGCAGTAAAATGAATAACAAAAAGGTATCATGATTTTATACATCTAAAATAGAAGCATACATGTTTATTGTATAGATCAACGAGACAAACGTATTTTATTAGATCAATACTAGCCGATTTTGATACATATTAGCAGCAATTATTTGGGTCAAGTACGATGAGTGAGAAAACGGAGAGAGAAATAAAGAGACAGAGGACAGAGTATAGCTGAGTCGGCAGCTTTTGAATAGAACAATCTTAGTTGATTATTTGGGTTACATGCGTATGTATTTCAAGTTGTACATCTGAATTTTTGCACTGCTTGATCTTGATTGATGCGTCGTTTGCACAAAAACCACATTTTCAGGCATATCAGAAACGACATTAAACAAAATCCTTGACGCTTTTATAAGTCACCCTCAAGCACGACCCTGGGCAACAGTGTTGCTTGCCCATACCAAACAGCGACAAATAATCTAACTTTTCCTTTTATATGTTATTTTCAATTATGTACACGTTCAACATTTATATATTTTTGCGTTGCGTATGTAATTTGGATCGATGAACGAAGCAAGAAAATATTTTAACAAATATTTATAGTTTTTCCATTGGAATTAGGTATAATTTCTGGGATTATTTAATTTTATTTAACTTGGCACTAATAATTTTTGTTAAAACATTAGGTCGATATTTGTATAGATCTTTCTTTAAAAATAGCATAATTAAATTACTATTAAATAGCCAACATTATTATTAAGCAATAATATTAAATATCCGGCATCCCGAATTTAGTTGCAGGACTTACCGATTAAAATGAGTTGCTGCAACAGTGCGAATGAGCACCATAGCTATGGGGATATAATCCCGGTTTTTCTGGAAGATTTTAAAAAGGATTTTGATTGCAAAGACATTGAGGATATTTTGCGAATAATATTAAAAAAAAAAGAAGTCGATGATATTGTGAAAATGCCCCATCCATTGCAAACATACCGTTTATTTTGGACGTTACGGAACCAACGAAAGGAAACAGTTAAAAAGTTTGTCGAAGAAGGGCTTAAGGACTCACACGGGCCCAATTATGGTTTTCTAATGTCCGCCATCCAGAAAGAATGTAGTGATCCCAGCTTGAACACTGAAACATACATTCAGGAAGTTGATCGCCTGTATAATGACAATCAAGAATTCACAAAATATAATGTACCAAGGATTGAACCACACTTGGAACTGCAGAAGGCCTTGCTTGAGCTGAGGCCGTCGAAAAATGTTGTAGTCGAAGGCGATCTTGGAGCTGGCAAGCAATGGCTTGTTTTAGACGTGTGTTCCTCGTACGTTGTGCAACGGAAAATGGACTTTAAGATATTTTGGCTAGACGTGCGAAGTTGCCTTTGCCCAGAGAGTCGTTTAGAAATGCTGCAGTCATTTCTTTACCAAATTGCCCCCAACTTGTGCAGTTACTGCAATCAAAGCGTGCCATTACGCATCGAAAGTGTGCAAACTCAGCTAAGAAATATACTTAAAAATAAGTCTTACAAAAATTGTCTACTGGTTTTACGCAATGTTCAGAACAAAGAAACGTGGCAAGCCTTTAACTTAGGATGCAAGATCCTACTGACCACCCGGGACAAGAGCGTAGTTAATTTTTTGTCGCCAGTAACTACAACTCATGTCACTGTCAATGATGTCCTTACACTATCCGAGATGGAGTCTTTATTTGCAAAGTATCTTTCTGAAAATCTACACGATTCGCTCGGGGACTTAACGGTAGCACTTTATCAACAGCAAATAAGAAATCCCCTTCAACTGAGTGTAATCGCAGAAAGCATACAGGATGGCCTTTGTACAATTGACAATTGGAAACAGTAAGTAACTTATATCTTACCTTATATACATATCTATATAATATGACTATTCTAATCATTTTTAACAGAATAAACTCTGCCAAATTGACTACTATAATTAAAACCTCCTTAAATGTATTGGAGCCTAAGGACAGACAACTATATGAAGCTCTATTTATATTTCCTGACTGCGCCCATATACCTATTAATGTAAGTAGAGCGAGTATTCAGTAAATAACCTGCATGTAATCAATTTTCTTATACAGCTATTGGGCGCCGTTTGGTCAGTTACGGACCCGATACACGTCGTCAATAAATTAAATAAGTATTTTTTGGTAAAAAAACATAAAGATAAGCAGAATCGAGTGACGATAACTCTACCTAGCATATATAGAGAGCTAAAGTTACCTATTAAGAATGAAGCTGTATTAAACAGGAAAATTATTGATTATTACAAGTAAGTTATTTGAGCACAGGTTTCTTTTTAATTTTAAATGATTTCTTCTCTGTTTAGCATCCCTCAAGTTTTTGACAATTTCAATGGCCTGACTTTACCTCATCTGGACAACTATTTTTATAGTCACATTGGCGACCACTTAAGCAAACTCAATAACAGTCTCGAGAAAAAGAGTTTATTTCGAAAAATATTTCTTGATTTTCGTTTTCTCGATCAAAAAATACGTAACGACTCTACGCCTTGGAATGCTCGAGGATCTGTTCTACATACTCTGCAGGTTCTAAGGTTCTACGGAGAGCAGATAGCTGGTAGGAAAAAATCAAGTATATACATACGTGATCTTAAGGATTTTTTTTTAATACTAAATAGATAATGATCTCCTTTGTACTCTTATGGATTTTTTGCTTAATGCCGAGGAAAAGTTAATAAGATCGGAATTTACTTGCTTGTTGCAAATTGCATTAATGACTGCGGAAGGCGCGCTTTATGATGAAGCGTATCGACAAGCGCAACTTTTTCCTAATTATGTATGGTTTACAGAACGGTAAATATGTTTATATCGATGTATATATATATAATATATATATATATATAATATATATCTATATTAATATAATATATGCATATTTTTTGCATGTATTTTAGTGGGCGGTTCAACCAACATCGTCAAATTATTAATTTGGGTGACAATCAAGTGCGGCATGCAATTTATCTGGACAATGACTATTGTCTGATGGCATTAAGCAATCAGCAGCTATTGCTAACTGATGTGTCATTAGAGGGAGATATGACCTATCTGTTAAGCGATGAAAACAATCCCTGTGATATTATCGAGATGCGTGTGTTTAACAACCAGTCGCACCTCCTAACACTGTACAGCAACGGATGTTTAAAACTGTGGTCGCTACAGCAGTTGCTTCACCGTAGCTGTGGCTGTGAAAGACCACAACTTGCCCAACCACCTAAACATTCGAAATCATTCTGCAATGTGCAGTTTGTAAATAGCGCAGTTCAACGTTTGACTAATACCCACGCGGATCAAAATGTGTCATCGTTTTTTCTTGATGAGAAAGATAAGATAGAAAATAGTTTTATTCAACTTCATGTGGCCTTTACCAACGGAGATATTTGCATATGCGACTGGGATAAGAAGGAAGAAAAATTTAAGCAATCGCATACACCGATTCTAAAGACACAGCAGCGACACGTGAGATGTTTTTCAAAAGTTTTGGATCGGTATTATGTTCTGTGCACAGGTGATTGCACATTAACTGTTTGGGACCTGCTCCGCGGATCAAAAGAAACGGAACAGATGTTTCAAACTGAAGAAGCGCTTACAATGCAAACTTATATTGATAGATTCGATGATGGCAGCCTTCATACAATGTTGTTGTTAATATTTAAATCTAGCGTCTGGCGACTTAGATTCAAGCACGCAGAAAGAAACACTATTAATCCTCTAAATCAGGAAGCGTTAAAATTTTCGGATATAGGCGCAGTATCTATAACATGTGGCAGACTATCCAAAGACGGATGTTATCTTGTTCTTGGAACATTGGAGGGTCTCATTGTGTACGATTTGAAGTTGTCCGAACCCGTTCTGCGTAGCAACGTCAGCGAGCACATTGTTTGTTTGGATGTCTATGATTTGAATGATCCTATATTGAAGTACATTGTTTTATGTGGTGCTGCTGGCAAAAATGTTTTACACTTGCATACCTTGCGAAACGTTCCAGGAATTGACAAACATGCTATAACATGGATTCACAATGCTAATAGAGAACAATTTGAACCAAATGTATACCTGCGCCCGCTCTTAAAAATGATCGATGACGGCACGCTATTCATCGTAGACTCAAAATCACGTATTTATCAAATACCAACAGAATTTGCCAAAAAGCATAGTGGCGCTTATTGGTCAACAATTTCAACACCACCGATGGATGGGAACAAGCACATCACTGCTTTACACGTTTCCAAAAATAAGACTATTTATGCCGGATATAATAATGGTAAAATTTTCAACATTACCGAAAACAAAGAGCTACTACACGAGTATACGATTGATAAAATCGACTATATAAAGAAGATTAATTCGAATATATTAATTGTGTCATCTCGCAGTAAATGCATAACTTTAATTTTCGATTTGTCGATACTAGAGAGTAAAACAACATTAACCTCAATTTGGGCGGTCAATTTTGGGATATATACAAAGTATGCGCGACTTTTTGACGAGCACTTTCTGCTTATATTTTCAGAGGAGTGTATTTTTGTAAGTACACTGAAATATTTAATTTGAAAACATTAAATGTTGATTTAAATGGAATTCCCAATTAGTATATAGATTTGTTAAACCCTAAACTACAACACTTTGACGAACTTAATGGTAATTTGGTCGGATTTGATCTGAAAGATAATCTTCTATTTTTAGCTTTTAGAGACGGAACAATAAAGGTAATCCCTAAAACACATGTTACTTTAAAAGCAATTGAAATAAACGAATATAATTACAGATTTGCGAATTAAGCACCACAACCACCGACAAAGTATATTGTCAACTACTCTGCAAAGAAAATATAAAAAGTCAATCAATAATTAATAACCTCACAGTCACAAATGATGGTAAAATACTTTCCATTGGATTTTATAATGGACACATTAAGGTAAAAGGAACAATAGGCTTATATACAATCAGCAGTACACTTAAAGAGTTTTTTTATTTGTAGATTTACACATATGAGAAATTTCGGTTACAACATATATATACAATATCACAGGGACATGAGCCCGGCCATGTAATGAAACTGCGTTTCTCGCCGTGCAAACAGATTCTTGTTAGTTGTGCGGAACAATTGTGTTTTTGGAACGTGCAGCATATACTTAACAATCGGGTGACTTCTTATCGTCGCAACATGAGATTTAGACAGGGGCAGTCACACTCTCATGCCGAGGCTCGGGAGGAAGTCGACGCAGCTCCTTGTTTGGAGCTATCAGAGGATCGGAAAGATGCGAAGCCACCGATGCCACTTGATTGCCATAAGCATGCAGACAAAAGCAAAGCACATCTTTGGAGAGATAAGCAGGGTAACGCTAAATTGCCAGAGCTGCTAGCGTGTATCAAATATGTAGGAAACGTGGCTCGTCATTTCTATGCGAGTGGCGACTTCACACAATTTTTTGCGTTAGACGACGAGGGTGTGTTTTATCACCTTAAGGTACTGGAATTTTCAAGCCCCAATAAACAGGCGATTGCGGCTACACAACTCTTGCGTGAAGTAGATCATCAAACTAGTATTAATCAGACTGAAATGCCAATACCGCGTATCGATGATATGGATAGACAAGATGACGATGGCATCGATGTCGTTGGAAATTTCCCTTTATTTCCATTTACATCTGCAGCCACTGCACAAATTGACTATGAACCGAACGTCATTTGACGCCGATTGTGTGCCATATTTTGGCACACACAAAACGGTTATCGACTTTACCAAATCGCATTAATAGGATTATTACTATATTATCTAGTGATATTAGTGTTTTATTGCGTCAACTTGCTTTTAAGCACATGACTGTATTATCCTGTAATTTGAATAATGGCAACAGTTTATTCTCTAAATACAAATCAAAGCTAGCGCGATGCATGGTGACAGGCATTGATAAAAAAGTTTGATTAGAAGGTTTTTTTTTCAAAACAAAAACGATAAAGTTAAGACTTCTGATTAACATATATGTTGATAGACATTTACTAAAAAATCGATTCATTCGAGCTTTTTTTTAAACCAACCCACAGAACAAATTTGACCCATTTATGTAAATCCTCCTTTTATTCAAACGACAATAGAGACGATTTATTAAATTTAGGCTCTAGAGCAAGTTTTAAGAAAAAATTCTTAGTTTTTATTCAATAAATAAGATGAAAACTTACAAATTATTCTAAGGAAACTTCAAAAGCCTGCGTCTAATTGTTATTAGCGGCAAACTTCAATGATATTTGGAAACTAGTTAGTAAATGATCTGAAAAAAGCATTTGAAGACAATGAAAATGTTAGGGGTTGTGATAATATGCAATGCAAATACGTGTATGAATATGGTTTTTTAATTAAATGCAGCTTTGGCGGACATGATGGATTTAAATTATTTGGTTTGTTAGTTGTCCTACAAAAACAGAGCTTGTCAGTTATTTAATCAATAGTAACTGGAGCTTTGGGGAAATAGTTTATATATTTGTTTGATGACATTTGGATATATATAAAATTTCTCGTTTTAATAATATATAATGCCGATTGCTAAATGTCTGCTAGTTAAAAGAACTATATTAAAAAATATAAAAATATGAAATTACAGAATTTTTACCTTAAATCATTTTCCTTGCTGTGTACTTTTTTGTTATTGTCAAGTTTTCTTGTAACTTCTGTAACTGTAATTTGTGAAGTCTTCAATAAAGGGTGTTAACAGTATTCAGTGTGCCCGTATATATATATAAATTTGTGGACTAAGTGTAGCTTATCCGATATTTTATATTTTATCGATATATTGCTCATCTCTGATAATATCGTTCGTTTTGAGTATAACATAGTATCAATTTAGCGTTTTTTGCGTTCGGTTTGTGCGAGAAAAGTAAAACTAAGGTTTTTGTTACATTTCTTAGTAAAAATTGTAGAAAGTAATATTTAATATCTAATAATAATATATAAACTGAAACTGTAATGAGTGCATGTGAAAAGAGTGCCTGCTTCACAACGCGTAAAAGAATTATGCGCAGTGCGCTAGGTATTGAATCAAGCCCCATAAAAGAAAAAGGCAGCATTCGAATGCGCGAGTGTGAGTGTATATAAACTAGCATATGAATAAACACATATGTGTATATATATATGTATGCATATTTACTTGGTGAGTGTGATGATCCAACCAGAGGTGCGTTCGTGTCGGGCTTTTTTTGTATTCGTGACAATATGGGTATGTGTGGATGCTCATGCAGTATAATTCTTTGATATAAACTTATTTATCGCATTTAATACTTTTAAAATGGATAATGGCACTTATAATAAAGTTTCTGTCATTGTTTGTATGCAATAATCGAAATTAAATAAAGAATGCGTTACAAATATTTAGTGTTTGTGTCGTCCCGTGTCAAAATATTCGTCACGCCCGCACCTCTCGAATCAGCAGCAGCGCAGTGCAAAACAATATGGCTGCCACCACCACTTGTTGGATGTTTGAGCGTATTAACTGTGCAGATTAAAAAGTACTTTTTGTATATGTTTTACTTAATATTAAACAAAAATTGTATTTAAATAATCACGTTCGCATACCCAATTGTTTCGAACGCTATTATAAGCATATGTATGTTCACAATTTTTGTTTTCTGTGTACCTGAATACATATATGAATATGTTTCAATAGTGTTTCGTACTAGCCCACAAAGTACGTGTGTGAAATCATTTTCAATTAAAAATTTGCACCCCAGAATGCAATTGATCCTGCATTCAGCGCCTGCTACGAGTGCTCTTGTAATTCAATTTCTATTGAAAACATAATAAATAAATTTGTTTTGTCTATATATTGTTAAATCTTTGATTGTAGGAGGTTTTTTTTTATGATAAACTAGTTCCTGGCGCGACACGCCTTTAATTCAATTATTTTGCTCTGCTTTAAGTAAAAAACTAAGCAACATTATTCATATACAATACGAGCGTAAACTTATCTACTGTTTTTTAAAGAGTTCAAGAGCAAAGCAAATAAACGACTTAACACGAAAAAAACAAAACATATAAAGCACACACCTCTAATTATAAAAAAGATTTGAGGAACAAAGAATAAAATGTAAAATCTAAAACGAATTTCAAAACATTATTTTTCAATTAAAAATAGTGCAAATTTCAAAAAAATTAAAATAATAATAATAATTGATAACTTTGTCGCGAACGTCGAATAGGATTGCAATTATATTTCCTGCGCATTGTATTGTGTTAATTGGGACTTCCCTTTTAAGAACATGAAGCATTAAATTATTCCAATTGTCAGTTGGACAGGCGCAAAAATCGATTTGCGAAGGTTAGATTTGAGGTTTCCAGATAATTATTTGCTTAGACATTATTGTTATTAATTAACTGATTAACAATATTAAACACCAAATCAAACGAGTATTATTTGTATATAAAATAAGACAAGTGAAAACAAGACGTGTTTTGAAAAAGAATTTAGACTACCCAAATCGTTTTCGCTCGGAGATTCATTGTGTTTCAGACGAAGTGAATGCATTTTTAGGATCGGAGACCCATGTGAATACGGATTCTTTCGGCTATCAACAAGTATTTACTGCAAATCGCAGCAATATTTCGATATTTTATTTTAAAGACCATTGCGGGACTCTATGGATGACCCATCAATCAAAAAGCGGTAAGTTCAATTGTAAACTTTTTAAGGGAACATTTTGCTTTAGACAACAAGAATGTGTTGAGTGGCAGTATTGTAATCAGAGAAGATATTTTAAATAGGTAATGGGCCTTCCTTAAAATACTTTTGTACTTATGTTTTATGTACAAGATCAATAAAGGTGTATTAATGTTTTTCACAATATACGGAAAGTCAAAGTTGCAAAAAATAAAATTCTGAAACCCGATTGCGGCGCCACTTAAGTGCTCCGGTTATGAACCTAAACCACCCACAGAGTCCCTCTAACCCAAATTTCATTACTTTTATCTGTTAGATATTGGCTGCCGCGACGTTTGAACACGGGATCCCATTGTGGGCTTATGTCCTCGTTTGATCAAATAATAAACATAAATACATTTCAAATATTTCTAAACAAGACATGGATGAGTAGTTCGACTTGTTATTACTTATATAGTTTTTAAATACACAGAATGGCTACTGATATTGACTGAGGTTTTAAGATTTAAAATCATCGATAGTCGCATCGTAACTTTTGTACCTCCAGTGAAAGGTTATGTATGTTGAAATTCTGATATACTAGAACGAATTTTCGCAACAAAAAACGTTTAGAAATTAATTTGTATCTATTTTATGGCTAATTTAATTTGTGCTCAATTAAAAAAGGTCAAACAGTGGTCACTTTGTTTGGTGAGTTGATCTCGTGGCTTTGGCTTGTTACTGGCATGATTTTTTTGATTGCGAGCTTTTGCCTATTTACTACGTCTAAAAATACGAGCCTTACTTAAAACCACCCCATGGAAATTAGCGTTTGAGTGTTATTCCAGCTTAGCGTCAGCGTTAGTATTTGACATCTGTGAGGGGCTTTATAATTGCATTGTACTATTTGGGATTAAAAGCGTTGGGACGTCATTGCTATGTATTTTCTTTGATTTGGAATGGAAAGCTTTAGCAGACCGACCGAGTGTTGTAATGCTATTTTTACTAATTGTTGTTCATTTTAAAGATTGATTGATTTTGGTACCGACGACCATGAGTACGATGAAGTCCATGAACTACCAGAGGAATCAAACAATCAGTTATTGCAGCCAACATCAACTTCACAAAATATCCATATTGGAGACAACAGTGTCGCAGCATCAAGCATTATTGCTGTCGTTGGGGGCACAGCAACCGAGGATTCGCTGCCAGAGCTGCCACCTCCAAAGCAGAAATCTGTAAAGAATTCCAAGAATAAACAAAAGCAGAAATCAGCCAACAAATCAAAAATACCACGATCTCCGTCGCTGGCGAGCAGCTTTAGTAGCTTGGCTAGCAGCTTTAGTGGCAGTCATAACAATAATAACAACGTTCCACCACAGACGCCTCCATTGCCAAGCAGTTATCAACAGCAGAATAAAAAAAATAAGGCGAAACTTATGAATGGTGCGGAGAACTCTGATTGTGCAAGTGCAACGCCAGCGGCTGCACTTGCCGTGCCCGGACCATGTGAGAGCAATCTAATGGGACCTGGTGTCCTATTAAGTCCAGTTCTTACTGATGGCGACGTGGGAACTAGCCCGTGTTCAACGGGTAGTCGTCCTCAGACACAACTAACTCCAATTGCACCAGTGCAAAAACCAATGACTCCAAACCCAGCATCACCAAAAAATTTTCAGTATTTAACCTTAACTGTTCGGAAGGATGATAATGGCTATGGTATGAAAGTAAGTATCCAACACCTGAATCAACGAGTTAGCCAGCACTAACAAGTTGATATTCATATAAGTCCAATTTACGCCATTAGCTACAAATAATAATTTCCACTATACACAGGTATCGGGCGACAACCCGGTTTTTGTGGAAAGTGTAAAGCCCGGTGGAGCTGCACAAATTGCTGGTTTAGTTGCCGGGGATATGATCTTGAAGGTTTGCTGTTACCGTAAAATTTAAAATTTATTTTGAAATCTGACTACCTTTTTTTTTTTAGGTAAATGGACAAGAAGTGCGGCTGGAAAAGCACCCGACTGTTGTGAGTTTAATCAAAGGTTTGTATATAACCTAAACATATTGCTTTCCTTTACACAGGTGTGACGGATGTTAAACTTATTTTTTGTTGCGTCAACTATGTTTACCAGGTGCAATGGGCTCTTTTAGACCGGCTTTACAATGCTTGCATTTGTCCTGTGCTTCTTTAAACTGTGTTATGGGTTGTCTTTCAGATGAGTCACGGTTCGGGCACTTGGGCTTATTATCCAACCAACCGTCTGCCTCTCTAATGTCGCATTTGGGACACTTGCACCTTCTATCCGAAAGGCGGTCTTTTGGCTCAATAGGATTAGAGGGAGGAATGGTTGAGGGTTTTGGACAAGGGCTCCTTTTCGGTACATCTTTGGGTTCCAGCGGTGTCCTAGGTTCTGTTAGCTTTTTACGGCATTTACTGTTATCATCAGAGTATGGTTCTAAAGGTTGGACTAGTGCCCGTTCGTCAATGCATCTTTTGCGTTCTTTCCGTTCAATTTCTTCTGCACGTTGTTTCTTATATTTATCGTATTGTTCACGAGCGCGACTTACAATATTGGTCACAAAGCCTGGAACCTGTTCTAAAACAGCATGTATATACGTGGGACCCATATTAAGCAAGTCGATTAAAGTCATAACTGTTTGATTATAATAGTAAACACCGAGATACGATTTCTCTCTTTGGGGGGGGAGCGGTGGTATGTGGATGTTCAGATAGTCACAAGTTCGCTTGGCATACGGACTGGCCCAATTTACCGTTGAGTGGTAAACCTCTTGAGCTTCATCCGACGAATCCCAAACGTCATAGCGTTTGGTGGCCATTATAACAGCAACCACGATTCCTGTGCGCAACGCGAGATCTATAATCATTTTGGAGAAAAGACAAATTTTGAAACAGAAACAAGAATTGACCTAATGTATGTATGTACTTAAAATTTTGACAGTAGAAATATTTAGCCGCCTAAGCAAGTACTCGTTTCCCACAAGTTATGTCGTCCTTGATTTTTGGTAGTTTTATTGAGCGATTGCCTTTAATATTGACCGGGGAGTATTCGTCAGGGTTACAGACAATATCAATGCGGTGCCCAAGAGCGTTATCTTCACTGGCGAGCGAAGAGTGATTGTCCCTTGATCGATGTATATCGTTCTTACCCTCCTTAAATTCATTTTCGTCCAGTATTTCGTTGGTATGCTTTAAAAATTCACTGGTCCAGTCGGGCATGCGATAGGCAAAATAGATGCCCCGCTTGATTGCGTTATTATAGTCTTGTTGAGCTACGAAACAGTAATCAAAAACGGGATGCCGTGTTGTATTTCCATATCTACTGCCAGAACTATTGGCTATTTCTTTCAATTGTCTTGACACGCGTTCAGTTAATTCATAGGCAACATCTGGCTCCGCCCAAACCCCTATGTGTGTGGTATAAAGCAAAACCCCTGTAAGAAAACCCAAACGTGTAAGAAATTTATATGCCATATTGATGGTCATGTATTTGAATAAGTCTGAATAGCCGAAATTTTGTGTGTAATATTTTCTGTCTGAATTATTTTTGAATTTGCCATCTTGATGATCGCCTACTTCATTGAGTTGCCATTAAATAACTGATTAATAGTCTTCTGAACATCATCTGTAAAGCGATAACAATATTTGGGTAATCTGTTGGCTGTTAGAAAGCCTTCTTTTATGCTATCATTCCAGGCATCAACAAAGGATTCACGCCATGGCTTTGTGGGCTTGTTCGTCCCACAATACTTAGAGCAGTATCTTTCTTTGAGGTCCTCTGCAAAAGGCTTTATTTGATATTTAACACCCTCGTATATTTCAGCTGTCGTATCAGGGCCATCCCAAACACCTATTTCTTTAGTAAGCCATACTGTTCCAGCTACAAGAGCTAATTTCACTAGTATAACAATGACCATTGGTCCGGTTGCCAAAAATTTTATGTAGTGGACGAAAAATGCCAAATGTTTAATTTTGATAAAACCTAGAAATAATTGAAATTGGAAAATTTCTTGGCCTACTTGTCACTCTTAAAAAACTGCTGAATGCTTTCTTGGATGGACTGTGTTAAGCGGCGCCAGTGACCAGGAACAGTTTGGATTGCATTCATAGATTTATTCCATGCCTTTTCGAACTCTTCGCCCCAAGTATTGGGTTCCGGCTTACATACGCATTTCGAGTCTTTATCTGTGTTTGAACAGTTAGTCGTGTGTTTTGAGTCCTCTTTATTATCTCTATTAAATTTTACTAGTTTCGACTCTTTAATTGGATTCTTATCGCTTTGTATTGGCTCTAATTTATTGATTTGCATCACTCGTCGTTGGTTATCGAACAGGCCTAACTCCTTAGCTAAATATAATGATCCAGAGGCTACTACAAATTTTAATAAAGCTATTAGGGCCATTCTCGAAAAGATATTTGTGGAAATATAAAATATCCGATTTAAATTTTGAATTTTGACAATTTTATTAACGCCTATATATCTTTATATTTAATATATTAACAAAAGCTTCCACAATCGTGGAACTGTCTGTGAAACGCAGTCAAAAGATGTCTAGGCCCTCATCTGTGGGAATTGTGCCAACGACACCGATACTCTCGGGCCGCGATCGCACAGCCTCAATTACTGGACCCCAACCTGTTGATGTACGTAACTCTAATTGTACTAACAACACCAACAAATTATCATATTTGCATTTGACTTGCAGAGCATCAAACGACGAGAAATGGAAACGTACAAGATTCAAACTCTACAGAAAATGTTGGAGCAAGAAAAATTAAATCTGGAGCGTCTTAAAGGCGACACAAATAATCCCAGCTATAAACTGTCCGAGGCAAACATACGAAAGTTGCGTGAACAATTACGTCAAGTAGGAGCTGAGGTGAGTAAATGACTTCTGCAGGTCAAAATTCTCATTTGTTTACCTGTTCGTATTAGTGTACATATATGCATTCATATATTTATGATGTATATTCAATATAGTTATGTATATTTTTATTGTCGATCTTCGCATGTATACATTTTTTATATTGTAATAATAATTACGAAAATCTTCTCCACGTACACGTATACACATATTGTTTTCTGTCTGCTAGCTCTTCAACTTATGCTAAATTTATAGTACAGTACACATCATTCCTACATTAACGTTCGTGTGTGGGCGGAGAGATATTCTTGTCTACTTTTAGATATATCTCGAATCTTAAATGCATACATATGTGTCGTTCAAGCGCTTATAAAATTACGCTTTATTTATTTACATTTGTCCAAAATGTTGCAACTTACTTTTTGGCAGAAAATTAAAAACGATTTAAATTGAAACAACTAATATTACCAAAAAAACGTTTGATAAGATTAGAAATAATATTATAGTAAAAGGTCGGGCGTTGATCAAAACATATTCAGGTCCACTAGTAAGGTTTTATGTACATCTGATATACATAAGTATATGTATATGCTTACGAACTATTTTTTAATATTTGTAAACTTTTTAATTTGATCAACTTAAATGAATTGACTGCAGGATATGCCAGCAATTAAATGTCAAGTCGCTGCAATCGACAAAAATACTGATTTACTAATACACAATCAAATTCAAAATTTGTCTGTTGTCACTACTCATCACAATCAGCAGCACCATCTTCACAACAACAACAATCATCACCACCAACAGGCTAGCACACCACAGTCGCAATCAACACAACACACATCACCCGCATTCCTATCGCTACTGCCACGCTCACTTTCGTCTCTTTCGCTGGGTACGCGAAAGAATAAGATAGACAAAGATTTGCTAACCTCGACACTAAATAATACAACGGACGTGTTACCCCAGCAGCGAATTCAAGATGCTTTTAATCCAATGTCGCAGTCCCTTTACCACCATGTCCAAACGAACACGTCAAACGTGCATCAGAATACGCAGCGTAGCTTGCAACAACAATATGTCTATCAGCAGCAACGATTAAGAGAAAATTTAAAATCAACATCAGGATCAAAGTGTAAAAATATGTTTACAATATCAAAGAGTTTAATCGAGGAAGATATTCCGCCGCCCTTACCACAACGAAATCCAACAAGGCAACTTACATTGGATTTGGGTAATGCAAACAGTTCCCAGCTTTTTGCCCCGATTTCCGACTTGGATCGCGCTGGCAGTCCCCAGCGAAGTTCACCGAAGTCGAGCACAAATATAAACGAAAACAGTGGTCCTGTAAATAATAACAACAACAATAACAGCAGCGCCAAGGCAAAGCGATCAAAAGTCAAAGCTAAAGCTTTATCGGATCCAAAAATGACAACGCAAATGTTTTTACAAATGGAAACAACTAATAGGGCACTTGTAACTGAAGATGTGAGTAATTGTGGCAACATGGAAGTCGATAATGTGCCCCCACCTCTGCCTCCTCGGCAGCCGGGGATGTTGTCAGAAGAGATAAATCGTGGCAGCTGCCAGAACCTAAATACTGGACGCGCACAACCAAATTCTGTAGGTACTGGTTACAATTATCCACTTGTTTCGACATGTACTGCAGTTCAAAGCGACAATTTGAAGGCGGCCTTTCCATTATCGCAACGCCCAAACATAGTTAAGAAATTGCAACAGAACCAACAGCAACAACAGCCACTCGGCGGTATGTCCACAGCAGTAAGTAATCAAATCTCTCACTCTATTCATAAATAAGTTGCTATCCCTTTTTATTATAATACATCTACTTTCATTGCAAATTACTATTTTTTCACTGCTACATCAATTTTTTAAAATCATTTTATCATGTCTTTAGGTTGTTGTATTCCTTGACAAACACCTGCATAAGCTGCCATTATTGTGCTTGATCAGTTTATCATGTACATAGTTTTAAAAGCTTTTTTTTGCTTTCACATTTACCAATAACAGAACAGCACAAAGCTATCCATTTTTCAGTGTTTTTTGTTACTTTTTATTAATCCTCACACATTGCCAAAATTAGTATATAATTGGGGGCCAAAATTATTTATCTCTCCAGTTTACAATAGATCATGTCTAACTTATCCCCTGATCAAAGTAATCGTATCTATCAGCCTGAATATATAAGCAGGTGTAAGGCCACTTAAGAAATAGGAACAGGGTATCTTTAAGAAGCGAATATCGGCTAGAGGATACATACTAGTTTTTTTTAAACGCACTTATTAGAGAAAGTATTAAGAAAGGTATTTCTGTCCTCTATATAATACATATGCATGTATATTTCAGTGAAGTACGGTGTAAGTTGGTTTTATATTTCGTTCACCACAGCTTGGAAACCTTCATCGTAGAAACTTTTGATCAGTGTTTGAAAAATGCTGTTTTTTTTTTATTTAAATGTTAAACTTAAAAAATCCTAATTTTCTTCACTTATTCAATTCCTGCATAAATAACTGACTATTGCAACGTTTTTTGTCTGCGCTAACGTAATATTGACAACTTTTAAACAGAAATCTAGGTCTAAAAGCTTTTATATAAATAAGCACAATCTGTACATAACCATGAGATATACAATATTATTCACTTTATATTTGCCAAAACATCATATGTATACTTTATTATCTATCTATAGAAACACAAAAAAATAAATGCAATTGGTGATAAAGAAGTTATTATATGTGTATATATGTACATAACCAAATGTTGCAAATATTGCTGTTAAATGAAGCACGTTGAATAAATATATTTGTCTTTTTACGTATAAATACACATTTTTATTACCTTACACTTTGTAATTGGTGTTTGATTGTTTCTTCTTTGCCATTTGATAGGTCCTAGGTCAAACACCCCCTCTAAATCAAATGAAACATCGACGCGTTGGCTCTTCACCGGACAACATGCATCCAAGACACCCGGGTAACGTTTTAATTTGTTGTTTTTTCGATCATACAAATGTGTAAATTTATGCATATTCAATTCTCTGTATATGTGTATCGTTAAGTTAATATCGTAAAAAATCACATTCCCCTAAAATTATGAATGTAATTTTAGACGATTTAGACAGTTTTGTTAAATAGGATACTCATTGAATTTTTTTTAACACTCTACAGATAGATTAGTAAAAACCACTTCTGGCTCTTGGGAGATCGTCGAGAAAGATACTGAGATAACGCCACCAGGTACTCCACCGCCCCCATACCTAACAAGTTCACACATGCCCGTCCTTGAAGATCCAAATGAAAGCTGCAGTGGAGGAGCGGGAATATTTATAGAAGCGCATCACTTTACGCCACTGGCGTCACCTTCGCAGCAGCCTCTACATTCCAGCCGCATACAGGCGGCTCAATCAACTGACACGCAGAAGGAAATTATATCAATGGAAGACGAGAACTCCTCTGATCAGGAAGAACCATTTATCGATGAAAATGGACCATTTAACAACTTAACTCGGTTGCTTGAGTCCGAAAATGTTGTTTTTCTAGCTGTCTTCCTTAACTATGTTTTGTCCAATTCCGAACCAGCGCCACTTCTTTTCTACCTTATAACTGAACTATACAAGGAGGGTACTTCCAAGGACATGCGAAAGTGGGCCTATGAAATACACTCAACTTTCCTTGTACCGCGTGCACCGCTGTCTTGGTATCGACAAGACGAGTCTTTAGCGAGGGAAGTAGACAATGTGCTACAGCTGGAATTTGATAAAGTGGAAATATTGCGAACTGTGTTTTTACGCAGTCGCAAGCGTGCCAAGGACATCATTAGCGAACAGTTACGGGAATTTCAGCAGAAACGCACGGCTGGTCTGGGAACTATATATGGGCCTACCGACGACAAGCTCGCTGAAGCGAAGGGGGACAAGCAGAGGGAACAAATTATTGACAAATATCTTATGCCCAACCTGCAATTGTTAATGCAAGTACTCGGCGCCACTATCTCTTATATGGTGTTAAATTTTGCTTTTTATAGTGAAGAGTTTGAAAAGGATTTGCCACAAGAAGACGCTCGGAAACTTGCCCTGTGTTCTGCTCTTTCAACGGTGATACACCGCATCTTTACTACACGTTCGCATCCAAACAGTATTGTGGATCGTGTTCACCATTTCGTTAGCCGTGAAAAGAGTTTCAAATCACGAATAATGGGCAAAAATCGAAAGGTTCGTTTGTACTTTTATTCAATAATGTGTCTGTAATTGGCTTATATCAATTTAAAAATCGATCTATTAACCTTGTAACCTTTATCCATGCATTCTAAAATTTATCTGCAATTAGTTTAGTTTGATTTAGATATTCAATCTATTCCCATGAATAATGTATTAGTCCTTGAATGCTTAACCCAGGCATTCAAAAACTAGTTTATTTAAATTGATATAGTTTATATATTACTCTCCTACTATGTATTGATCATGGAATGTTTTAAATATCAATTATAATATTCTTAATCAGGACGTCAAGCTAAAAAAAAACAAATGGTAAGAAAAAAGGGGTTAATGTGATACTATTAAAATGTGTCTTACTAAGTGTTTACAACAACAGCTCTGCAGGGGTTTTTAATCTTTGGCTCTTTAACAATAGCTCTACGTCCTGCTTTTATTGTTTACTTTTAACATGTAACATTATTATTATATTTCGACTAGATGATTGTACGGGGTCATCCATTAGTATTACGACAATACTACGAAGTGACACATTGTAATCATTGCCAAACGATTATATGGGGTGTGAGCCCACAAGGTTATCATTGCACAGGTAAATTCCATAATATTCTTTAAGAGTTTGTATCTTTGCAATCATGAGTTATTTATCTTTTAATTGTAGACTGTAAATTAAACATTCACCGTCCGTGCTCGAAAGTGTTAGATGAAAGCTGCCCAGGACCGCTTCCTCAAGCAAAACGACACCCGCACAACGACAACAAAATTAGTAAATTTATGGGTAAAATAAGGCCTCGGACGAGTGATTTTATAGCAAGTGCGTTTGTTTTATTTGTTTATATGGCCTATATTGATTTGATCCATTTCAGATGAAAAACGCGCTCGTCAGGATGAGGACATGGATACAGAGTCAATTAACGGTAAGTGTTGGTATTTCAATACTTATTAACTCATTTATTGTTCATGACGTCCGCTAAGGTTATTATTATCGAAATTGGACGTGTGTATAAGGACATGAAACCCAAAAATTTACAAATTTTTTTTGACGCTCCATGATGATTTTTAAAGGTGTCTCCTGTTGAAGTATTTGTTTTCTTATACCCTGAAAATGGGTAAAAGTGCTATAATGTTGCAAATTAATTTAAGTAAGGAAAGTAAGGTATCCCCGACCTTAATAATACAATAGGTACGAGGGCTCTCATATAATATACACATATGCGGAATATTTCACTTTTTGGACAGTCTGTGCTCACAAAAATTAAAAAAATAAAAACCCATGGGCATTGAGTTATACACACATTTGGGTGCCACATTTATGACCTGAAAATTTCTTAAAGATCAGACTATAAACACGAAATCTATTAAAGAATACATATTCCATAGTGCGAAGCCAAGTGAAAAAGTACAGCCACCGGTAAATTGCGCAACAAGCGGCGTGCATTTGATTTTCTGTATATGTATGTATTGAAGGAAGCTTGAATTTTTGCTGTATAAGTTCTTGTTATAAGCATTCAGGACCTATTCGCGGTTATTTTTTGCAAATTTTAATATGACACGATTTGTGTTAAAAACCAAGTACTTTTATGTATATATAGATATAATACAACTGCTTCTAAACTTTTTGTTGATCCAGCATAGTCTTAAAGTAGCTAAAGTTGCGAAAACTTTTTACTTATCAAATTAAAAAGTTACACGTCTTATATACTATAACAGCAAAACGAATTTTATTTTATTTTGAACTTTGCTTACTTTTCCTAAATAAACAAAATATAATAAACACACATGCTTGTGTATGCATGTATAAATGTTATACATAGTATCTATATATGTACCAAATTAATGCATATATTTATATAGCTCTATCCGAATCAGTTGACTAGACGATACCCTGTGATCACCCGAAAACCATTCATATTCATATATAGCGAACCAATAATATCTTCATACGAGAAGAGGAGATTCTTTTGTTACGAAAATAACTAACTTGTAGAAGAGCAACAAAAAAAAAAGAAGCGATAAATGCTGTTTTCTTTATCTATTTATTAACTTTATTTAACAGAAACTTATTGGAGCCAAAATTTAGCTTTTTTGCTGTTATTTATTTATAACTTTTATATTATTAAACATATTCAATATTTTTTTTAATAAGAAAAGTTAATTCATTTTAATTATTTTTTAAAATTATTTTTAAAGCCCAAGCTGTAAGGCAGTTGTAAGCATTTTGCTTGATTACGGGCTCGAGTGCAACTGACGAAATTTTTTTATTACTGCTAAAGAAAAGGAGCTCTTTTGGTGTTAATAACAGAGGGTTCAGGGCTTCTTACTTGGTTATAATAATTTTAATCATAGTCCGCTAATTTCGGATAACGCAAACTCTTTTATATATTTATACTAGCGTAAACTATCCGGCTTTCCCCCTGGCAAGCTTTGTGATATAAATGTTAGATATTAACCGCGGAAAATATTATTCTGCCCGTACTTTCTTGAACCCCACTTATATTTGAAAATATGTGTGAAGGCCATCGAAGAGCCAAAAGTTGAATCAACGGCTTCCCATGTTAGTCTTGCGTGCATTAAAAAAAATTCGTGTCAAATAAATTAAAATTAAGATCTCTGAAAATTAGTTTGAAACCGATCTGATGGATAACAAAAATATTTGCATGTAAAATTGTCCACTAAATATCCACAGTTGCGAATGGAATTTCCTAAAACACTGAAACATGTATTCATTTAGTTTTTATGTCGTGCTTTGAAAGTAAGGCTAAGGCCGATCGGACAAAACTTAAAACTTCACTCTTATAACCTTTGCCCGCAAGAAGGCGACTTTTCACGAATAGTGTGAACGACATCTCGAATGAATTTCCATAAAGATCCTGAGAAATGAATTTGAACCCGAAACATCACCCTCCAAATCTTGTATAAGATTTATTTATATAAATGTTCTTGCGATTTTTTCACACGTGCGGGTGGAATACCATTATAATATCTTAGCACGGACCTTCGCAACATAAGGTAATTAGAGGGAAAATTTCAGCTAGCTCTTACGGTTTGGGCTGTGCGTTGATCACCAATATATAGAGATAGATAACTTAAATAAAAGCATTATAATTAATAATACAAATTTAAAATAATTTTTAAAATTTTGCCATCGGCTAATATATATCTATTTTCTACCGACTCAACCTAAGTACACAAAATATTCGATGTATATATTTCTCGCAAAGCTGAAACTAATTACATATTCTATTTTAAACATTTTAAGGTATTTAAGTTGTCAGAGTGCAAGGGTACCGATTTCGTTTTTGTTACCAATTTTATTCTTAAAATTTTCTAATCAATTTGCGTAGTAACATTTTTCGCATTACTCATCTTAGTATTTATATTGTTTTTGATGAGCTTGTGTATTTATAAAACGAAGTACGAATATGATGGACAGTATTTAGACAATATATATTGGGTATCTCCGAGTCGGGCCTTCCTGTTATAATTGTACATGCACATTCACCCGTTCATTTATTTAATAAACAGTTCATTTGCCAAGCTTTAAAAATAGATTTATGAGTTCGGCTAATATTTTCTTCTACACCAAACCGAACATTTTCAAAAATTGTATATTTGTACGCGCAAGTTTATTTTACATTCATGTGAATGTGCATTAAGACGTAAAAATAAATTTGTTCCCGTATTTTCATATATTACTGTTTTTATATGCACATACGTATAAGAAAATGGTCTTATTGAATATGTGTGATCATCTGTTATTTTTTTCCCAGGTGTACTGCATGTTGGTATACGTACAAGCTTACATACTTACTCAAAAAAGTATATATAAATGAATATAAACAAAAAGAATGCAAGATATGTATGTGCAGAGTTAAAAAAGTTGTATTTCATGATTATCAATAAATCTTGAGGGGTTTACGAAAAACCCTCTAGTGTCGGCTGCGTTTGTTTTTTTTTTGACATTTGATTTATTTTGTGTTCCGCTACATCAACTTACTGCACTATTTCGAAATAATGTACATTTCCGTTTATTTTTTTTAGACCGCGTACACTCATCAATTGTTCGCCAGCCATCAGACCGCAGGCTTGATGCTAACATATCGATTCGTTCTAATGGCAATACATCCAGTAGCACCTCTGTGCTTAATAGTAGCGATTTGCAAAATTCTTTTCACGCTACCAGCAACGCTAACGAAAGTGCTACCAGTAGTGGTGGCTTCGTAGGTGTCTCAGATCTTACTATAAGCTCGGGTTCTACGACTTTATCTAATTGTTTGACAGGCGGGACTGGAATGACTTCTATAAGCGATCTAAATGCACCTGAATCGGCCGACAGTAAGGATGCGCGAAGGGAAACGTATGTTGTCTTGTAAATTTAAAAAAAAAAGCGTATATTCACAAACTTTTTTTCACTTGCAGTTTTTACCAACATAATAAAAGCGCACCGGTATCGGTAAACCGATCAGAGTCGTACAAGGAACGACTTTCAAACAAGCGGATCCGTAATAGCCGTCGCAAAACTTCAGACCCGAGCTTATCATCGCGAACCAAGTAAGGAAACCTTATGAAATTAAATACCCTACAAAAAAAAAGGTATACTTACCATTAACCGGGCAGAATTTTTATTATTACATTTAAAATCCCAGTTCGCTTTTTTTCAAAATCTGTGAACTCTTGAACGACACTTTTATTTTGCATCAAAAGGGTTTTAAAATATTTTTTAAAGGTCTTCAAAAATAAGTATATATTTTTGAGACGTTAAACTTTTTTTACCCCCTTTGCGTGCAAAATAGGGTCTAAAGGTGTATACGCAATATTAAGGATTTCGTCACATGTGTATTAAATTATTTTTGAAATCAATTTGGGGAACTCGCGTAAGCCTTGGTGAATTGAGAAATCTTTTCTTACTGTATACATGGGGCAACAAAAGATGCATAGAAGAGTATTGCACAGAAAACAGCGCAGTAGAGAAGCAGCCGCCAGGTACGAAATTAATTATATTAGCTTGTCTCTAAGTCGTCGTGTGGCTCGTGTATTATAATGCATGACAGCATAATATGGGCCACGTCTAGCCATCACATTAGTTTTGCTTCCGTTCCTCTATTAAACTGTCTCACTTACTGACTGAGGGGCTTTTATATTATCTTACTGACAACCCCAACTTTAAATCAACATTACGAATTACACTTATTGACTGGCTGCACCTCTTTTGTTCATATATGTATGTTAAGTGACAGTCCTTGCACTCAATTCAACTAGAACGGAGCTGAAGCGGCGCAAGCAAAAATAATTTAAGAAAATTTGAAAAAATTTGCAGTTTCATGTTACATAGAATACAATGAATAGCCAAGTTCGTTATATTCGTAGTAAAAGTTTTAAGGAGATGGTGTCCCAGAATAATGACAAGTATGTGCTCTTTTGTTTTGCTTTCTTGAGATAAGACTGTAAATCTACCAGGGTGTAAACAATATTAATAAGTTTCCCTGCGAAGTAAACTTGTAAAAATATACTAATAAAATTCACAGTGATGACCAAGCAGACCTGGGCCTCTCAACATCAAACTATACGGGAAGCTCAAGTTCTAGTCTCTCTTCGGGAGGTGGTTCTGATAGTCCAAGTACCTCAATGGAACAGGTTGCTAGTGGTATTGCCGCAGCAACCATTGGGACAAGCGTCATATCCAGTGCAGCCAATTTACACCAGCATCCGCATATTCTTATGCAGCAGCACGCAAATCAGCACAGTCAGCAAGATTCGTTTCAAGGTAGCGTAGGAAGTAACAGTAGTGCCAGTAACACAAGCTTCTGGAATGCCGGACAACCTGCGCAACGTCAGTGGAATTTTGAAAGCGATGATGACGATCTCAATGAAGCCGACTGGAGTTCAATAGTTGCTGTTGAGATGCTTGCAGCGCTAACAGATGCTGAAAAAAAGCGACAAGAAATAATAAATGGTAAGCTTAAATAAAGTTAAAAATATTAAAAAAGAGACTAATTTCACTTATTTTATACCATGCGTAGAAATCTATCAAACAGAACGGAATCACGTCCGCACTCTTAGATTATTGGATCGTTTGTTCTTTTTGCCTCTCTATGACAGTGGCTTGCTGTCCCAAGACCATTTATTGCTATTATTTCCCCCTGCATTGCTGTCCTTGCGAGAGCTTCACGGTGCCTTCGAACAAAAGCTTAAGCAACGTCGTGTAGAGCATAATCACGTTGTACAACACGTTGGGGATTTGCTCTCGGACATGTTTGATGGTAAATCTGGTGAGGTGCTATGTGAACACGCTGCTTCATTTTGCGCACGCCAGCAAATAGCACTTGAAGCATTAAAAGAAAAGCGACACAAGGACGAACAATTGCAAAAATTGCTTAAAAAATCAGAGTCACATAAGGCTTGTCGTCGACTAGAGCTGAAGGACTTATTGCCCACGGTATTACAGCGACTGACCAAATATCCTCTTTTGTTTGAGAATCTATATAAGGTCACTATTCGAGTACAACCTGAAAACACCACTGAAGCAGACGCTATACAGCGCGCCGTGGAGTCGTCAAAGAAGATTCTTGTTGAAGTAAACAAGGCTGTCAAAACGGCTGAAGATGCTCACAAGTAAGCAAATCCTACCTAATTGGTTAAAATGTAAAACAATTATATATCGGCTAAAATGTTTTTTAATAGGTTGCAGAACATTCAACGCAAGTTAGACAAATCTTCATATGATAAAGACGAATTTAAGAAACTGGATTTAACACAACATCGTCTCGTTCATGACGGAAACTTAACGATGAAAAAGAATCCTAGTATACAACTTCATGGATTGCTTTTTGAAAATATGATAGTTTTGCTAACAAAACAGGTAAGTCAAATTATTTTCCTTCTGCAGCTAATCTTAGCATATGAACCATTTACTTTGATGTGAATTTTTACAGGATGATAAATATTTACTAAAGAATCTTCATACACCACTAGCTGTCAGTAATAAGCCTGTAAGCCCTATTATGAATATTGACTCGGAGACTTTAGTGCGTCAGGAAGCCGCTGATAAGAATTCATTCTTTTTAATAAAGACAAAGACCTCTCAAATGCTAGAGCTTCGGGCGCCTAGCAGCTCTGAGTGCAAAACGTAAGTTAAATTAATTGTTTGCTAAAGTTCATTTAACTTATGTAAACAGGAGGGTATCATAAAGTTGTAAATAAGAACTGAAAGAAATATATATCATTATTCATCAGGTAGGTGAAACGATTTTACATAGCTATGTTCTTCTATTCGTCTGCAGCGGTGCATATATATGTTATAAGCTAAGGAAAGCATCTTCTTCGTAAATTATATATATTTAAATCAGGACAAATGCTGCATTTATTCTTCCATGTTCGGGTGTACATCCCGCCGTCTGCACATTTATTAAGTCACTGTAAGATTTGTAATGAATGCCCTCGTAAATCATATACAGACAAATTTTATTTTTGTTCCGAATGGGCGACAATTTTTCTCCTCTTTAATATAAAATAATTTAATTGTTGTCTTGATTTAAAATTATGTAATGAATAAAATATTACAGTATGTATAATTCTTTGTCCTTGCAGGTGGTTTAAACACATATCTGATGCTGCTGCACAACAATATAAGCCTCGATCGAGAAATGCTAACAATCAAGATGCGCCTAGTGATGACCCTGTTATCCCAACAACACCGCAGTCACATACCAGGGAGTCAGTGGATCCAACGCCTGACCGTTCCCAACCAACAAGCGCTACTGCAATTGTTACTACAACGCCTCTGGCACCGCTTCTCCCAATAGCTACTGTAGCACCAGCCCCAACCACAAGTAATAACTACGACAGCGGTGCTCAGCTAAGTAATTGCCGCCGCGAGAGCTCTAATAATGATAATGAAGGCTATTACAACATAATGGCTAAGCGACGTCTTAGCCAAAACGACACAAGCGCAACCATAAGTCGTACCATGTCCACGCGCAGCTGTGGAGAGCCTAATAATAACTATCCCACCATTACTCAGGATATAAATACTGTATGTTTGCGTCACACCCAATCAGCACGCGAGGCCAATAACGAGGACCGCACAATGAACTACGAGTTAGTAGGCGGACAGTCAAAGCGCGACAGCGCGAGCATCGTTTGCTCGAATAATTCTAATAACACACGCACATTACTCATGCAGTCACCCCTTGTTGAACCAACCGCGATTCAAATTAGTATAAGCCCTGCGCACACTGCCGAGCCGGTGTTGACGCCAGCTGAGAGATTACGTCGCCTAGATGCTTCTATTCGAAACGGTTTACTGGAGAAGCAGAGAATTATTTGTGATATATTTCGCTTGCCAGTGGAGCATTTTAACGAAATTGTCGATATTGCTATGATGCCAGAAGCACCCAAAGACAGCGCTGATATTGCACTAGCTGCCTATGATCAAGTCCAGATGTTGACCAAAATCTTAAATGATTACATGCATGTATCTCCGGAAATGGAGATATCCGCTGTATCGACGGCTGTGTGTGACCATTGTCACGAAAAGGAAAGGCTTCTCAATATTGCAATGTCTCCACCACCATTACCGAAACCAAAAAAGCAACAACAGGCTCAACAGCAAACGCCACAGCTAAAGAAAACATCAAAACATAAATCACTTCTTGTTGAAGAGGTAGCCATACATGAGGATGACGACGGATATTGCGAAATTGACGAGTTGCGTTTGCCTTCTATTCCTGCAAAGCCATCAGATACAGCTACCCCGTTGGCGCCCTTTAATTTTTCAACTGTGCCAGCTACAGAAAATAGTTTGATATTGGCTCAGTCAAACAGCAATAATACTGATATAGACAAAAGACAAAGCACCATTAGTGTTGATGGCATTTGTGGAGAATCGCCCGATGAGTTGCATTCAGGCTTAGGTTTCAATGCCCAGAATTCAGAGGCATCAATAACACTTAAAGCTCCAAAATTAAATGAAGCAACTGAAATAATAGAGCCATTAATTTTATCTGAACTTAACGATAAAAATCAAATACCAGCATCAAAAATGACAAACCAGCCGACTCAACAGATGGGAGACTCGTATACTTTAGATGCGACGCAAAGTGAGGAATCTGTAGACAAAAGTGACCACATTGAAATTAATGATGTGTATGATAATTTGGTCAGTTTCATAGAATAGCATGACAAATTCATTTGTGATTTTTATATTTACTTAATATTCTTAGCAGGCTGCACTTAATAGGACTCACATTAGATTATCCACGGATGACATTTCCCCAAAAACAACACAGTCAATGCCTCCAGCTGAAGTGGAAAAGGGGGTAGGATCGACACCGACTGTTGGAAACTTATGTAGACTTAACCGCATTCAGCATGCTAATTCTTTAGAGCCAAGCGTTCCATGTCATGCTCTCAGCAGTATTGTAAATGTGTTGAATGAGCAAATTTCTCTACTTTTGGTAAGTGGATCACAATCCATGTAGTAAAAAAATAATTAACTAACCCTATTTTTTCAGCCCAAAATTAATGAACGCGATGTAGAGCGCGAGCGTCTACGCAAAGAAAATCAACATTTACGTGAACTTTTAAGTGCCATGCATGATCGTCAGCGAGTTGATGTAATACAGGTATTTTTATTTTGTACATTTAATATTCTAAACCAATAGTTAATAATAGTATATACATTTATAAATAATTACATAATATTTTGTAATTACCTTAAATTTTAATTCCATTTTGCACAGTTTTCCACCGTCTTCATAGATTTCAGTCTCATAGAATATACTCTAACAAGGTAGAACAAATAACTACAAAATACATAATATTATATATGTTTGCATGGATTAGGAAACTAATTAGGAAATTAAGCTATTGCGTCAAAAATATTGTTTGGTTTACCATTCTCCTTCCAAATCTTATCATTATGGAATCAACATCAAATTTACAAGGGAATTTGGTCTTTGGCTTGGCAAAAAGTAATTTTTTCTTGCGTTAATAGGTATACTTTAAAGTCTGTTTATTTTTTTTTTGACTAAGATTTAAAGATGCTTGTTTCGCTTGGCATGCTAAGCATGTGTTTTATTATTTAACTGACGACTCGATAAAGTGCATTGCGTCGTCAGTCTGTTTCTATGCAAACTGATTCCTCAATTTAAATTGAGGTATGTTGGCATAGATCCACTTAATTGTTTTTGATGTTGACAAACTTTTTTATAAGATATTGTAGCTAAGCAGTAAATCTTAGCTTGTCTATGGTCTTATCAAATACAAATATTTAATCAAATTCGGGCTACATACTCGTACCTAGACATTGTGGCAGGGTTAAGAACCATAGCGCAAAGCTGCTGTAGTTGTAAGAAATTGTTACATTCGATAAATTTATAGTGATTGTTTTTCCCTATTGTACAACCTATGTTCATTTTTAATTTAAGCACACACCAACCGATATATTGACGATTATGCAAGCGGCTGACGCAGAATTCGAAGATGATATTGACTCAATTTCCAACATATCCCTTACACCAACACCCACACCGTTACCTTCCGATTCTACTATCGAAGCAAAGAGAGATTCACGGGATCCGCCATCACATTTAGCTGCAGACTTTCTGGAAACCAAGGATTCTAAACAAAACGTTGACCGTGATACACAATTGCCAGGCGATTCTCACAGGCAACCAGAAACATTATTAGATGCCGCCGATGAAAATAATACAATGGAGCAGAAACGCGAAGATAAAAGCGTTAAGAACTAGGTAAGTAACTCTAATAACTTTTTTCATTATTAAAAATACAATTTACTTCAATGCCCTTATTAGCGACAGAATGCAACACCTTGTCTGGTGTTAAACGTTCCGCATTCTCTTTTGCGAAAATGATGCGATGGACTTCTAATACTGTGACTACTCCTTTATGCAATGTCTTAAGAAAGCGTTGATATAGACAATAGCTTCTTTTATGCAGGTTTAAGCACAAATCTTTGCAACGCCATTGTCCAATTGAATTGGCAGCGTCTGTGTTAATATGGCCTTATTAAAACATTCAACTACTTATTATAGCTACTTTTGCTTTACTAAGTTGTAACTTGTAGTGGCTTAAGGGTGAAATAAGTTTTGCTTTAAAATACCTATGTAAATTCCATTTAGTGACATTAAATAATTTAATACAAATTAATATTAGTCATTTTGCGATAAAAAGCAATTATTGTATATGAAATATTACGAATAAACTTGATGTAAAACAAACGTAAATATCAACTTGTAAAATGTAAAGTACACAACGCCTAATACATTACATAAACACCCCTAATTAAAACAAGAAAAGTTATATATATATATATATATACATATACATATAAGCAGAAGTTACACGATTGCATGGTTGACTCTCATATGGTTAACATCATATACCCTAAGCCCAGAATCTAGGGACTTCAAATTTTGAAACGTATGTCGTCTTAGTACCCGCGCAGTATAAGTTCGATAACTTACCCGTTTTCTATCAATGCATAAAAATCAATACCAAAATCAAATTCTTGAGAACATCTCTTAGGTTTTAAGAGCTAGAATCCCCAAACATGTAGCTTCTAGAATAGTATATACAGGTAACTAATTTAATTTATTAATTTTTAAAATTATTTTTATTACAGATTAAGAAACCGAATTCGAAGCGCGAGCTTCGTTCAGTGTAGGTAGAAGAGGGTTCAGGGTATCCCCTAGTCGGGAGCATCCGACGAGACCTGCTTTAAATTACTTTTATTACTGCTAAAACAAACGAGTTCATAGCGAGAGGTGTATTTTATGTTAGTGGAAGAGGCTTCTGGGTATTCCCCAGTCTGGAACGTCCAACTAGAGCCTCTTGTTATGTATGCATTGGATAAAATTACCAAAAAGCATCGATCGATCGAAAACAATTTATATGCGAACAACTTATATAGTCTTCATGGTAAAATTTAAGATAGACATAGCGCTGCTGCAGTCGGAATTATGGATCAGATCAAATGACCATATTACTTGCATAGGAACGATCGATCGAAAAGAATTAAATAAGCCTCAGCTTTATTTTAGCATAATCACAGTGATCATCATCTGACCAGCTTATAGATAACTAAGCAGCCTTTGCACTGGATTCTATGGGGTTAAACTTGTTTCCATATATTGTTAAGTGCAAATGTTGGTGATCCATAGATGACAATACTTACTAAATAAGACTGCAGTCGTTGGGAACGAGTCAACTGCGCTAATATAAAAATTGCGCTTTGCCTATCTGCTGTTGTGGCATCTTACATTGCAGATTCTTTCAAAACTTTCCAACTGAATAATAGAGATTAAAAATAACTCAATAATCTGCTAATAGCATAACTAGCAATGCAATATTCTACCTATTTCTGTACTTTTAAACATTTTATCATTGAAAGCGCACTTTTAATATATTCAGCATTTTCTGAGTAGCGTGTCAATGTGCTTGATTGTGTGAACTGCATTTGTATGGTAAAGAACATTTTCTATTTGTCTGCTATATCGAAAATATTTTATGTTTCACTGACTGAATAGTGATTAACGCACAGCCCATACCGAAAGAGCTAGGAAGCTGAAAGTTACCTTAGTTACCTTATGTGATGAAGGTGCACGTTAAGACGGGGTTTCGGGAAATTCCATCCGACAAATCGAAAAACTTTTGTATGCAACTTTTTTGTTTACCATCCGATCGGCTTCAAAAACATTTTTAAAGATATTTGTCAAAATTCATTTGATGGGTGTTTCGCACTTTTTGGAAAATCCATCCCCCCGATCAAATTTACCTATTTATTCATAATAAAATTGTTTTACTTTCCACGGTCAAGGTTGGGTTATATTAGCTAGTTATTAAATATGACTTATTACCAATTTGAAAAATTAAGTAAAAATAATACATATTAGTAAATAATTAGGTAAAGACTAGTCAGCATCAGAATAGCCGCTTGAATTCTGGAAAGCGCAAAGCCGCAGAGAATTGTCAATAATACGATATGTACATATATGTTATGTATATATTGAAGGTTATGAAATCAGTTTTGGTATGGCAATATTTATAGTTATATATATAAGATATTTTCTCCAAACAAAGTAATATTTTATTATGAGTTTTTCGTCCTAGCCACAACGTATCCGGTCATCTGCCGCATCCTCGTAGACAGTTCTCACAACTGTTTTCCTTAAATAAAAAAAAAAATTTACGAGCTTCACTTATTTCCCAACATGACTCCATCCCATCTTTCAGTTGGGCGGGAGCTAGAATTCAGCAATTTTTCGTGACCGACTCACAAAATGGCTACCAAGCGACAAACTATATAGTTTGGTAAACTTACCTATCGGATACATTCAATTAGTTTATTGTATTTTCCGATAGTTCGCAGTCATATAATTAGAGAAATGTATAAAATAAGCAGTTCTAATTTTGGTTATTTTCAGTCACACTGCTACGGCAAGAATATATATTAATTTCAGCATAGTGTGTAACAAGTTGTCGGTAACAATGATTTACTTTATTAGTAGTGGTTCTCTTGAGTTTTCTGTTAGTCTCCTATAATTCAGTTCAACGATATTATAAAACACGATAATTGGCTTATTATTATTTGACACAGCCGCACCGTTTCACAATCTTTCGAAAAGTCATAGCCTATAGAAGTATCGATAAATTCCTTCGTTTTGCTTCGATATATCAATTACATTAAATAATGTTAAATATACATATATACATATATATATATAATATAAATATACTCATCGATAGCTTATTTTAACAGCGGTTTTGTTCAAATTTAAATAATTAAAAATAAAAATTATTTAAGCAATATATAAATATTTATACTACATTCTGTTAGTTTTTATTTTTAAAATTTTTATATCGATTTATTATTTTTCTTAGAGCTAGTAAAAAAATATATATATCGACATCCAATGCTCCAGGCTCCTCAGGCCTTATCGTGGACAAACGTCAAAGGCGTCTTCTTTGAGTAAGGCTGCATCGTCACGTAGGTAGTCGGGGGACTCTGGGGCTTCTCCTGTGTCGAGGTTGGAGGAGGTCCTTAAAGGATCATTGCTTGAGCCTCCTGACTACACACCTCCCAGCTACGTCTCTTGTTACCAGGCTACAGTGTCGCTGCAAGCGTTCGTTTTTATACCCTGAACCCATTAAAAATGGGTATAAGGGTATATTGTATTTGTGCAAAATCCAAATGTATGTAACAGGCAGAAGGAAGCATCTCCGACCCCATAAAGTATATATATTCTTGATCAGCATCAATAGCCGAGTCGATCTAGCCATGTCCGTCTGTCTGTCCGTCCGTCCGTCCGTATGTATGAACGCAAGGATCTCAGAACCTATAAGAGCTAGAGACTTGCAATTTTAGATGTAGGTGCTCCTAGTTCCCGCGTAGATCGAGTTTGTTTCCGATAATCCATAACTTACTCCGTTTCCAAGCAATCGATATCGACATCCTGTTTTTTTTTAGCAAATTGGGTAAATAATAAGAGCTAGAGCCACCAATCATGATATGTTGCTTCTAGAATATTATAGATATTTCAAATATCTTTCATTTCATGCCTATCGCCACCTCCCCGCAACCACCTCAGAGCTATAAATCAAGTTAATAACCCAACTTTTATTGGCAACCAATTTAAACCACAATTTAAATGTAATTGACTTTTTAAGAATACACAAATATTCTATGGTACAATAAGATATACTGTAGAAAATTTCATAAGGATCGTTTAAGAAAATCCAAAGTTATATGCAACTGCGCAATTGAATGGGGCAGCAGCTTTAAGAATTTCTGTATACATGTACAATCACACATTCATGCGCGTCTGCTTCGCATTCTGTGGCATTGTAATTGCATCTTTTTTTTGTAATGTTATTTTAGATCCTTTTTACATAATTGTTGGTGTGGCTGCTGAGTAGAGGCATAGCAAGTGGTGCGGTCTGTCGCGAGTTCGAGCCAAGGGAACTTTTTTTTATTAATTTATTGGGTGTTGGAATAAGAGGGTTCAGGGTATCCCCTAGTCGGGAGCTCCCGACTAGAACCTCTTACTTGTTTATTTCTGAAATATGTTTTGGGAACTTAATGAATGTTTGACAATTGAGTTACTAAACACATTTCTTCTAAAATACACACCTTTATTAGCAACATATATAAATATAATTGGCAAAATATTAATATTAACAATGTAGGCAATGCATAAAAACATACTCTTGTAGAGGTATATAAAAAAATTAATTCGATCAATTCGGATAATGTAATTTTCGGTCCCATACACGCGAATGGAGGGCACTTAACAACTGTTTAACAATTGAAATATAAATAATGAACAATTCGTTTTTAATATTGTTACAAATTTAACTAATTACAAATCTGGGTACATATGAACGTAAAGGATTTTCATATTTTTCAGTGCTGGTGCGTCGCATTGTTTCCATGTATATATTTTAAAATAATAAAATATTTTATATTCGTTTGGGCTGTTGGTTATTCAAATTTTGTGCAATAAATTTTTAAGTTAAATTTTATAAGCAATCTATATTTTTCAGTCTTAACTCCTGTTGCTGCTCTGTGTAAGACTTGATGTTAAATCTACTTTCTGAAAGCAGATAAGAAGCGGTGTACTAAGCTTAAATTAAAATAAACAATTAAAAAGTTAATTTAAAGAAATTATTTAAATGTTTGCATTGACTTCAAAACACAGATTTTCTACCCAGCCAACCTCAGTACACAATATGCATTCATATGTGAATACAAATTTGGGATAGGTCGTGCTATCAGCGCTAGAAAACTAACAAAATTTATTTCTTTGCCAGCAAATGCCAGATCTGTGAATGACAACCTATTCAAATATGCTGTTATGTACGTATATTAGTATATTAACACACATGCTAACAGAAGTGATTGCACGGCCGAAGCTGAGAGTACATTCTATTTTAAGCTTTTTCGCTCTTTCAGCTGTGAGAGCACAATGATACTAATTTTGTTTTGTTTTTAAAAAATCTAGGTGCACAGTAGCATTTTGTACTATGGCGTTACTCATCTTAACGTTTATATTATCTTTGGTTTAATTATATATATATATATATATAATTATATAATTATATATATATACATGTTTCTATATATGTATATATGTTTATATATAAATATATATTTATTTATTTATATATATATTTGCGTACAGACGTAGAGAGACAAATAAAAAGACTTGGACAGAGACAAATATAATATAACAGTCAACTTTATCTATTTGGTATGGTATATATATATATTGGCCAGGTATTGCCCGGCCTTGCCCGTGGAACGTTTTGTGCTAAAAATTCTAAATTTTACCTTTCCACTTAGTACACAAACGGGGAAAACTGAAATCTACCCGTACCATCTTGATCTCAACTTCTATTTAAAAATATGTACATTTAAAGTGCATCGAATAAAGATCCAACTGTTGGAATCAGATGTCTTGTGGTAAGAATCTTGAGGCCGAATAAAAAACTTGCGTTTACAGACCCGCATTTGCGATCCAAGAGCGGTGAACTTTGCGAAGGCGTGTCAAATAAGTTCTGATAGATTTTCGAAAACTTCAGCTTCTCTTACGGTATGGGCTGTGCGTCGATCAGTCCGAACAAACAGCTTAATATATAGAGATTTATATTTTTCTGACGAAGCTTTAGTGGACAGACAAAAATGCTTGGATATAAACATCGAACCTACTAAAAGGATTGCACCCATTCTCAATTCATGTGGCTCCTGGTGTCGTTCCAACGAGGAGAGAGCACAGATTTTTCACTTCATCTGGAGAGAATTTTCAAACCCTTCAACATATGTTCTGCCTCGGACGCGACAGTCACACAACTATTTTTAAAAGCACCTTGCCAAATGGACTTGCCAATACGCCCGATACTATCAGAAGTCGAAAATGTAGTGTCTGGCTTAAAGGCAACTAAAAGCCCTGCAACCACCATCAAGCGCATTCCCCCACATGCCCTTGCCTTCCTCCCGACCATCTACAATGGTATTATTAGGCTCCACCACTTCCCCTCAACCTAAACCTAAGCCTGGGAAGCCTAAACAAGACCCTGCCTCCTACCGCCCCAGCAGCTTATTGGCAATACACTCAAAAGTATTCGAAAGAATATTTTTGGTCAGATTATTGCCACTGCTGGAAGACGGGAACTTGATACCAGACAAGTAAAAGGTTCTAGTTGGGAGCTCCCGACTAGGGGTTACCCTGAACCCTCTTCTTCCAACATCAAATGCATATATATATTCTATTTTAGAAGCTATATGTCAAGTTTGGTGACTCTAGCTCTTATTATTTACCAAAATTGCCCAAAAACCGGATATCGATATCGATTGCTTGGAAATGGAGTAAGTTATCGATTATCGAAAACAAACTCGATTTGCGCAGGCACTAGGAACACCTACATCTAAAATTTCAAGTCTCTAGCTCTTATAGGTTCTGAGATCCTTGCGTTCATACATACGGACGGACGGACGGACAGAAAGACGGACATGGCTAGATCGACTCGGCTATTGATGATCAAGAATATATATACTTTATGGGGTGGGAGATACTTCCTTCTGCCTGTTACATATATTTGGATTTTGCACAAATACAATATACCCTTATACCCATTTTTAATGGGAGCAGGGTATAAAAATACTAATTAGCGGCCGCGGCCCGAGTGTGGCATCCATGATGGCTGCATAAGGTAAAGCTTCCGCTTCCAGCCCCGTTTTATTTGACGGTAAGGTCATATCTTCATAGGAGGACATTCTACGAGAGAAGCGATTGGGTCGAATCCGAAATATGTCTAATCAATACTAGCTTCCTGCAAAGAAGCGTGTTGGACCCAGTCCCATACACCCTGTACACAGCTGACCTTCCTGTTATCGACAGAGACGACCCACTCACCGCCACCTACGCAGATGACTGCATTTGAAGCCTCCGTCATCCTGCAAGCTCAGCTGTCAAGCCTTGAACCATGGCTCCAAAGATGGAATATTGTGGTCAATGAAGCCAAGTCCACACACATAGCCTTCACCACAAAACGGCCACACGCTGCCAACAGAAAACACAGTAAAGTATCTCGGCTTTACCCTAGACAGGAGATTGACGTGGTCAATCCACATAAAGGCCAAAAGAAAGCGGCGCAGCCTGAAAATCCTGCAGATGAACTGGCTCCTTGGGTTCAGATCGCAGCTAAGCTTGAGATACAAAGTGCTTCTATACAAGGTTTTTCTGAAGCCAATCTGGACATACCCTATTATGTGAAAAACGGTGCAATCCACAAGGATCTCCCCATCCCATCCATCACCGAGGAAGCACAAAAGCTGACAGTAGTCAGAATTTCAACGGCTGTGTAAGCCGCTGTAACCATTTTGCATAATTATTGTATTTTGTGTTAATAATATAATATTTTGCTCGAAGGTTTTGTTGTGGATATAGAAATTTTGACAAACATACAGATAGAAATTCTGACGGACCAATTGAAAATTAAAATTATTAATTGTCGTGCTGTATGTCTAAAGATTATTTGATGTATGTATAGTCTTTGTACGTTCTTGTTGAATTGACAGAGATAGATAGAGAGACAGACAGACAGATAACCAGGCAGGCATGCACGTAGACAGACAGAAATTAAGACACGCCAATTATATATGTATATGGAATTGTAAGTATGTATATGTATATGTATATGTATATGTATATGTATATGTATATGTATATGTATATGTATGTATATGTATATGTATATGTATGTATATGTATGTATATGTATATGTATATGTATATGTATATGTATATGTATATGTATATGTATATGTATATGTATATGTATATGTATATGTATATGTATATGTATATGTATATGTATATGTATATGTATATGTATATGTATATGTATATGTATATGTATATGTATATGTATATGTATATGTATATGTATATGTATATGTATATGTGTATATGTATATGTATATGTATATGTATATGTATATGTATATGTATATGTATATGTATATGTATATGTATATGTATATGTATATGTATATGTATATGTATGTATATGTATATGTATATGTATATGTATGTATATGTCTCTGTCTCTGTCTCTGTATCTGTCTCTGTATCTGTCTCCTGTCTCTGTCGCTGTCTCGTCTCTGTCTCTTTCTCTGTCTCTTCTCTGTCTCTGTCTCTGTCTCTGTCCTCTGTCTCTGTCTCTGTCTCCTGTCTCTGTCTCTGTCTCGGTCTCTGTCTCTGTCTCGTTCCCTGTCTCTGTCTCATGTCCTCTGTCTCTGTCTCTGTCTCTGTCTCTGTCTCTGTCTCTGTCTCTCTGTCCCTGTCCCCTCTTTCCGTCTTATTTCCCCCTTTCTCCCTCTCTCCCGCTCTGTGTTGTCCGTCTCCCCTGGGCCCCCCTGCCGTTCTGTTCTTCTCTCTTGTCCGTCCCTCTCTCCGTGTTCGTCTCCCCTCGTTCTTTGTCCTTTTGCCCATCCCTCCCCCCCCCTCTTCCTCCCTAAACTTTTAGTGCATGTGCACTATTTTTAAATTGAGAATCTTTTATTTTTCTTTTTTTTTACGAAAAATTTTTTTAACGGCAAATATCGATTTACATTTTCAGTCGCATTGATGTCGTTGAAGATTGCTGGTATAAGATAGTTTATTGTGTGACAGTTAAAATAGTATATATAATAAAATATTATTTCCTTAGAATTTGTATGCTTTCGAACAATTTCTTTATTATATATAAGTGTAACGAGAACACAATGTTGCGCAATATTAATTTTCCGAACCTCGAAGGAAAAAATGTACATGCATCATAAAAACTAAGTGTGTGATACATTGTTGATATAAAAATAATTGAATCAAAAAAATTGGTTTAAGAGTTACAAGTAACACAGTAATAATGAATAAAGTAAGTATAGGCATATACATATATAAGAGTGTATGGCCCGGCATTGCCCGTAGAACGTTTTGTGCTTAAGATTTTAGATATTACCTGTGCAAAATTGAATTCTATTTAAAAAAATGTTTTAAGTTCATCGAATAAAGCACCAAATGTTGAAATTAGCGGTTGCCTCCCATGTTAGTCTTGTGATGAGAATCTTGTAGGCGAAAAATAATATTTTTATAATTAAGCCTTTGAAGCGTATTTTCCATTCAAGAGCGGTGAACTTTGCGAAATCGTATTTAATAAATTTCACAAACATCTTGAAAATGTTGCCAATTTTTCCTAAAGATCTTTGCACAATCCACCGAAAACTTTGCCAATTCAACCTTTAACCCGCGCTTATCATGCGAGAGGAGTGGACTTGCGAAAAATGTGAAACTCGTCTCAAATGAATTTTCGCAGAGATTATTCTAAATGATTTTGAGGCTGATCGGATGGTAAACAAAAAATTGAATGTAACATTTTCCGAATACTAACCATAGTTGCGGATGAAAATTAGGAAATCGCTGAATGTGGTGCTTTAAAAATTAATTTGAAGCCAATATAACATAATAAGAGTTTCTTTGACATAAGGTAACTTCGGTAAAAATTTCAGTTTCCCATAATCAGTCAGGATAAACAGTTTTGTATATAGATATATAAGTTGACAATGACCCTCGCGGTTGGAAGCGAGTACTTGCACCATAGCGCTGACGCACACAACAGTGCGGTTAATGATCTAGTTGCAACGCTTCGCAGCGGTATACCTGGCACACGGCGTGAGGTCAGCGTTACCACTTCCGCTTCAGATAATCAAAACGTTTAGCTTAGATTCAGATTCAGGTTTTGTAATTAACAAGAAGTTCCAATAAATATACTTCTCCGGCGCTGCCGAAAATATAATTGTCGAGCCCAGATAACTCTGGTAGCTAGTCAACATAAAGGAGGGAGCCCAAGAGATTGCCATTTATCGCTGGACCCCTACTTATGGAATCTGGAACCTTCATCAACACCTACATTACATGCTTTGTAAAATCTGGCAGGTGGTTTTTTCCACAGTGGCAAAGTGACTGTGAAAAATAATTAATATACAAAAAAAAAAAAATTATTGAGCTTCGGTAAACCATATAGAGAGGGTAGCAAAGACTATGATAATAACGATAATGTGTGCCTGAGGTGCGAGTCGTGATTCAAAGTGCATTAGTCGAACAGGCAGCGAGAGAGAGAGCTTAAGGCAGTGAGAAGTCAAATCAGCAGCTAGCAAATAGAAGCGCCCAAAGGTGGCAAAGAATAACTGTGGACCTCAGGACGAGATCTGTCGTCTACCGTTTGGACTTAAAAATTCGGGAAACTTTTTAAAAGGCTTTGTCTAACATGTAAGTAGCGCGAGAGAAAGCCCAATTCTTAAGGGGGCCGTTCAGTAGTTTGGATTCATATTAGCTAGTGGAGGAGCAAAAACATACTCAGAAAAGTAAGGGCAATATAAGAATATGTACGTAGAGCCAAAGAATAAGTTTGCCCTCAGATAATTTCTTGCCTTGCTAATTTTACTTCAGATTTCAAAATACTTTTCGATGTAACCACTGATGCGTCCGACATAGGCATAGGTGCTGTCCTATTCCAAGTCGGTAAGTTCATAACGTTGATTCATCCATCAATGAGAGGGAACTGGTAGGCATTGTAGGACGCAAGCTTCACTAATATCTGTATGGGGCTAAAATGATTAATATTTGTATTAATCATCAGCCACCCTCCTTTTACGTGGTCGATAAAAGAACAACGCCTAAAATTAATAGGTGTAAGGCCTTGATACGCATAACGCGAAACTCCACTATTGACCAGGCAAGGAGACTAAAACAATTGTCAATTGTTTTAGGAATCGGGCATATTTAGAAGAGGCACGTTTCCCCATGAAGCGTAATCTTATACTTTTCAGAAGCAAGACTCGCTTGGCGTTACGCCAATCTCATCATAAGCAAACGAACAAGTATAATTTATTGCTACGGCTAAAAAACAATTTCTTACTTAATATAGGAGGTCCCATTATTCAGATGGTAAACCTCTTTCCAGAAACAAACATTATTTACTGCGACAACGGGGCGTCTTTAAATACCGAAACCATCACCTTATTTTTAAAAATGTATTACTTAGCGATATTTATAGATATTTACAGCGTATCCAACGGGCAGGTAAAACGATTTATTAGTACGTCAGGAGATATTGCGAGATATTTAAAACTCGACAGAGGAGGCAACGTTACGGTTGAATTAATTTGATGGTCCTCAGTAGAATACAATAGATAAATACACTCGCAGATAAGAAACCGATTTACCTAATACATGATTCTACAGATAACATCAGGGACGAGGTTAAGGAGAAAATTACAAAGGCTTGTAAAGAATATCAGACGATAAGGAATTAATTTGCTCAGAGGAAAAAATATAAGCATAACTGGGAACTTCTGTTCTCATTATGGGGAGGATGGCAATAGAGACAACATAAAATAAGGATTAGGCAACTTTTCATTCCTTTACATATATTACGTTAAAGATTAATGCATTGATCTAGACTTTAAAGTAGGCAAGGTTCTTTCGATATGCAGTACCGCTGGCATACCCCTTGCCCTTATAGTCATAGCGAATGAGCTGATCACTGAGTGGATGGTAAGGTGCCAGTGTAGGAACAGGAAAACTTCGTAAAGCACTCAAGAAATCACTCCGCGTTCTTGTTTATAATATAATAGATGAATTTAATCCACATTTATCATACAAGGGAAAATTGGTGAAATGTGCGAAACACATCTCAAATGAATTTTCATAAAGTTATGATTTAAAGCCGTTCGGATGGTAAGCACAAAAATTTTATGGAACCGTTTTTTGTTTATTTACTACAGTTGTGGATGGAAATTCGAAAATCGGTAAAACAGGTATTCAATAGGTTTTAATATTTTTTGAAGTCAATCGAACAAAACTAAAACTTCGCGTACGATTCATTAAGTCGCGTTAACCACCGAGAAAGTTCGGCTTCTTCAAAAATGCATAAAGATAGTTTGAAAATTTGAATCCAAATCCAAATCGACCCCATATCTGTCAAGGAAGTATGAATAGTCAGAAAAGTATTAAGCAGCAAATGAATTCGGTCAAAGGGCTTTGAAAATGAATTTAAGGTCGATCGGATGCTAAGCAAAACAGTTTCATACAACCGTTTTCATGACATTTCCACACTTGAGGGTAGGATTTGCCAAAGCCCGATCTAAGCACCTCCATAAGTAGCTAGAGTGAAATGCCAGTTTCATAGGTTTTTAGGATATGCGTTAATCCAAAAAAAAAAAAACAAATATATGTTATAGTGACATATTCCCACATATGCACATTTATAGTAAGCATTAGAAGGCCTCATAATTGCAGTTGGGACTCTGCAATCGCTTATCGTTTGCAAAGCAATAAACATAAGTCTAATAACACGCTGCATAACAACTATTTTAAGAGAAACAAGTAAGAGGTTCTAGTCGGGAGCTCCCGACTAGGGGATACCCTGAACCCTCTTCTTCCAACATCAAATGCATATATATATTCTATTTTAGAAGCTTTATGTCAAGTTTGGTGACTCTAGCTCTTAATATTTACCAAAATTGCACAAAAAACAGGATATCGATATACATTTTTATCGATTGCTTGGAAACGGAGTAAGTTATCGATTATCGGAAACAAACTCGAACTGCGCAGGCACTAGGAGCACCTACATCTAATTTCAAGTCTCTAGCTCGTATAGGTTCTGAGATCCTTGCGTTCATACATACGGACGGACGGACGGACAAAATGTTTTTTCATACAACAACTTCCTATGGCAGCTATATGTTGTAGTGGTTCGATCTTAATAGGGCTTTTCCTATATTTGAGAATTATAGTAAAACTAATAAATGCCGAGTTTGGTCAAGATATCTTGAAAAACAAAATGTTTTTTTCATACAACAACTTAATTTTCGACCGATCGTTCCTATGGCAGCTATATGATATAGTGGTCCGATCCAGTTGGTTTTGACATATGTATGTGCTGCGTGCAACAGAAAGAGGGACTTCTGCACAGTTTCATTAAGATAGCTTTAAAACTGAGAGACAGACGGACATGGCTATATCGACTCGGCTGTTGATGCTGATCAAGAATACATATACTTTATTGGGTAGGAGATATCTCCTTCTATGCGTCACACATTTCACGACAAAATTATAATACCCTCTGTAAGGGTATAAAAATAGTTCCCTCAAAATGACTCGAGCTTGTAAAAGATGACACTACTTAATACTTTTACTACCTATTAAATAAAGACGCACGTGTATGTATGGTTGCATATATATTAAATGACAAAAACCTGGCCGAGCCTCGGAGGCAGCTTAAAGACATTCCCGTATTTACTAGAGAGCCGGCAGCACTTTACACCTTCAGGAGCAGAGTTTATTATGTACTATCTCTCTATCAGACGGACGACGTTAGACAGCAGCGCATTCTTCTCGGAGCAGTAGAAGGGAATCTGGATGGTCATGTGACTAGATATTTGGGTCTGCCAAACATCGAAGATTGGCCTTCTCTGAAGCAGAGAAAATTATTGGAGAAGGGAAATCTGCGAGCAGTCTGCGATGAGCTGGAGAAACGACGACAACTGCTAATATCCAACTTACATCTAGAAAGTAACAGTAGTAATCTTGTAATTTATCTACAGACAAGACTCTATTAGAAAAATAAATCGAAACTTACCTTATACACTATTCGCTATCTCGGACGTGAGATCTTTAGTTAACATCGCACAAAATGAGGGCATCAATAAAGAACTTGCAAACTTCGGTGTAAACAAATATAATTAAGAAACAAGTAAGAGGTTCTAGTCGGGAGCTCCCGACTAGGGAATACCCTGAACCCTCTTCTTCCAACATCAAATGAATATATATATTCTATTTTAGAAGCTATATGTCAAGTTTGGTGACTCTAGC